TTAAGATTATAAATATAAACATACATATATATGTGGCTCAAGTAATTATATTTTTGATTATGAATCTTCTAAAAATAATAATCCTAATATAAATTAAATATTTAAAACAAGCTTTAATGATGGGATAAAAGAAAGAAATATAAAAAATAATTAAGATTATAATTTTGTTTTTGCCAGTGCTCCTGTATTAAAATATTTTGAATAGGTTAAAACGTTATATAAAACTGCAAAGATTTTTGAAAAATATAAAAAAAAAAATAACAAATATTGAATATTTTAAAAATATAATAAAATTATGAGTTTTTACTTTTTATAATAAATTTCATATTAAATTTTTTCTTTAATATATATATATATATATATATGTATATATATATATATATATATTAATATATAATATAATAATATAAAATTTATAAATTAAATAATTTCATTTTTATTGTAATTTTTTTTAATATACTATAATTTATTTTATTAATTTCTTCTTTTATTATAATTTTGAACATTCTAATAAAATAGAAATTAGAAGACAAAAAATATAATTTAAAATATGATTAAAAGTAAAATTTTTATATTAGTTATTTAATTATCTTTTTAAATAAATAAATTAGAATGTTTCAATACATTAAAATTAATAAATAAACGGAAAAATAATAATTTTAATAAGATAATTTACAATTAAACTAATAATAATAAAGAAAAATAATAAAATACATAATATGAAAAATACTTTATTAATGATTTTAGGCAAATATAAAAAAATAGGTACATATAGTTTATAATGTTTTATTAATTGTAATAAATAATCATAATCTTATTATGGATTTTTTAAATGACTCTAACATTAATAAGAAAGGACGATAGATAATCAATGAAAATAATAATATTAAAACTTTAGTAATTAATTATTATATATATATATTTTTTTTAGTATATAAATTAACTACTAATCTAAATTTATAAATCCAAAAGCAAATATATATAGCACTAATATATATTATATACATAAGTCTTTAACATTTTAATTTATATTTCATTTGCTTTCTTTTTTAGCATAGTATTACTATTTTTTTATTAACAAAATTTAACTTTTAAAATAAATTATTAAAAAATATAAATTCCTATTTGTTCTCTTCTAAATTCCTATTCTTCAATATTCTCATAATTATATCAGAAGTTCTTATTCATTCTTTTAGTCTATTTAAACTTTCCAATTTTTTTAACATATTCATATATATCATCTTTATTATTAATGAATAATATCATAAACTACATAATCGATATTATATTCTTCAATGAATTTAGGAGGTTTTATAATTCACAAGAATAAATTACTTAACCAAACTATCTATAATATTAATCACTTTTTTTTTTTGTTAAAAATAAATAAATTAAGTACATTATGAAATCGGATTTTTAAAAAAGAATTAATTAATTCACCTTAATTTTTTCTTCTTCTCCAGTGATTAGAACCCTCATATTTTTTGTACTTTCTTATCCCCTCTATTCCTATTATCAAATAAACTTTTGGGAAATAGTCTTTTTATATTATTCTAACTATATTTTTAATATTTAAAAATTTATATATTATTAAGGTAAAAGCTTATTATCTTTGTCCAAAATGATAACCATTGTAAACTCCATTAGAATAAACACGAATTATTTATTGACTATTAGTTTCGTCCATTTATTTAGAATTAATTTTTTTATTTTAAAATAGTCTATTATAATAATTAAAATAAAATCAATATTTAAATTTCAATTGGGGAAATATGTATTAAATAAAATGCGATTTGATATTCTATTTTTTTTTTTTTATAAAAATTCCTCTCATTTCATTCATTTTTAAATAAAAATAAAATAATTAAGAAGGTTTATAAATATTTTTTTATAAATTAATATAAAAATAAATAAATTATGATAAATTTAGATTAAAAAATTAATTAAAAAAAGCATAATAGTCTATATTTTTCTATTTTATTATTTTTTGTTAAGATTGCTAATTAAATTTAATTTTATTTTATTTTTATAAAAAAAATAAAGGGTTTTTAATAAACTAAAATTAAAATATCTTATTTTTTTAAATTAAGAAAAACAAAAAAACTAAAGTTATTATTATTATATTATTTTTATTTAATATATCCTATTGTTAATTTAAATAATTTATTACAAATTAAATTTTAAAGAACAAAAAAGCATATAATTGATTAATTTAACTATTAATTATTGTATAAAATAATTCTAATATATATTGAACAAAATATAATTATGAAAAAAATTGTTTTATTTTAATAGATTTAATTTTACAATTATTTTCATAATTATTAATTATTAAAAATAATTTATTAAACATACATAAACATTAATATTTATATTTAAAAAATATAAAATTAATTTATTTCTAAAATCAATTTTAAAACAAAATTTTCTTTTATCTTTAAAATAAATCTTTATATTTTTTTAAAGATTTAAAAACAAAATCACCATTTTAATAATTCGGGTACAAAGGAGGATATCCACTTTAAGAATTTTAAACTTACTTATTATTAAATAAATTATTATTAGATTTATTTCTAATTGAATTATTTCGTGCATATATTTATGTTTTCGTAAAAGATTAGTTTACTTCACTATTACTATTATTTAATTCAATATTTTATTTATTATTTAAATTTTTATTTACGAATGTAGCTTTGCTATAATATCCTTACTTTAATTTATTAAAATTATTAAATTTATTAATATTATTATATTATGTAATATTTATAATATCTGAATCTGTTTTTTATTAAATTGACATTTGGTTTATATATTTCTATTCATATAAACTTTTATGACTTTAAGATTTAAATAAATTTGTATATAAGTTTTTAATTTATTATTTTTTTTATTTTTTTTTATAACTATTTTATAAACTATTATTAGAGTTAATATTCAAATTTGTATTCATATTAGAATATGTATTAGTGTTAGTATTACAATACATATTATAATTATTCATATTATTTACACTTGAATTCGCATTTAAATTAACTCCTCCATTAGAAGTATTTACACTGCAACCACTTTTAGGAAAGAAAGGTATTTTGGTATCTTATAAGGTTTTCTAAATAAAAATATTTTTACTTACATCATCTTAATATTTAATAAAATAAATTTTCTCCTTTACATTTTCTAATATTTTTATAGTTTTCAAAACCTATTTCCATTATGGATTATTTTAAGGAAAATCTGAAATGCTTAAATTTGTTTAAAAAACGTTAAAAAAAGAATTGTTTTCATTAAGTAAAATGTCAAGTGCTTATCTTTGATTTTAAAAATTTTTAAAAATTTTTGTTTTTGTGACATTATGAACTTATTAACTGGTATTTATAAAGTCTCTTTTTAGTTAGTCGAATTTTTCTATTTTTTCGATTATTTTTCCTAATTAGATTTATAAATTATTTTATTCTTATTAAATAATAAATTCAACTTGATTAAATATTTAATTTTTCCTTTATTCTAAAGATTAAATAATATATTAAATCTATTCTTGAATTTAGCTTTTGGTTTAGTTTATTTAATATATAATAGAATTATTATCATCCTCTAATTTTTTTTTCTATAATTTTAAAAGTTCAATATTTACATGAATTTTTTATTTAGATTCATCAATTTTATCAAATAAAACTTCCTAAGCATTTTAAAAATTAACGACTTATTTTTTAATAAACTCATTTTTTTATAAGCATTTTATGCACAAGCATTTATTTTCGTGGAAATTATAATAATAAAGTTATTCATAAGGATGAATTTCGCAAAAATCTTAAACTTAATTTTGTTTATTTTCAATTTCATCACTAATTTCTTATATCTTTAATATTTTTTAATCTTTAACATTTTAAATTTACTCACCTTTTCTTAAAATATCTTTCTAAAACATACGAGTACATTTTTATTATTTTAAAAATTCTTACTAAGTTAAATCATTATATTTCGTAATGTTTTTATTCGTCTCATCTGTTTAGATGGTTTCACTGCTATCCTCATATATAATTTCTTGATTACTTATTTTATTATTTTGATTTTCCTCCTCATCTTCCTATATTTAATATTATTCTTAATTATTTAAAATTTCGTTTCTTATAAAAATTATTGACTCATCATCTAATTTTGTAATTTACTCACAAAGAGAACATTAAGCATTTAAAATATTCTCATCTTATCCAATTAAAATTAACATTTAAACACATTTTATACAAAAGCAATGATTGCAATTTAATTCTATATAGTTTAATGGTTATGCCTAACATAAATTGCATTTAACTATTTAATTTTGTATATTAAATTATTCATCTATTTATGATTAATCTGTTTGGTCATTTTCATTTTCCTATTCGTAAAATTTTTCTTTAGATTAATCTTTACTTTCACTCTCATCTTCTATTGAATATTTATCAGTTCTTATATGTTCATCCGATAATGTTTGGCTCATATTTATTCTGATTTTGTACTCCTTTTAATATATGCTTTTTTATATTTATTCAAATTTGTTAATATTATTCCTATTTATATATATAACTTAGTTTAATTATAGTATATTTTTGTTTGTTAATATATTATTATTATTATTTTTGAATGTTTATATTGAACATAATAAAATTCATTAATTTATATGTATTTAAATAAAAAAAAAATAGTTTAAAACTAAAAAAACTAAAATATTTAAAATATATTTTAGTTTTAAATTTTAAAAATATTTTATTTAAATTTTTGCCTATATTTATTATTTTTAATAATAAATAACATATAATATTACAATATTTTTTTTTTCAATTAATATTATTGATATTAAAATCTAAATGAAAAATTAAATAAAAATTTTTTTAAATAAATATAATAATTTAATAATTTTATATCGTATTATCAGTGTTTATAAAAAAATTAAAAAGTCAAATAATTATTACTTTTTATTTTTAAGCATAAATATAATTATATATAAAATATTATAAATAAATAAAATGAATAATTTATAAGATTTTTAATTATTTTAAGATACCCTTATTATATCATTAGAGAAAATACGAAAAAACATACCCAAAAAATACAAAGCATATAAAGATTATATAAAAGAAACATCTTGTAAATTATATAAAAAATAAAATAAATATTTATTTAATCAAAAAAAAAATTTAAAATAATAATAATAAAAAAAATAAACTTATTATTAACTAAAAAGAACAAATAAAATAATTATAGTAATCATAACAAGCAAATCTTTCTGTGAATAAATATTTTCTAATATATAAGTTAGCAATAAACAGTAAAATATAAAAATTAATTGATGTGTCCATAAATGCAATTGCCATTTTAGTATAAAACAATTTTTTAGATGGAAATTGTGAAGATTATACCCAAGATATTAATTTAGAAGATTTTAAAGAACAATTAGAATAAAAAAAATCCGATCCATCTAACAAAAGAAAACTAATATAAACCATAATAGAAACAATTATACAAACAGTTAATCCTAAGGATGAATAAATATAACAAAACATAATAAAAATAATTGTAGAATTAGCAACAAATAAAAAATCAGAATTACATGGAAGTTCATTATCTTAAAGCATAGAAACTTTAATTTATATATATTCAAGTATTTTTTTTTTTTTTTGTTAAATAATTATTTTTTTTAAAAAAAAAAATAGCTGCTAAAAATAAAATAATTGAAACATAATCGTACAATGGTATTTAATAAATAATTGGATATATTTTCCAAAAATACTATCTTGTATAAGGACAATAAAATTAAGTTTAAAGCCTTTCCCCAAAAGTATTAATCTAGATGTTAAATAAAAAAAAAATAGATGGTTTACAAGAACAAGACAAAAAAGAATAACCTTCAAGCTATAATAATGAAAATAAAACATAAGAAGAATAATAAGGAAATGCGTTTACTGAATGTTTGGAAGAACTCAATCATTATTTAAAATATTAAAATGACTATTAAAATAATTAATTTACTTATTAAAGTTTATGTTATAATGTTGTGTAAGGAATGATCGATTAAGTTTGTGTTTAAAATGAAGAATTATTAAATGAAAATTCTTAAAAAATAGGTTAGTATAGGTGGTGCTATTATTGTAGAAATCCAGCGAATAATTTTTGTAAAGAATTGAATATTCCAGTTTGCTCCGATGAATGCTAAACTAATATTATTTAAAAAGAAGAAAAAATTAATAAAGAATATAATGTCCATATTTCTTTTTGTAAGTCTACTTTTGAAGATTGTCTTACTATATTATATACTCTTTCAAATATTTTGTCTTCTGAATAAGAATAAATGGTTAATTTTGTAGGAAGTTTGATTAAATAGAAAATTTTAGTGTTAAAAATTCTATATTCGATTTTGTATTTAAAGGATATTAATTTATTTGAAAAATAATAGGCAGTTTAGATAATCAAAGAAAGTCTTTTTAATGGAATTTTAAAATGCGCTTTACATAGTGATAGCAATATATTACAATAGACTTTTTCAATTTTTTTAATTCTATTTATTAATCACAAAAAAGAACTGAAAAATGAAATTTTAATTTTCATAAATGAAATCATTATTAAATTGTTAGAAAGTACTAACTCTTCTTCTTCACATAAATATTTAGCTTTATAAGTATTTAATAATTATTTTCAAAAAAGCTAAATTGTTATCGATTTTTATGTCAATTACGATTGTTCTCCGAATCAAATTTAATTAACTGAAAAAGCAGTCTAAATATTAAGTAAAATAATAAAAAATATATATAAATAAAATATAAATATAATTAAATATATATATATATATATATATATATATATATATATAATTTTTTTTAAAAAAGGTTTTATTTCTACTGGATATTATAAAAAGCCTGAATTTTCTTTATTAATAAATTCCTTATAAGAATAAAATTTAAGTTCATATGCAATTGAAACTTTATGTATTTTAATTAAATCTATATTTGATTATTATGAAAATTATCAAATGAACCTCTAAAAAAACGAACCAAATAAAAATAATCTTGATGAAAGTTCTAATAATATATATAATATACACTAAAATGATGAACCTTAAAAATCTATAGATACAGTTTAACTCTAAAATCAGTAAATATATATATTTTTTCAAATAAATGAAAATTTTCAAAACCAAAACAAATTTAAATAGAATTGATAGGCAAGATTATATTAAAATAGAAACATAAAGGGCAATAATGAAATTTAATAAAAAACCAAATTCAGGTATAAAACATTTATTCGAAACAGGAATACTTAAAGCAGATGACGCAAAAGGAATAACTTAATTTTTAAGAAACAATAATTCCATAAGTAAAGATGCATTAGGTGAATATATAGGAGGATATAAAGAAATAAACATAAACGTATTAAGTGAATTTACAGACGCCTTAAATTTCAAAGGCATGAAATTAGACGAGGCTATGCGTTATTTTTTAACAGAATTTACACTTCCAGGAGAAGTATTTTTTTTTATATTTTTAAAATAAAAATAATATAAAATTAGGCATAAATAGTAGATAGAATTCTTCAAAAATTCGGAGATAAATTTTAAGTGGATAATCCTGAGATATTTAATAGTGCTGGAGGTGCATATACATTATCGTTTTTATTGATAATGCTATAAACGGATCTATATAATCCTTAAGTAAAAGAGAAAATGAAGATAGAAGATTTCATAAAAATCGCAAAAGGAATTGAAGGCGAAAATTTAGAAATCGAATATCTTACTGATTTATATAATTCTATTAAAAAAACTCCTTTAGCCCTCCATGAAAAAGCAAAAATAAAAAAGAATTTATAAGATTCTATTTCCACATCAATAAGAAAAAAATAAAATTTGTTTTTATAAGAATCAATATAAATGATTGAAAATGGAAAAAAAATGCTCCAAAACAATCCAAACACTTAAAAATTTGTATAAGCAAATTCTATATATTATATAGTGCCTTTAATAGAATCTATATCTTAAAATATTCTAAAAACTCTACAGTATGGGTTTGATAATTTCGATGATGAAAAAATTAATTACTTATGTATAGAAGGATTTTAATATATAATTTATTTATCAGCTTAATTTAATGCTGAAAATGAAAGGGATATTTTTGTGGAAGAAATGTGCAAATTATGCAATTTATAAAATTTCCCATTCAATTTTAAAAAAAACACTTTATTTTGATAAAAAATATTTTAAACTTTGCATTAAAAACTGCTAATTATTTAAGAAAATCTTGGTATTTTATACTTTCTTTGATAAGTAAATTAAACTAATTGAGATTAACAAAAAGCTAAATTGAAATTAAAAGAAAAAATCATAATTTTTAAGAAGAAGTACCCTTTTCAATCTAAAATGTGTACTTTGAATTAGATTAAATAGAAAAAATATATGCAAATAGCATGAATTTAGACGGAGAAAGTGTTTTGGATTTCATAACGGCTTTATGTAAAGTTTCTGATGAAGAATTGAATTAAAATTCTTCACTTCCTCTTATTTTTTCTTTATAAAAAGTAATTGAAACAGCAGAGTTTAACATGAATAGAATCGTTATTGTCTGGAATAGGATCTGGCAGGTAATAAGGGATCATTTTGCGAATGCAGGACAGAATCAAAATATAAATATTGCAATGAATGCCGTAGATAATTTAAAATAACTTTCTTAAAAATTTTTTACAAAAAAAGAAAGATTTAACTTAACTTATTAGAAAGATTTTTTAAAAACATTTGAAATTATATATTAGAAAGTTAATGTTTAAAATATATTCATAAAAATATTTATTTTAGATTGTATAAGATCTTTTTGTACAAGTTATTTCCATAAAATAAAATCTGGCTGGCGAATAATCTTTAATATCGTAAATTTTGCTTTATAAGAAGAAAATTAAGATTTATCAAATAATTCTTTTCAAGTATTTTTTTTGTTTGGAATTATTTTTTTAATAAAAATAAAAAAAAAAATAGATTCTTAAATTAATATTAGATAATAATTTAGATATTATATATGATTTTTTCGCTGATTTAGTTTAATGTTTGGCATCTCTAAGTAAAAAAAAAGATGAAAATTATGCTTTTGCTTCTATCGATTATGTATAAAAATGTCTCTATTACATATCTGATAAATCCAAAAACAATGAAACCTTGAACCCAAAAACTAAAGAAAGTTTGAAAAAAAATAAAAAAATAAAAAAAAAATATTAATTTTTTAAAAAGCATATTGGGTACCCTTATTAGGTGTATTATCAAATTTATGCGGTGATTAAAGACCAAATGTATAAGTAAAAAGCATGGATTGCCTATTTAGTATACTTTCGTTATATGGACATATGTTTTCAATAGAGTTCTGGAAAATTATTTTTTAAGGAGTTTTACGTCCTTTGTTTGATGAAATATAGTTCACTTTTTAACAAATGATTACTAAAAAGTAATTAAAAGAACTTAATTGGCTAAAAAAATCATGTATTAATGCTTTTAATCATATTACTTAATTGCTTTTTGATTATTTTGATAGTTTGCACTCTTTATTAATCGAGTTTATTAGAACTTACGAGAATTGTATCAATAATACAAATGAGTAAATTATTTAAATATCTGTAAATGCTTCCAAGAATACTATACTTACACTTGGGGTGAAATTCTAGGAAAATGATTGGGAAATTATTCTTGATTTTTTCGATAGAATGATTAGACTTACTACTCCAAATAAATTATTTGAGATAAATTTAGATGAGAATGGTGAATATATTGTATAAGATGTCAAGGGAAAAAGAAAATAATCTTTTTTGCAATTACAATAGTAAAAAATTAATTTTGAAGATATAAATTCATAATCGAAAGCTCATTTATTATTATTAAGAGTTATTCAAGATATTCTGGTTAAATTTTATAATAAATTAAGTCCTTAATAATTAGATCATTTCAATAATATTATGAATAAATCTTATAATTTTGCGATTAAATTTAATTCTTAGATTTTCTATAGATATTGCCTATGGAAAATGGGTTTAATTTTTAATTTTATATATTTATATATAAATATATAAATATATAAATATATAAATATATAAATATATAAATATAATATATATTTATATATATACATTTTAAGGATTTAATTGTTAATTATAATAATTACCAGGAATTTTAAAATAAGAAAGATAAACATAATCTATATGGTTATATATTTCTTATATAAAATATAAAAATACTAAAAATGAAATTAATTTATAAGAAATATTAGAGTAAATTTATTTTTATTTTTATTTATAAAAGAAAATAAATTATAGAAAATTATTGGAACAATTAAATTTTTTTTTAAAAAAACATAAAGAATTATATAAAGCATAATAATGTGAATAAAATTAATTAGAGAAAAATTTAAAATAAGATACTTAAATTGAAGAATTAGATGAAGAAACACTCGAAATAATTATAAATAAAATAAAACTAACAGAAATAGAAAGAGAAGTAAATAATAATAGAACTATGATAACAGAAACGGTTCTTCCTTTATTAGAAAGAATAAGCTTTAATTAAGTATTTTTTTAAAAAAAACAATAATAACTATTTATTAAAATAATATATATATATTTAGCTTTAAGATAGAGCAAAAGAAATATATTGCACATTAGTTGATATGTCCTAATACAGTTCAAATAGAAGTTTTAATTAATTAATATGCTAATCATGCAAAGCTTGTCCTAAATGTGGAATTTAAGATGAAGATTTGGATAATTATGTAAGAAAACTTATGAAAAGCTTTTATTTATTTATAGCTGAGAAAAAAGATCATAATAATTAACTTTAAAACAATAATGGAAATTAATAACAAGAACTAAATGAAAATGTAGACGATAAAGAAGATTCCAAACATAAATCGTCTATTTAATAAATTGATGATGAAGATATTGATTTTGAGTTTGTTAAAAAAGAAAATTGAAGTAAATAAATTTTATTATTTTATACGTTTTTTATTAATTTTTTTTTTTACTAAAATAAAAAATAATTTTTATTATAAAAAAAAATTCCATAAAAAAATATATTTTATATAAAAAATAAATTTAATTATAAAAAATAATCCATTAATAAAGAAGATATATATATATATATAAAATAAAAATTAAAAAAAACAAAAATAAAAAATATGCTTTTAACAAATAATAGATATATAAGTAAAAGTAAAAGTTTAATATATTTTTTTTTATAAAGTTAACCTTTTTTATATATTATTTGTAAGCAAAAATAGTCTCTTTTTTTTGTTTTGATCAATAATTAGCGATCATTTTGTTATCATTATAATTTAATACAATTTTTCTCAACTACATATTAATAATTTACTATTATAAATTGATTAAGTATTGTTTGAATTTCTATTCTTCTTTGATCTTTTTTTACATTTCTTTTTTCTTTTATTTTAATAACTATTTATTACTAAAGCCTTTCTTCGATTCAATTTGATTAGAAATAAAATTCACTTTTTATATATTATCATTAACAATCACATAATCATTACTCACTGTTAATCTAAACAAATTTTCACCTTTACATTCATTCTTTTTTTAAATAATAGGTTTAGGGTGTCTGATAATATTAAATGGTTTATTATTTTAAGATATTCCATTAATTATTACTACTTCTTAAAGATTATTATCTTATTAATTTCTTTTTTAAGTTATTTCTTATTTTAAAGTATCTTTTTATTAATCTAATTTTTTCCAAGTAATACATTTGAGATGAGTTTCAGTATTTTTATTGGCTAAAAATTGTTTATTAGTTAAAAATTCATAAGACTTTGATTTATTAAAAGTAACTAAAGGACAATTCCAAACATTCTAAAAGGAAATAGTCTTGTTTAAAAGCTAGGAAGATTTTTAAATTAAGAAATTCTTAATTAAAGGTTAAATAAAAGTTAACACAAAATAATTGTTAGAAAATAAAGTTTAATAAATACTTTTCATATAATTATTATTAGATATTAAAGATTATTAGACTGTCTATATAGAATTATTAGAAATTAAAGGTTTTACAATTTAAACAAAAGAGTTTTATTTGGGGATAGAATTATATTTTTTTATTAACATGTACTTTATATGTAATTCGTTTTTCATATTTTCTAATAAGTCTTCCATAAAAATTCTTTCATTCATCAATTTTTATATTTATTAATAATTTTATAATTTTAAAAGGATAATATTACTTTCAGTATCTTTCAAAGATTCTTAAATAATATTTTATGATTAAAGTTGTTATTTTTGAGATAAAGTTTAACTTTCGAGTTATTTTATATATTTCTTCTAAATCTAGTTTTCTATATCCAGTTTTTATTTTTCTTAACTTAAAAAATCTATTTATTTCTTTTACTAAATTATAATTCTATTTAAATGTAATTTTTCAATTATTAGTTTTTCTACAAGTTATTTTTATTCTAGATACTCTTATTTTAGCTTTTCTTAAGAAGATAATTGTATTTTTAGACTGGCTATTGTATCCTCATAATCACAGTACTTTTTTTATATTTTTCTTTTAGTTATTTTTTGCTAGTTTAAAGTTGATTAAAGATAGGAGACTTCTTTGTTGAGCTTTTCAATAGATTATTTAGATTAATTTAGTTATTCTTCTATTTCTTAAAGCTTTTCACTATCCACTTTTATTATTTCAAAGTCTTCCATTTTTTTTTTTTTTTTTAATTATGATAAATTTTAATTTAATAAAAATTATTTATCAATTTTATTTACGGTGTTTTCTTTTTAAAGGCGGAATACTTTTTTTAATTTAATTTTTTATTTTTAATAAACAAATAATTATCCACATAAAAAAAATATACAGTAATATTATCATTAATATGTATATATTTTATTCAAATATAATTTTATTTTATAAAATATAAAATATTAACTACAATTGGTTTAAATATTTGATATATATAATTTAGTTTCAAAAATGTATTCTTTTAAGAAAATAAATATGTATTTCAATTATTAATCTTATTTATTTATTTATTTATTTAATATGAAAAATTAATAAATAAATAAATAATTTTTTGTTGTTAATATTATTTTTTTATGAACGAATTTTATTTTTTAATTTTTTAATTTTTTAATTTTTTATTTTAGTTTATTAATTTAGAAAATGAAAATAAAATAATTCTATTAAATAAATAATAGAATTTTTAATATTTTAATAAAATACAGTTCTATATCTAAAAATTAATTAATATATTTAATTATTTTTATACTAACTCATATAAATAAGCTAGTTAGTTTTAATTTTTATTTTGATTAATATATAATATAGTTAAAATATAATCTTAGAAATTAAATTTATTGATAATAAAATATAAATAGTTCCAAAAATTATTAAAGAGCCTTTAAATTTAATTATATTTGCTTTTAATTTTATATATTTTTACAATAATTTTATTTTTTCTAAAATAATTAATAAAAATTCAACATATTATAAGTAAATTAATTTTCAAAAAATAAAAAAATGTTTTATATTTTAATAAGTATATGATACAATTTTTTTATATAACTAATAATAAATAAATTTCCACTATTATTTTAAACAAAATAAATAAATAAATTAAATGTTAATTAATTTAAATATAATATACAATAATAATTTAAATTTTTTTTTAATAAAACAAAAAAAACATAGAAAACACACAAAATAAACATATAAATATAGCAGAAAATGCTTAATTTCAATAACGAAAAACGAGTCAAAAGAGAAGAAAAATACAAAAATTCGAATTTCCGTATATCATCAGCAAGTGGTTTCAAAAAAAAGCCATTAACCCGTTTAGAGAGTGATTTTTAAATGTACAAAGAGATATTTGTAGCCCCAAAAGAGCAAAAATTAGAAGATTTAAAAGAAAAAGAAAAAAATTTCGAAAATTTATTCCATGAAGATCGGGCAAAACAATACGATAAAATCCTTCATATATTTAATGAAGAGAAATAAAAAATGAGTACCAATGCAAAATTTTTAGATGAAGAAAAAATACTTCAAAATAAATTCCTTTAATATAACTCTTCCAGTTAAACACTAAAAAACGAAATTTTATATAAAACCACTACACAAAAATTCCACCCAGCTCAAACTCTTAAAAACGAAGCCGTAAAACATGTTTAAGAAAACCTCGAAATACTCGAATAAATTTTGCAACTGGATCAAACGCATCCAAAAGAGGAATATTTTTTCGACTAGCAAATACAAGTCCAACCCCCAGACTTCCCGAACGCTACCGTAGCCTCCCCCTTAACCCCAGGAAACGGTTACGCCCCTTCAATTCCTCTAACTTAGAATTTTAAACAGAATAAAATGAGTATAAAAGACCTCTTAGTACGTGCTAAAGCAGGCATGTAAGCTGGAGATATCCAAAAAGAAGCGCATTTAAGCTTTTATTTAGGTATGGTATACGAGAATAATAAATAATACTAAGAATCAATCCGTTTTTATAAATAATTTTTTACTTGTGCAAGAATGATGGAGGATAAAATCGGGCTTTCATTAGGTGCAAACAGGATCGCAGTGAATTATTTCAACGCAAAAAATTACGAGAAGTCAATTGAATATCATTAATAAAATTTGGAACTTTCTGATTAAGAAAATACATTCGCAGCACATTACAATATGGGAATTACTTTCAGGAAAATCGGCTGTTTTGAAGAATCTGTTGAAAATCTTAATAATGCACTTTTATGGGCTAAATAAAAATAAGAATTGGAAAGTGAATGCTTAGCTTATGGATAATTAGGAGTGACTTTTATTTAGAATAATTAATACGAGCAAGCGCATTAGAATTTCGGAAAATGTCAAGAATTAGCTAAAAAAATAAAAAATTAAAAACTTTAATTAGATTGTCTTCTACACATTACAAAAATTATGTCATAAATAAATTTTTAGAGTTCAAATACGAATATTTAAATTTTAAAAGATGCCGTAGAGTGTGCTTATGGACTTGATGATAAAAAAACTGCGAGTCTTTGCTTTTGTAATTTGGGGATTTTGGAAGGAAATTTGGCATATATTCAAAGTAGTGAGGAAGCTAATAAGTTCGAGAATGAAATTGAAGATGTTTAAGGAGATTGGTGAATATGTATTTTTCTATTATATGTTATTTTTATATTAAAATGTATTTATTATTATATTTGCATTTTTATAATAAATATAGTATATTAATTTTATAGTTTTATTAAGAATATATATTATTTCCGTTTGTAAAATTAAAATTGGCTTCAATAAATAATAATTAAATAGTATTTTATTTATTTAAAATATATAAAAAATAATATAAAATAGTTATAATAATTATTAAAGATATTTTTATAAATATTAAAATAGAAAATTTTAAAATGAGATATAATTAAATGAAAAAATAAAGAATAATAATAATTATATATGATCAAATATATATTTCTTTAAAGAATTAGTGTATTTTATGTAAAAATTATTTAATAAAATTTAACTTATATATATCATATTTTAATACATTTATAAATGTATTCTAAAAAGAAACTTACTTAGGAATTAAAAATTTAAGATATTATTAAATAAAAATAATTATTATTATTTTCTCAATATAATGAAAGTAGAAAATTAAAAAATAAATAAATTGTGCTTTTTCTTGAATAAAAAGCATATTTACTTAAAATAAATATATTATCTTGAAAATTAAGTTATAAAATAATTTAGCTAAAAATTCATTTATATTATTAAATTTAAAAATATTTTTATTTTTATTATATTCATATCTTTATTTTTGGTAATATAAATAAAAATAAAAAATAATATATATATATATTTAATAAAGAAATTTTAAAATTATATTTTAATATATTTTATTTTATTATTTTTATTTTATTAAATCATAAAATTTTATATGCAATTTATCAGCATTAAGTTAATTCTTAGTAATATAAATAACTTATTACTTTTTTATAAAGCTTTATTTGGCAATACAAATAATGAAGGAGGTATTTTATTTAAATTGATAATTCTTCATTATTTGGTTTATTTTAAATTCCTCAAAATATATAAAAATCAACTTAAACTTCTCTATATAGAGCGTTTTTAATTGCATTTTTTATTATTAGCTTAATAATATTAAAAAATTATTTTTTAATTGATATAAATATATAATATTTTTTACAAATTATTATGTGTGAGCATTATATTATAATTTTTATAAATAAAGAAAAAATAAAATAGTTATATTTATATTATTCTTGTTTTTTTTTTGGGAAACATTTGTATTTTATTAAATGAAAATATTTTTTTTTTATAATACATTTGATTATTTTATCATAAATTAACTGAAATGTTAAAATACAATTACAATATTTTTTATATTAATAAACTATATATTAAATGGTTAATAAAAAAATTATAATAATTAAAATATAATTTAATTTAATGATCAAATTTATAATTTTATTTTTTATATATTTATTGTATCAATAAAAAAAAAACTAGAATTAAATAATCAATAAATAAATAAAAAAATTTAAAATTAGTTTAAAAGAAAATTTTTTGAATTAATTATTAATTATATAACCTATTTCTTTTAATAAGAAAATAATTATATTAGATTTATAATAAATATTAGTTATATTATTATTAATAAAAAATAGAAAATAATACTAATTTTAATAATAACGGATGAAACAAATCAAATTAGGATGGATTATTTCATAAAATTAAATTATTATCTTATTAAAAAATATAAAGAGGTTATATTTTAAATTAGTAACGATATAATATATTATATATGATGATTTTGTATATCAAATTAATATTATATTATACTCAATAATTCATAAATATAAAATATAAACAAATAGATATATAGGTACAAATTATTTGTAAATAAATATAGATTTTTGTTTATTAAGTTTTTAATATTATATAAATATTAAAATAAGAAATTTATATTATTATATATAAAAATTTGTAATTATATAACTTACTTATTGACTTATTGCTTAATTAAATTTTCTTTTGGCATTTATAATTTTAGACTTTCTGATTTCATTATCATTATTATTATTATTATTTTATGTATATAATAAAGTATACTTTTGTCTTTATATTAAATTTGACTAATTTAAATATTTTATACATAATTTATTAAAGTATAAATTAAATAAATTACAATTAGATAATATATTATAAAAATTAAATATTTATTAAATATATATAATTAATAATTTTACCTTTTATTATAATTATTTTAATTTTAATTTTTTATAGATTTCTTATTGTTTAAATTATATTAAGATATTATTATTGCTTTTAAATTAAATATCAATATTTTATTTATTATTTTTATCATTTTATTTATTTACTTAAGGTTTTATCCTCTATATATTTCTCCATTATTAATATATATATATTTATGATTAGATAATTTAATATTTTAAAAGCTAATTTCAAAAGTATCATTTATATATATTTCTTTTAAGAACTATGAGATTATATTTTAAGTTTAAATATTTATGCTATAATTTTATTCGATTTCAAATTTTTGCAAAATATACAATATATTTATTTAATTGCTTAAATTAAAAATTTTTAGCAGATGTATATTTATTATTACAACATATAATATTCAGTAATTAATAATACATTATTTTATTAAAATTATAATTAAATAAAATTAATATTAAATTAAATTTAAATAATTTTATTTTTTATTTTTATAGTTAATTATGAAAAATCATATTTTTATTTTATTAATATTCTATTGATTTACTTTTATTTTTTATGTAAAATTTTTATTTATTTAATTATGATTAAAAAAAGTATAAAAAATATTAATTTAAAATTTAAAAATTTATAAACTTTTTAAAATTAAATAAAAAAAACAATATAAATTAAATTTATATTAAGATATAAAGAAAAAATATATATTTATTTATAAATATTTTATTTAATTAAATATTATGTATTATTTATAAAAACAATTTTATCCTAAATAATATAATATCTATTTTCAAACTTTTAAAACTTATTGATTTATCTATTAAAAATATAAAATCTAGAATTATATCAAAATTTGTATATTATTTATTATTTTATTAAAAAACTATTATTCTTAAAGTAATTTGTGAAAAATAAATTAAATATAAATCAATTATAAAATCCAATAATTATTTGAATTAAAACTTAAGGTTTAAATAAAAACTTGAATGTTTACTTTTTAAAAAAAATTAATTTTAAAATAAAATTAAATTAAATTATACAATAATTATTTTTTATTCATTCTTTTAAACTATAAAATAAGTAATCTTTATTTAAAAAAATACTATTAACAGCACTTTTATATTTTATTTTTTTGGAAAATATTAAATTTTTATTGTTTAATAAATACAATATTTATTTTTTAATTTTCCAAATGTAATAATATTTTATATAATTTTTTATTAAATAATTTTTTTTTAAATAAATATAATATACTCTTTTATTTAAAAATTAATTTTTTTGATAAATTATATTATTTATATTTTAATTCATATTATTAAATATTTTAAAAAGAAAATTTAGAAAATTATATAACCCTATTAAAATTGTTTTTCATAAATCAAAAAAATATTTATATTTAAAATTTAAAAAATATTAAAATAATCAAGTAATTTATTAAAATCATTAATAATATAAATAAGTATAAATAAAATATTTAATTTTTTTTTATATTTAAAATTAAAATATTTTAATTTATTTAATTAATTTTTTATTTAAAAAATTGTAAAATAAATAATTAAATTAATAATTAATATAAAAAAATTAATTTTATATCAAAGCTATTTTTTTTAATTTTAATTTTTAAAGATTATTAAAAAATTTTATTAAATTAAGTTATTTTTTTTTAAAAAAATAAAAAACAAATTTATTAAAAGATAAATAGATGTAAATCAAAAAAAAAAAAACAAGAAATTATGATTTATGTTATAAATAAAATTTAAATAAATTCAAATTAAATACCTTTGAAGATCAAAATATTGATTTGAACTCTATTGTTAATTTTTAATATAGATATTTAAATAAATAAAAAATAAATTACCAAACATATAATTTAACTCATTTTACTGATAAAATAAATGGTTAAACTTAAAATTAATATTTAACTGAGACAAATAAAAATAACTAAAAAGACTAATAAAAATTATCAATCAATTAATATTAAAATTTTGAAATAAATAACTTTAGTAATAGTTAAACAAATTCGCCATAAAAAAGCTAAAAATTAGCTATAATTAAAAAAAAGACTAAGAAATAAAAAATGAATTTTTTTTACTTTCTTTAATATTAAAAAATAAACAAAAAAAATTAAATAAAAAAATGGAAAATAAAACAACAGTAAAAATAAATTAAAATATTTTTACAAATTAGGTTTTTTAAAATATTTATTAAAGCTAAACGAATAATCAAACTACAACACATAATAACTTAAATTCTTTTAATATTATTCCAAATAATTATAATAATAAAAAATAAAAAAATATAAATACTTTTTAAAAAACTTTAGCGCCTTAAATCAGCTTAACTTGTATTTAAAATAGTTGTTTAGGTAATCATGATTAATAATTTGAAAGTTAATAAAAAAGTCATTACAATAGCAATTACTAAAATTTATAAAACTTAATATAGTAAAGTAAATCTTAAATGTTCATAAGAGAAAAAAACTAAAATAAATTTAACTTTTCAAAATCTATAAATAAATTATGATAAGGAAAATAAAACTATTAATCAAATAATAAATTAAATGATATTCAAAATTCAATTTTTATTAAAAATTTATCTAATAGAAATGATTAATAATAAAATTTAAAAAATAACCTTTTTAAAAAATAAATAAATATAACTAAAAAGAATTCATTACCAAATCTATAAATTATTCATCCTATTATTGATAATAATAAAGGACCTTTTTATAAGTTTAGTATTTAAGATGGTATTCCAAGCAATTTCATCTTTTTTTAAGATTTTAAAAGAAATTTTTTTTTTTATTAGTTGCCCAATGAAATATTTTAAAGTTATATATTTAAATTTTTAAAATTAAATGAATTATTATAAATAAGATTAGTTTGTAAATAATTTAAAAAAAAGTTGAATAAATTTCTAATAGAATTATCAGATTGTAATAAATACATTAAGTAAAAATAAGAAATTTACCAAAATAACTAACTATTTTTAGATGAATTAGAAAAAAATGAAGATATTTAAATTCGACAAATATTTTTTATTTTTTAAAATCTAAAAAATATAGAGATAAATTTTAAATAAAGTCCTCCTTAATCCTTATGTATTGTACTTTAAATATTTTTAAGCTTATTTTAAGTTGAATATATAATATTTGATATTAATTAATAATGGTAAAATATATTAATAGAATATATTTTTAAGGATAACTAATATATAAATTTTCAAAAATATAAAAAATTTAATATTAATTCTATTCTAAATTTAGTAAATTAATAGAGCTATATAAATGCAAAATAGATTATTACATTTAATAATTAATAATTAAATTTAATATGTCCTATTAAAAACTAGCTTACTTATTAAATTTATAAATTTATAAATTTAATTATTTAAAAATTTGAGTTTGTTTTAAATAAAAATAGCTTTTTAATAGAATATCATAAATTAAGTAAGATAATTAATGAAAACTAAGAAATCTTAATAATACATAATGTTTATAAAAATAAAGTAAAATTTTAATGATTTATAAATATTTTAATAAATAATTAAATTAAATAATTAAGCTAATTATAAAAATCTTATTTATATTTTTTATAATAGTGTAAATTTTTGTAGTTTGTCTTACAATATTTTTTTAGTATTTAATTAATAAATCTTTTATAATAAAACACAAAAAGTTATTTATAATATATAAAAAAATATATTATATGTAATTTTTTTTTTTGATAAATAAAAGTTTTTAATGAAAAGAATTTAAATTAAAAAAATATATATATTTAAAATTGAGACTGTCCAAAATAATAATAATATTCAATCATTTTTTTATAATACTAATACATTATAACTCATTTATTCATCACTTCTTTGAACAAATTCATTAAAAACCCTTGCAACATCAACTAAAAATGAATCTTTTGATGTATTTCCGTGATTTATAGGAAATTCTTTCATTCCATCAAGTTCATAGAGAATCCCATTTTTAGAGACCAAACAAACAAAATGATGAAAAACATCATCATTATAATCGTATTAAGTTTCACCATTTTAAACAGCCTCAACATGCTATTATTTCAATTCTTTTAATTATTTAAAATGATGTCCACGTTCATCTGGATTTAAACCAATTGTTTCTTTATAGAACTTATCAAAAAGGGAATCTTTTTAAATAAAAGAATGATCATCTTGAATTAAATTCATTACAGTGTTAAATATGGCTATAGTCCCGCAAGCATTTTCAGCATATTATTTCATAAAATATAACTTAGGATTTATAAATTAACCTTTTTTAATTATTTCTTTCTTCTCGTTTTCATTAAATTAATTCACTTTTTCGTCAACAGGAAATGTTAATAGGGCAGCTAATGTTTTAGAACTATTTTGTTTGAGAGATTATTCTTCTAAATCATATAAATCATTAAAAGCATATTTTTATATATCAAATCCTAATTTCTATATGAACTCATTTATTACGTCTGGGTTACTCTCTAAAGGCATCCAATCTTATTCATCCATTTTTAGCTTTATTGTTTATTTTTTTTATGTTTTTTGAAATAAATATTTTATATAATTATATTTCTATTTAAAAATAATATTAAGAATAGATGATATTTTATAATATTAAAAAATTTTTCTATTTTTTTTACTTTATAAAATTCTGAAATAATTATTTTTAATATATTATTAAAAATTGACAATTTATTATTATTATAATACAATTATAAAGAATATTTTTTACAAAAAAAATTGTTTTTAAGATAAAAAGAAAAAAAATAAAAGTTAAATTAATATATATTCTTATAAATATTTAATTTAAAAAATAAAAAAATATTTATAAAATGTACATAAATCAAATATAATTTTTAAATAGAAAAAATACATTTAATTATTATATATAAATATAAATATAAATATATATATTTAAAAAAAAATATAAAAATTCTAATATTATATTTATTTTAATTTCCAAATACGAAAAATGTTAATAAAAAATGATTAATAAACATAATCATCCTATTTCATTTAAATCCCTTGGCGGAGTTGCTTATTTTTTCCTCAAAATAATTTCTTCCTAATCCACCAAGCCACATGTATATTTACTTTGTTTTCTACTTTCAAGTAACTACTCCAAATCATGCCATGAATACTTACTATTGAAATTAATATTCGACTAAATAGATTTTGGTTATATTTTCATAGTTTTCCCCACGCATAGTATTGAAGCATTATTTTAATACCTTCCAGCATAATTAGTATTTGAAAAAATAGTAATAATATTATTATTTAATCTCTCAAAACCTTTCATTACAGGCTCATTAGTTCTAATAATAATGCTAATATTATTATCAGTCATAAACTTTTAAACTCTTTTTTAACCAAACTTAAGCACATTTTTCAATCCAAAAATATCATGTGATTTATTTTCTTAATCAGATTCACTTAAACATGGATCACTCCATAAAATTTCTAAAGCGATTTTATGTTAATAAGTTTTTGGGTCTTATATAACTTCCAAAGGCCTTGGAATTAATTCTATTTCATCTATAGTCCTTAAAGTACTTCCTATTCCACTATGTACACACAAAGCAGTATCTTCCAAAACTGCCGCAAGGGGCATATATTCGAAAACACGATTTATTCTCTAAAAAACAGAATATGGATCATTTACATCTTCCATGAACTTCATTTGGCATTCGTCAGCGAATCCAAAAGCTTTAGAAATTTTTTTATCTTCCATATTTCCTCTAATCATATGTATTTAATCAAAATATTTCAATTTTAAAGAAAATAAAAGTAAAATTGTTTCGACTTACATAGTACCTCTTCCTAAATAATTTCCCATAAATAAATAATCATTAATATCTATATCTTCATCAAATAATTGGTAATTACAAGGAGAATCAAAATGGTTAAAAAAACGCATCAAATCTTAAAATTAACCATTTAAACTTCCAAATATTTTCATTGGGGCTCTTATTTTTAACACCATAGGTTCTTTTTCAAAAACTTTTTAAACTTCATCACATAACTTAATAATTTATTCTTTTTTGATATAACTTAAATAATCTTATTATGTTGCATTTTCGTATTAATCAGGATGTAAAAGTTATTCCAAAAAAATCTAATAAATTGATTCATAATATAGCTTTTTACTTGCTATATCTTAATTATCTTAATTATATCTAACATTAGTAGCTATATATATATATTTATAAATAAAAAAAATAAAAATATAATAAAAATACATAATTTAATTCCTTATTTTTATAGTTTCTAAATTTAGATTTTTTTGATAGAATTAGAATCTTATTAACCGTTCGGGTCATTTGGATCATAACAAGTCGCCACAATCGCCTCTTAAGCTAATCTAATAACCTTCTACTATTACCCAATATTATTAATTTTCGATTATAATTAAGTATTCCCCTAAAATCCATCAAACTCCTGTTCAGTATCCATTTTTTCTTATCTAAATTATTATTATTATTAAAATCCTTATTAACCAATATTTTTCTACTAATATTAACCTAAATCTACACTACTATATTTTGCAATTTATTTACTTAAATTCGGATAAATTTAAACTAATTTCATTAAATCAAGTCTTAATATAGAATCTGTAGGTACATTTGGCTATTCAGAATCGAAACCTCCATGTATATAAAGCATATTTTAAACAATCCAAACTGAATGTCTAAATCTCATTACAGCCGCAAATTTATACCAATCACTAGTTTCTGTATCGTATATTTCTAAAGGAATATTATCGTTTATTTGGTTACTTCTTCCTCCTATTACTAACATTAGAGCTCCTTAAAAAATTGTGTTGTGCTAGTATCGATGAATAGGGAGCTCTGAATTGACTTTGTATGGAGCTTTTACCCAATCCCATCTGCCATCTCGGTGTCTTCGGAGACCCCAACTATCATTAAGAGCAGATTAGTCGGAAGTCCTTCCTCCGAAAATTACCATCATACCGTTTGCGGCGCCTGAAGAGCATAAAGCAGCTGAATGATATACTCTAACAACCGGAAATTCCCCATTACATTCCAATTTAAACCAACTATATGGCGATTTTTCTAAATTTAACGCCCATACATCATTTACAGCCTCCGAACCTGTATTTCCTCCATAAACAACCAAAAAAGGTTTTACAAAAATCATCGTATGACCATATCTACGACCTGGTGTAGTTCCTACAATTGGAATATTTATCCAAGTAGTTTTATTATCCCCTTATGCTAAATCCAAAACATATAAATTATCATCTGCTAATCCACCACCTTTTATTCAATTTTTTTTTTAATAAAAATATATATATGTATATGTATTTACCTCCAACTGCTCCACCAAAAATAACTAATTTATTGTTATTATCAATTGATGCAGAACAATGAGCAGCACGGTTAGAGGGAGGAACTCCTGAAGGATTTAAACGCTTCCAATATCGGATGGTTATGTCACATGAAAATAAATCGCCTGTAATACTATATTTGCCTGTATCTCCAGTTGCACCGCCAAATAATATTACTGTTGTACGGTTTATTTATGTTGTTGTGTGTCCAAAACGAGGTTGTGGAATTTCTCCGGACATTTATATTTGTTCTATCATTTTACTCTTTTTGGTTATTTTACTTTTTGTCTATAATTTGTATATTTGTTTTTATATATGCTAAAGTTTATTTGATTTTTATTTTTTATAATTTCTTTCTTTTTTTTTTTTTTTTTAAAATTTAAAAATTAGTTTTTTTATTTTTTTAAATTAAAAAAAATATAAAAATATAAAAATAAAAATAAAATTAACTTTTTTGTTGTAATTTATTATTGTTTATTGTATAAAAAACACATAAATTTTATTTACATTAAATATAAAATTTCAAAGAAGTTATAAAAATCATTCTTTTTTTTTAAAAAAAAATATATATATATTGAAACTTGATTTAAAAAAATGTATTTATAAGATAAAAATTTAAAACATAATATGTATTATTTATTAATTAATAAAAAAAAAATCAATTTAAAGAAACATCTAAAAAATTATTCCATTCAACAGGAATATTTCTTTAAATTTCAATAGCTAATTATTTAATTTTATGTACAATTTTATCAGCCTAAGAAAGATTTCCAACAACTATTTTATCATATTCATTAATTTTAATATTAAGTAATTTTTTTTCTAAAAAATTATAATAAAAGTAGTTTTTTTTAAATTATTTCTTCCATTCTTAATATTCTTAATCTAATTATTTATAAATTGAATTAAGTTTATGGTCTTTATAAAATATTTAAGGTAAAAAATAATTGCAAATATTTTTATCTTCTTTTTCTAATAATTTTAAAACCAATAAACATGGAATATTAAGAAACATATCAGCATCTCTAAATTCAAGTTATTCTTTAAATTCTTTATATTTACAACTTGTAGCTTCTATTATATGAGTAAATTATATTAAAAAACTAGTTTTTTATGCATCAAGAAAATAGTTTTTACCTATATTTAACAAAAAAATAAACATATTTATCTAAATTAATCAACAAAAAAATACCTTTTTCCCAAGAAACTTCATATTGATATAAAGCTTCTACTAGATCAGTATTATTTTTTAATTAAGGATCAAGAGTATCTATACTTTCTTAATACTTTATAAATATTTCCCTTAAATTTTAAAAGCATTATTTAATTTTTTCAGCCAAACTTCTAACCGCAAGCGATTATTCATTTGTGATTTTTTTTAAAACATTTTCTGCTTCTTATAAAATTTCGAAATCTAAATCATCCCTTCCTTTTCCTTCCATATTAGCTATAGAATTTATTAACGAAATTTATTTACATAATTATTTTTAAAGTTTTATATATTCTTCGTTTTAAATGAAGTATTTACCTTTAAATTTCTCCTTTTATTCGATTTCTTATAATTTCTATTATATATCTATAGCATCTTATATATATTTTCTTGATTTAGCTTCAATAATTATTAATTCATTTATATATTGTTTCTCAAATTAAGCCCAATTATTATCAAATATTTCAAGACTTTATTTTAAATATATTTTTAATTCCTCACATGTTTATTCTTGGACATTTTAACATATTTTTAAATAAGTAAATTTTATTGTATTTTACATTTTTAAAAAACTTTGCATTAACTAGCGGCCTAATTCTATTACTTATTCTGTAAATACAAATTTTTCGCCATTTACATATAAATAAGGGAAACCTTTTTTTATATATATTTAAGAAATAAAATAAAAATATTTATATAAACACCTTCTTATGCACTATCAAATATTTCAGTTAAATAATTTAATTCACCTTCCTTAAATAATATTCTATAAGCTTTTGAAAAATCACTTCTGTATTTTCTCGAACCTTTTTAACATTTAAGAACCTTTTTAATATAAAAAAAATAATTATATTATTAACGAAAAAAAAAAAAAAAATATATGTAAATAATAAATTATTTTACCTTTATTAATTTTTAAATATTCTTGAGATATTTTTTGAAAATTTTTTATCCGATAATTGAGTCAAGGTCAAATTTTTAATAATCAGTTTATAAAAGCCTTTAATTTAAAATAATATTTTATTCCAAAATCATAAATATATAGCTTCTTTTGAACTCCTCTATATCACTTAAAGGTCTTGCAGGAGCCGTTTATACCCTTAACCTATTAAACTTATAACAATAATTACTAAGCAAATTACTGAAAGATGATTAGGATGAAAAACATTAATCCAATTAATTATATACAGAATTTTTATACTATTCTTTTACATTTTACCTTATTTAATCTTACATAATTGAACACTAATTACTTTCTTCTTCTTCTTCTTCTAAAAAAGAAGAATCTTCTTCATATATTTCATCTTCTTCCTATTTATTCTATTCATTTTCATTTATTTGATTTTATAAGTTTGAAATTGTTGTTAATCCTACTTAGTTTTAGAGAGTATGATTACTAGTTATATTAGAATTAATTTAAATCGAAGGGGAAGCATGAATAAGTTCTCTTAAATAATTCGTACTGTTAAACCTTACTTAGTTTACGCCTTCTGTATTATTTCGAAGGAAACGAATTTATTCACGTATTGCATTCTCGTTTAATTATTAATATATATCAACATTTATTAAATTTATTTAATTTTAAATTTAGTTGTTATTGGCTGTATTTAAAATGCTATTATTATTGATTATTTGTCTTCCTTACTATAAGAAGTTCATTTATTATTTTAAAAATAAAGTTTTTTATGTATTATTTTTCAATTATTAATATAATTTTTTTTTGTAATATTAGTTAAATATATTGAATAGCTTATAAATTTATATATCTATATATTATATTTTAAATTTTATTATTTTATATATAAAATATATTTATATTTTTCTGGTGTTTTATATTTTTTTTTAAATTATTAGATTAAAATTTATTAATAAATAAATAGGTACATATTTAATTAAATAATATTTTTAAATAACAAAAAGTATATAATTAATAATATATAGTTTTAATTTGACTAAAACAAATGAATTATTTATTTAAAATAATTAATTATAATCATAAAAAAATATAATTTGAATACATATAGTTATAATATTCATTTATATAAATTTCAATTTATCTTTCTACATTAAGTTTTTTTAATTATGTTATATTTTTATTTGCATAAATGATAAAATATATCTAATATTATAATATAGAAAAATTAAATTTTGGTTTGCTTTATTTATTATTTTACTTATCTAAAAATATCAAGTTTATTTTGCTAGTTATTATATTATTATAATATTAAAATTAAAAAATTCCTATTTAATTTCTCACATATTTTCTTTTTATTAATATAAATTCTTTTAATGTATTAAAGTTTTCCAAAAAAAATATAAAATTTCGATTTTAAAAACATAATTGTAATATTTTTATAATTTTATTAAAATAAATATCAAATATACTACTAAAATTATAAATAATTCTAATATTTAAAATTTAATTATAAAGTAATTTATTGATATGTAATTTGATCTTAATTTATTGATATTCGTGTAATAAATTAAATCAAACAAAAATAAATTATATTATTTTTATTAACTATTAAGCCTAATTATACATTATTTGTGCTTATAAAAAATAAAATTAAAAATTTATTTATAAACATTAAATCTTTTTTTTTTTTTTTTTAGATTGATTTGATTTATTTTATAATTGACTTTATTATATAACAAAAATAATTTTATTTTTTAAAATAATAATTCTTGTTTCTATAATGATTCGTAATAATCAGGTTATACAGAAAGAGTTAGATAGTGCAGAGCAAGAAAGGAGAAAAACATAGGAAAAATTAAATGAATTTAATTAAGAAATAATGAAACTTGATAAAATAAATACTATTTATACTTAATAAATAAAAATGCTTTAGAATGTAAGTTTTTAAAATAATGTATATTTATTTTCTTAAAAATCTAGCGTATAGAAGAAAAAGAAACAAAATTAAAATAAATAACATTGAGTATTTAACAAATTAAATAATAGCATGGAAGTTCAGACGCCAAACAACTAAAAATGATTGAAGAAAGAGTTAGAAAAATTCTAAAATGCTTTTATAAAGATTGTAGAATTTAAAACAATAAAATTTAGCATATGATTTAACCTATAGAAAATAAATTAAAATTGATAAATGAAAAATAACAAGAAAACAAAAAAAGTAAATTAATCTTTTATTTTTTCTAATAAAAATTAATTTAAAGATAATAATAATGAAAATAATAATATAATCAATTTAAATTTAGCTTTAAAAAATGGGGATTATAATTAAGAATACAATTTTATAATTAAAATAAATTAAAATGGATAGGAGTCAGATCTTCCTATAAATATTAATAAAACTAAAACTTTTGAATAATTAAAAAAGTATCTTTGTTAGAACTATGGTATATAAGAAGACTCGCTTATTTTTATAGATGAAAGTGGAAACGTATTAATTGATTAAATGGAAATACAAAAATCTCTTTATCCACCAATTTTTCGAGCAATAAAAAATTATACACCAGTGCTTCATATAAAAATAAAGTATAAATTTTTTTATTCATTAAAAAAATAACCTTTAAAAATTAATAATATTTTGTTAATATATTAATAAATATAATAACTTTTATAATTATTTATAAAAATATTTTATTTTATTATATTAAATAAAAAAATTAGTCGTGATATTGCTAAAAATAATGAAGCATAAGAAACAGAAATTATAAATGAGTAAAATGAATAATAAGGAGTACATATTATTATATATATATATATATATATATATATATTAATATATATATATAAATTATATATAAATTATATATAGTTACTTGAATAAAATATATTTAATGAGGAAGATTTAAAATTAAATTTAAAGGGAAAGAAAAATAAAAATAAAAAAAACAATGATTTAAACATTGCAAAATGTTTCGAATATATAAAATCATTTTTTGAAAATCTAATTGTTTTTATTCTAATTGCTTTATTTGTTGTATATAAATTTGATAACGATGACAGAATAGATAAATATAAGTTAAAAAATTACAAATATATATTATTTTTTGTTTAATTTTTTTTTATAAAAAAGTATAAGCAACAATACTCTATAAAATGTTAATTTAATTTTTTAGAATTTACCTAATTTCCATTTAGATTTTAATAAAAAAGTTTAATAAAGAAATATATAATAGATTATTCATTAATTTCAAGTGATCACTAAGATATAAGAAATATTTATTTTGCTTATTATGGAATGACAAATTAAGAAGATGATTGTATTTAATTTATTTTTTATAGTTAAATATAAAAATAAAAATTTAGATAACAAGAGAATTTGTAAAAATTAAAAAATTTAAGACAATTGTAAACCGAAAAAATATTAAAGAAATGCAAATTTGGTAGGTAGAATTATTTAATAAAGATTCAAAATCAATCCTTCTTGTCAAATATATAATGAAGTACATAAATAAGTCTTTGAAAAATACTTTAAATGTATAGATTTTGGAGTAATAGATACAGAGACATATTGGAAAGGATAAGGAAAAGCTCCTGAACATTTTATTTATAAAGAAAATTAAGAAAACCAAGATCTTTCAGGATATTATATCGATCTTCCAGGTATAGATGGAGAAATCATATCATAAATAGCTGGATTAATTAAGTATTTTGTTAAATAATTTTTTTTTTTTTTAACAATGAAAAAAAAGTGATAAATGGATAGATTATTAAACATCTTAAATATAAATAATTGTAAATGCTTATAATGCCCCTAGTTAAATAATATATTAAAACAAAATTATTATAAGATAAATTTATTCGGATTCATTTATGTTGACTACTGATATATACACAAATTCAATTTCTTTAAAATAGTAATCAGAAAAAGATGATATATTGTCTTTAATTATTAATACTATTGCTGGTTTGTTGCTTTTTTTCGCGGCATTTGAATATATAGGAATTTTCGGCGCGAAAACAAAAAATGCAAGAATTTTGCGTTTTAAATAAAAATAAAAAGAAATAAAGGATATTATGAATAAAAATGCTTATTTTGAATTAGATATTAAAAGAAGATATGGAGAAAACTATAAAAACGATCCTAAAGCAAATATGGAATTAGAATTAAATAAATTAACTTTGCCGTAATTTACAGATTCAGTTTATTTTATTTTTGATTTTAGAAAAGTTATTATACTTATTAAAAGGCCGACTATTTTTGATATTTTAAGTATATTTCTTAAATATATTTTTTTGTTTTATATTTATTTTTTTGTTTAGATATTATATCTTTAATACTGATTATAGTATAAGGAGGTATAAGCGATAATATTAAAGCAGAAAAATAAAAAATAGATTTAACATCAAAAGAATATATATATTTGGATAAATATATATAATAAGATAAGTTGATTAATTATTTTACTGCTGTAAATATATTATTACTTTTTACTTCTTTTACGAAATATATTGTTAAATGGAGTTATTAAATCTAAGTTTATTCGGAAATATTAACAATGTTTGTCAAAAGCTCATGGGTTATATCATTCATAATATTTTCTGTTAATGCTGTAGGTGCATTATGTATAATGATGTTTTCTGATGGGGTTTTACCAATGTATGATAGTTTTATTTTTAGTCTATCATCTATCATAAAATGCAGCCTATGTAAATATATAATTGAAAATAAATGTTTAATTTATAAAATTATAATATACAAGTTTCTAGTTTTATACCAGAATTAAAACAGTTATATTAAAATGATTTGCCTCCTTTAGTAAGATAATTAATTTTTTCATTAAAAACCTAATCTGTAAAAAGAAAAAAAGTTAATTTTAAAATAATTTATTTTTATTATAGATGTTAATTATATTGATTTATATTATTCATTTTGGAATTTTCGCGCTTCTCTCAGCTATTATGGTTTAATTAATACATAGTACTAAAGATAGATTAGAAAAAGAAAGAAATGAATTACTTAAAGTTAAAAGATCAAACTTTATTAAATAAGATACTGTGTTTTTCTAAAGTAGTTTTAAAGTTATGGAAAGTGATAATGATAATGAATAAGATAATTAATGAAGATTTATAATTTGTTAATAAAATATATATTATATTTTATTTATTTATTTTTTTGAATTTTTACTCGATAATTTAAATAATGTTGTACTATATATATAAAAAAAATCTTATAGAATAAATTCTATTATATATAAATAATTTAATCTTATTTAAATTATATAAATTATTTTTATATTTTATTTATAAAGTAAATTTTATAATAGTTTAGGTTTTTAAAGTTTAATTTAATTTTTTTATTTTTTTAATTACAAAAGACTATTTATATCAATTATTATTTATTAAGTCTAGTATTTTTGGAGTAAAGTCTTTTAAATATTCTTATGGAAGTATACTTTCTTCTAAATAACTATATATTACTTATAATTATTCTTTAGTTTATTTCTATTATTTTTTAAAATAATTAAACAAAATAAGAATTTAATTTTTATATTTTATACCATATCTTTAGTTTTTAATCCAAATTATTATGCTAATTTTATTATTTAGGCTTCATTTAATTAACTAATTTATTATAATTACTATAATAATATTTTAAATTTAATTTAAAAAGTTTTTAAGGTTTTACTTTTTATATTTTATCTTCAATTCCAAATTATTCCCATAATGGACATTTTTTAATTTCTGTTTCTTGTATTTAAATTTATTGCGGCTTTTCTGTTTCTGTTAATTTCTATATATATTATTCAATAAATGTATCTTCATTTGATTCATCCATTATTTAATTATTTTCTTAATTATCATCACAATTTTATGTATTTATTTGTATTAAATTATCTTATTAAGGAACATGTTATTGATTTATTTATTTTTAAAATAAAGCTATTTTGAAAAAATTAGAATTATTATTAATGTTTTCTTCTTAATCATCAGAATGTTCATTAATAGTGAATTGATTTTGTGAAAAAACAGACTATTATGCTTATAATTTTTCATGTCTAATGTATAAATTAATAATATTTTTTTTAATTTATTTTAAATTACTCATTTTGATTTTTTTTTATTTCTAATTCTTATAATTAACTTTCTATTTTTTCTCTTTTAATTGTAAATTCTTCTAATTTTTTTAAAGTGTCTTTTAACTATTTATTTAAAAATAAAATTTGTTCATCAATATTCATCTTTTATTATAAAAAATAAAATTATATTCCCAAAAAGTTAATTAAATTAAGATTACATTTTAAGGAATTTTTATTTCTTACTATTTTTAAGGTTTACTTGACTTTTTAGTATTTTATTTACGCCCAACTCTATTTTATATAATATTTAATTATTCTTATATATTCATTTAAACTTTAATTAGATGTTCGCTGGCTTTAAGACTTCCATTTAATTTGTTTCTTAGTTAAAAAAAAGCATTTTTTTTATTTTTTAGTATAATATGAAAAAAAAAAAAAAAAAAAAAAAATTTAAATTTTAAAATATTTATTTTATAGCAATAATGAAATTGATTAAAAATCAGTGATAATATAAATATAATTTTTATCGATTAAATTATAAATATTATATTAAAATTTTTAACACTTGATATTCTTTTAAAATTATATTAAAATTTGTATATTATGTTTTCTATTATTTTTTTTAATATTTTGATAAGATAATATATAATTTTTTAGATATACAAAAAAAAATTATTTAAATAAATATAAAAGAAATAGATATAAAAATATTATCTTATAAATAAATAATTAATATTTATTTAATATATATTTTAAAATTAAATATAAAATATAGTCAATAATTATATTAATTCTATTATTCTAATAGAAAAAATTTCCTACTGATGTTAAATTCATTTTTTTTGTATTTAATTGTTATATATTAAATATAATATTATTTTTGATTTATAACCATTCTTTTTTTTTTGAGACAATCTTTTAACTTAAAAATAAAATTATATTAAACAATAATTTATAAATATCAATATAATATTTAAAATTAAATTTAGTTTATTAGCCTTTTACATTCCATTTATTACGAATAACAACTTTATTTATGTATTTTTAAATGACTATATTCTTTGGTATAGTATTTAAGAGCTTCTTTTTGAATTTTAATTTAAAGAGAGAATTATAAAAAACATATATAAAAATAATATATAAAAGTTAATAAATTAACTCAAGTAATTATTGAAAATAATAAAATTAATTAAGGAAAAGAGGTTAAAATAGATCAGTTATAAAAAAATTGGATTTAAATGATAATTATAAAAAAGATATTCGAACAATAATTTTTATAAGAACCAAAAACAAAGCAAATTACTACGTACTATATATATTTTCTAAAATTTAAATACGTAATAATTATATTCTTTAAATATATCTTTATAAATAAAAAGTAAACTAAAAATAAAAATAAAAATAAAATAAAATAAAATAAAATTAAATTAAAAATAAAATAAAATAATCAATTAAAATAAAAAAATAAAAATTATGGCCCCATTAACAGTAGGTATTAACGGCTTCGGTAGAATTGGTAAATTAGTCTTAAGAGCATCACTTGAAAATAAATAAGGCTAATTAGTAGTAAATGCTATTAACGATCCCTTCATGAACACTGACTACCTTATTTACTAATTAAAGTATGATTCTGCTCACGGAAAATTGCATGGAACCGTTGAAAAAGTAAACGAAAATCTTATTAAAATAAACGGAAACAATGTCCACCTTACTCATGAAAAAGACCCCAACATGTTAAAATGGGGTGATTTTGGTACTCATATCGTATGTGAATCTACTGGCGCATTCCTTACTTAAGAAAAAGCTGCTGGTCATATCAAAGGAGGTGCTAAAAAAGTTATTCTTTCTGCCCCTGCCAAAGATGCTACCCCCACTTATGTTGTAGGAGTCAACCACAAAAATTACAAAGCTTCCGAAAACATCGTTTCTAATGCTTCTTGCACAACCAACTGTCTTGCCCCCATTACTAAGGTCCTCCACTCAAATTGGGGAATCGTTGAAGGTTTAATGACAACTGTACATGCTTCCACTGCAACCTAATTAGTTGTCGATGGTGCCGCTAAAGGAGGAAAAGATTGGAGAGCCGGAAGAGCTGCTTAAGCTAATATCATTCCTTCCACTACTGGAGCTGCTAAAGCTGTAGGATTGGTCCTCCCTGAAGTCAAAGGAAAACTTACTGGTATGGCCTTCAGAGTACCTACCATTAATGTCTCTTGTGTTGACTTGACTGTCAGATTAGAAAAAGGAGTCTCTTATAAAGATCTTTGCAAAGCTATGTAAGAAGCCTCTGAAAAAGGAGATCTTAAAGTAATATTGATATATATTTTTATATAAAATATTTATTAATAAATAAAAAAAGGGAATTTTAGGATACACTGGTGACGAAGTTGTTTCAACTGACTTCAACCATGATGCCAGATCTTCGATTTTCGATGCCAAAGCAGGTATTGGATTAAATGACAATTTCCACAAAGTTGTTTCATGGTATGATAATGAATGGGGATATTCTAATAGATTATTAGATTTAGCATTACACGTTAAAAATGTTTCTGGATTGTGAGTATTTTTTATTAATTTTATAAAGAAAAAATAAAATATTTTTTATGCTTTTGTTAAACAAATAAATAGTATTATATATATCTTTATATCTTTTAATGTTTGTTTGTTTAATTTATTTTATTTACAAAAAAATAAAATATAAAATAATTTTTCTATTTTTTAAAAATTAATTATTATATATATTGATTTTTAAATTATATATTATAATTTTTTTTTTATTATTTAGTAAAATAATGTATTTTTAGGTAAATGTGTATATATATTTTATTCAAAATAACAATATAAGAAATAATATTTATAAATATTTTTATAATATTAATTTTTATTTTTTCATTCGCCTATTTTATCTAAAACATGTAAAGGAGCTTTTAGTATATAATTAATTATTTAAAAAAATAAATATTAATATTAGGGTTATAAATAATATTTTTTTAAAAATTAATAAAAAAAAACCTAAAATAAGAGTTTTATTTGTCTCAACAATTTATCCATTCATTACCATTTCTTCTAAAATATAATGTGCTTTATGTAAACTCAACATAATCTACATCGATAAAAATAATATTTTTAAAATAAACTTTATTGATGAAATAATAAAAATAATTAAAATTACATCAAGTTCACACTTTTTTTTTTTTTTTTATAAAAAAATAAATAAAAATTTGTTTTATTTTATTTAAATTATTACGACATTTTCAAAGTATTTATCTAACGTTTCTACTAATGTATGTATAAATTCAAAATATGCTAATTCATTCTTTTTTTTTTTTTTTTTAATTTTTTTTTTTCTTTTTACTCTTTATTTATTAATTAATTATTACTTCTTCTTCAATATCAACTCCGACTATAAAATATAATGAAGCATATCTCCTATAAATTACTTTATAATTTCTATGTTCAATAAAAGAACATTATGTATTATTTCTTGATAAACATTTTCTAACTAATTCACCTTCTAACGTTGTTCTTTCTTAAACAGACAGACTATTATAATATTATGCAAGTCTATAAAATTTCAATTAATTTAAAATTCATATAAAAAAATAAAAAACCTAGTTTAGCCCTATTTATTAACCATTAGAATAAACTGAATCATATTTTTATTGAAATTAAAAATATATTTTATAATATTATATTTTTTTATTTTAATATTAATCAAACATATTATAGATATTTTTTTTGAATAAAAAAAAAATTTTTTTTTTAAAAAAAAAATAATATTTATTTAAGAAAAATATATAATTAATATAATTTTATATAAAAAAATGTCAAAAGCATACTATTTTTTAAAAAATTTTAATTGGGAAGAAGTTTAAAATTTATTATGCTATGGAACTAAGCATCCTAATATATTAACAAATCATTAAAAGATAACTCGTCTTTATAGGTAAATTTATTTTTATTTTGAGATAAAATAAAAAAATTAAATTATGAAAAAAAAAAAAAAAAAAATTAAAATTATTATTTTTTAATTTGAAAAAAGTTATCTATATGATTTATTAAATTATTAAAAAATAAATTAAACAAAAGAGCTACTTTAAGAAGAGTAAATGCGCATTAATTAGAAGGTTATAGAACTTGTTTTATAAAATATAATGAAACTTTACATAATGTATCCGATGATTTCAGAAAAATGTATTAATTGCCAGTTGAATCTCTTGAATTGAAAACTTTTTTCAAAAAATATGAAGATTTACATGAAGAATTATTTGACCCTAATATGGTTATTGGTAATTAAAATAATTTAAAAAAAATAATAATAATAATTATCTTTAATTAGATGAATCAAGACCTTATGCCCCAACTTCAAATAGATATTATATTTTTGATGAAAATGTATTAATAAAATTATATATATTAAAAAGAAAAAATTATATTTATAATTAATTTTTTAAAAGCTTTTGAAATTCGATCCTTTTGGATATTACTCTCCCAGATTACTTTCAGAAAATAGACCTGATGAAAATATGCCTTTTTATGAAGATTATCCTTAAAATGATAGTCACTGGAACATGTGGGAACAATTCTCTGATGGTATAAAATATTAAAATGTTTTTTAAGCAATATTAATAATTAAAAAAAAAAGATTTTGATAATACTAACTACGAAAGACAATAGATTTTAAAAAATTAAAATGCTCAAAATTAGGGTTTATGATGCATTTAATATTTATATTATTAGAAAAAAATAATATAAAGTAATTTTCATTTAAAATATTATATTTATTTTTATTAAATAAATTAAAAAATAAAGCTATTATTAACAATAAAAATCAAAAAACAAGATAATCATTTTTTTTTTTTTTTTTGAATAAGATTATTTTAATCATATATTATTAATTTTATTTGATAAATAAAGGCTTTGTTATAAAATAATATTAATTAAAAATTAAATTAAAATTATTTTTTAAATTAATATTATTAATTATAAAGTTAAGTATTTTTTATGGAATTCTTTATATATACACTAGATGCTAATATTATTTTTATTTATTTTTTCGAGTTCATAAAGCAATTTTTATAATTAAATATTTAATTCAAAATATCTAATTAATCTTATTAAATTTAGTTTTATAGATTTTTCTTATTTTTTTTATTAAATATATTTAATCTCTTGTTTTAATATTTTATATTTAATACAATAGTTTTACATTGTTTTTTTTTTATATTAATTAAAAAAAATTATTCATTAGAAAAAAATCATATGAATAATTTAAAGGATTAAAAAAAAATATAATTTTAAAAAGAGTTCCTAGGTTCGTATGAACAAGCAGCCTAATATCTGAAAGATAACCATTATATTAGAAGTGGCTATAGGGTGAATTATAATTCATACAAAAAATCATTATAAAGTTGTTTTCATTGTTAAAGTAACGAATTTTCAAATATATGGTCACATGTTATTGGTGTTATAATTGTTATAATTATGATTTTTTTTTTATATAACTATCATCAAAAAGAAGCTTATGTTAATCATGTTTAATAATAAATCTAATTATTACCTAAAAACTATAAAAATTTGGTAAAAGAACTATATAACAAATTTTATTAAGAAAATAAGTAATTATATTTTTTAAAAACAATTATAATTTAATTAAATAATATATTTAGTTTTTATATATAATATTAACTGTATTAAAACATTTTAAATAACGTTTAAGAACTGCAGAATACACATTTATAAATTTTAGATTAATTTTAAATATATAAATAAAAGTAATAAAATAAATAAGAAATATAAACCAAAGTAAATATGCAATAGTTTTAAAAATTAATTATTATAATAATAATTTCTTTTTTTTATTAAAAAAAAAAGGAAAATATAATTAAATTAAAAAAATAAAATTAATAAGTTTCTGTGTTTCCAATTTTATTATTCTTAATTTCCTCAATGATATGTTTAAGTGGTAGTATTTTATTCCACACGTTTAATTGCATAAGCAAAAAACATTGTGATTTTTTATTAAGAATAGATTATGGAGGAATATGTATAATAATAGGAGGAGGGTCATATCCTTGTATATATTACGGGTTTTTTTGTGAATAAAATTTAATGCATTTTTATAGCTATTTTAATTTAATTTTGTGTTTTAGTGTATTTATTGTCTCTTTGTTTGATTTTTTACATTAAGAAAAATACAGAAATTTCAAAGGTTTATTATATGGATCTTTAGGAACAGTAACATCTGTTCCTCTTATTCATTTAATTATAAAATCGTATTAATAAATATATATTTATTGATTTTTTTATTATTTCTTTATAAATATAATTATAGGATATATGCAAATAATTAGATTAATGATTATCTATTTTTAGAAAAAAGTGTGCCTTATTATTTTGGTACGGCTATATTTCTTATTATTGGGCTTTGTACTTATTTAGCTAGATGTCCTGAAAGATTCAAACCTGGAAAATTTGATTAAGTGGTAATTTATTTATAAGGGTTTTTTTATATATTTATATTATTATTTTTTTTAAAAAAAAAGTGTAATTCTCATAATTTATGGCATATTTGTGTTATTATTGGAGTTGTTTTTTGTTATTTCGCTGGAATAGAAAATTATTTTTAAAGAGTATAAACTTAATGTTTTATATGATATAATATTATTATTTTTTAATTAAAAAATAATAATATCTAAAACTATAATTCTAGTTATTTTAATAAAATAATAATTTTAAAAAAATAAAATTATATATTGATTCGATAAAATATTAACATTATTAAAAAAAATAAAAAATAAAATAAAAAAAATATATAAATAATAAAATAAACAAAAAAAATAACATTAAAAAAATATTTAAATAAAATTAATGACATTACCTTCATGGAAAGACAATAAAAGAAGATACTTATCAATTTTAGGCGGCTTTTTAATACACATAATGATAGGAACCTTTTATTTATGGGGAAATATAAATGTATATGTAACAAGTCATTTAAGAAATAATGGATCAAATGTAACAATAGATGATATGAATTCTACTTTCCCATTTTCAGGAATGGCAATGGGTTTATTTACTCCTTTTGGTAAAATTATAGCTGATAAAGTAAAAATATTTATATAATTAAAAAAATAAAAAATAAAATTAACTTATTTTATATAATATTTTTTTTATAATTTATTATCAAACAAATTTTTTTATTTTTATTTATTTTTTTAATCAATAAAAAAAAATTATTTAAAAATAAAATAAACTTAAAGGTAGGAAATAAACGTACAATGATAATTTGTACAATATGTTTTGCCTCATGCTCTTTATTAGCTTCATTTTAAACTACATTCCTATCTTTTTCTATAACTTATGGATTTGCAGCTGGTATGTTTGCTGGAATTATATATTTGATTCCTTATTATTTTGCATATAGGTAATTATATATAAAAATTCATATTTTAAAATTATAAAAATAAAAAAAAAGATATATTTTTAAATTTAATTTTTTAAAAATAATAAAATAAATAAAAATATAATATAAAATCTATATTTTATTTATTATAAAAAAAAATACAAGTAACTTTCCAAATAACAAAGGATTTGCAAGTGGTGTGATTAGTGCGGGTTTTGGTCTTTCAACTTTTATTTTCTCTTGGCTATGTTATTTTGTGATAAATCCAAATAACTTAAAACCTATATTTAACCCAAATACCCATGAAAATTACTTTTCAAAAGAAGTTTCTAATCGTGTTCCTTATATGTTAAGAATTTTATCTGGTTTATTTTTATTCTTAGGAACATTAGGATGCTTTTTACAAAATCTTCCAGAAGAAAACGAAATTTAACAATAAGAAAGAGGCGAATCAATAAAAATAAAAATAGACGATTAAGCATCTTTCATAAATTAATATAATGGAATTAATGAATGTAAAGATATTAAAAGTGGTCTCAGAACACCAGTTGTGTATTTAACAATGATCTTAATATTGTTCTATGGGGCTTAAGGTAACTTTATAATTGATAATTTCCAACCTATTGGATAACAAATTGGAAATTTTAGTGATTTTTATTTAACCATAGTAGGTAGTTTAGGCAGTATTTTTAATGGTTTTATAAGGTAAATTAATATTTTTTTTTTTTTAAATATTAAAATTATATATATCAATTTTTTTTTATTTAAATTATAAAAGACTTATCTGGGGAAGGGCTTTAGATAAATATTGTTTTAAAAAGCTTGCCTATTTGAATTTATCTATTGAATTTGTTTGTATGATAATATTTTAGTATTGTGTCTAATATAAATCTTTGTATATTATTTCTGTACTTTTAATGCTTGGATGTTTTGGAGGTTGGAGTGCTAAAATGCCTGCTGTAATTGCTAAAGTTTATGGGAAAGATATTGGCTCTACTTTTTATGGAATTACAGTTTAAGGTTAAGCTATGGGATGCTGGTTGTAATTTTTTATTGTCAAATATTTGAGAGTTAATTTTGGGTGGAATAATATTTTCTATATTTATAGTGGGATTATTGCTATTGCGGCTATATTGACTTATTTTGCGAATTTCCATATTAATTGGAATGAGTTTTATGCAAAAAGATAAAGCTTAAAGGAAGATTTAATAATAGAAAAATCTTTATATAATAATGGGGAAGAAGAAGTACTCAAAATTGATTTAATAAAAAAACTTAGTATAAATTAAGAAGATGAGATGAAAAAATAAAGATAATGAAAATAAAAATTAGATATTTTTAATTATTTTATTTCAATAATATTTAAAATAAAATTATAATATAAAAAAAAGTAATTTTTATTATATGGTATTTTGTATTTTATAAACTATATATATAATAATTATAATAACAAAAATATTAATTAATTATTAAAAAAAAATTAAATATATAATCTTAAAATAACATAATTTATTAATATTATATAGTTAGTTTTTTAAAAAATTATATTTTTATAATATATCTAAGAAATTAAAATTTAATATTATCATAAAATAAAAATATATTTTTTTTAAACAAAATATAAATAAAATCATAAGTTAAAACAAATATATGTAATTTTAAATTTAATAATATAATTTATAATATTATTACTCATTTATTTATATATAATCAATAAAAAATTATAAACTCTATTTAAGGAGAATTAAAATTAATTTGAATTTAAAATATTATATTAAATTTAAATTATTAGCCATCTAAAGTATATAGAACAGATTAACTTTATGCTTAGACTTAATTTTCAAATATATCAGAAATATGTAAAAACTTATCTTAAATAATTATATATTTAATATTTATATATATATATATATATATAAATTAATTACTTATAAATTAATAAATTAATTATTCAACTCTATCTAAATCTAATAAATATTTATTTAAAAATATTTTATTAATTAAAAATAAAAAAATTTATTACTTAATTTTAGTTATGAATTTACTATCCTTAATTATATTAATTTATGAAATTATTTATTAATTATTAAATCTAGAAAAAAAGTAAAAAAGATTATAGTTTTTTTTTTTATTATTTTATATATTTTACAATTTCTTAATAATGATATTATTTATTTTGTACATTTCTTTTATTCTATTATTTTTTAGGACTTGTTAAACTAAACTTTTTGAAAGAAATATTTAAATTTTAATATTCTAATTATTAATTAATAATGTTATTGTCTTAATTATTAACAAAATAGCTTGAAAAGTCACTTATTTCAGCTTTTTTATTCGATTTTTATATATTTTTTCATAATATCTATTCTCATAACAATTATTTTTATTTTGTTCAGTACTAATATCAGAATAGCAGTTAGAATTTTTCGAAAAAGGAGACATATCTAAAAGAGTCATTCTTTTAGAATTTGACGTAAGCTAATTCTATTTCTTTTTTTGTATTATTATTTTTAAATATAATATAAAAATTAATAGTTTATATAATTTATACAGGAGAATCATAAATATTTTATTAATTTTAATTGCTTAATTATTTTTAAGGTGTATATTAATTCTTATTGGATATCATTTTTTATTTTTTTTAAGGCCTAAACAATTTATATTATATTAACTTTATTTTTTTAAAAAAAAATACTATTTGATTTCTTTTGTTTGTTTGTTTAGAATGTGTTAACAATTTAATAATAGTAAAATTTTATAAAATATATATATCTCTCTCTCCCTCTTTTTTTGTTTTGTTTTGTTTTTTTTTTATTTTGATTATTTTTAGGATAAAAGAAATTTTAAAAAAATTAAATTTTAAATATTTATTTTTTTAAAAAAAAAACAAAAAAAACAATAAAAATAAAAAAACCAATAAATAAATTTAAATTATTTATTTATATATTACAATAAAGTCACTTATAAATATTATTATTAATTATATATTAAAATACAAATACTTTTATATTTAATTGTTTATTTTTATATTCACTTAAACATATCTAAATATAAATATTTCAAACAATAATATATATATGAATTAGTTTAAACCAAAATTACAAAAGATTAATGGATTTTCTAATAAATTTGATCCGTATTAAATACTTTCTTATATTTTTTTGTTTCAAAATTACTTGTGTTTTAATTATGTGTATTCACATATTTAAATGATACAAATAAAGTATTTATAAATAACTATTTTTTTAATATTTAAAAAAATAATTTTTGCAAAAAGCTAGTTTCTATAGTATTATACTATATATCATATTTTATAACTTTAATACTAACATTTATATGTACATATTCAGATCCAACTGATCCTATAATAAGAATATAATAGAATTTATTTTTTACAAAGTAAAGATATATATATATATACTCACAAAATTATAACTTTTTATATATATTAAATTATTAAAATAAAGCTAAATATTTGATAATTCTTCTTATAAATACTTTTGCGATATTTGTTAATATAATGTCTAAAAATCATCAAAACATTGCAAAAATTGTAATAGGTTTTTTCATATATAAAAAAATAATTAACAAAAATAAAATATAGAAATTAAAAAATATATAATAATTCATATATTTTTAAATATTTAGATGCGTAAGTGGATTTGATCATCACTGTAAATGGTTAAATAATTGTATAGGTAAAACTAATTACAATTTTTTCTTTTTCTTGATAATATCTATTTTTATGAATAGTCTTATATTTATTTATTTTAATGCATATACTCTTGAAATTAACATAAATTTAAAATAATTTTTTATGTGGATTTTGCTTTTATTAGATATAGTCGTTTGTTTACTTGATTTTTATTTAATTTTGTTTCATATATTGCTTAAATTTAAAGGAATTTCAACTTATTAATATATAAAACAAAAAATGTTTAAAAAAAAATAAAATATTAAAAAGAATTTCTGCACTTTTTAAAAAAAAAAAAATTAATAAAAAAAAATTTGTCCTGATATTAGTAATCAAATTTCAAACTTTGATTTTAAAAAAAAACAATTTAAATAAATTTTTTAAATACGGAATGACATAATTAAAAATTATCCTTTGGATTATATTTATTAAAAAATAAAAATTTTAATTAAAATAAATAATAACAATAAATTAATTATTAAACTAAACAAAAAGATGACAATATTAACTAAAGTATTCAGCAGTTTAAATAAAAATATTATTATAACACTTCAAGAGAAACTATAAGTAAGATTGATTAAAATAATATTTAATAAATATAAAACTAATCTTTTGGAAAGATTTAAAATATTATTATAAAAAAAAAAGATGATAAAAATATAACCTTTTGAATAAAAAAAGTAATTATTTTAAAATTTAAAATAAATATGAAACATATATATTTATTTTTCTCCTCCCCCCTAAACATATATCTTTTATATTTAATTTATTTCTTTATTGAAAAAAATAACTTAATTATTTTAATTCATTTTTATTCTAATAAAAATGTATTTAAATTAATAAAATCTTATTCAATAATTTCTTCCATTAATATTAAATCAACTTCAGGTCTTTTTTGATTAATAAATATGATATATTAGCAAAATTCATGTATTTTTTATTATAACTATTAAAACGTTTAGATCTAATTATTTTAAGTTTAAAAATAAATAAATAAAGGTTATGTAACAAAAAAATACACTTGATTCAGTAAAAATAACCTTTCTAGTTGTTTTTTCAAAACTTTATTAAATATCTTCTTTTTTCATAGTACTTATATAGTCTATTTTATATGGTTATTCAAATAAAGTTCCTAAAATAGGATTAAATTAAAATGGAGTAACAAATTAATTGTTTTAAATAATATATTAATCTTATTGTATTTTTTCTATGTTAACACCAAAAGCTTAATAATAAAAAAATTTATAATTATAGTTTAAAATAATATATATATATATATATATATATACTATCAAATAAAAAAATCCATTAATAAAAATAAAAATCTTCAATTTAAACAATAGAAATTAATTCAATTAATTTTAAACCAGCAAAAATTAAATTAATATTTATAAGACTATTATCCTTTTTACTAAAAATCTTAATTAAAAGGTTCAATAAAATAGGCCATATAGTTCTAAAAAAATCTACTAACACAATCTAAGACATTCTTAAAATCATAATTCTGAAATATAATAAAATCTAATTTATTTATTTTTTTTAAAAAAAAAGAATCATATATTATTTTTTTAATAATAAAAAATAACTAAAATAATTAAATTAGCCGATGTATCGATATTTTTGATAATTTCATTTATAATTTCAAAGATTTCTTATAGTTTTTTATTATATTTATCTTATTGACCTGAATAAATAATGAAACAAATTCTGAATAATTTTTTAATTTTATGTTAATTTTCTATCCCTTTGTTAATCAAAATATTAAAAATATTATCTCTAGCTGTAAATTCTTTAAATAAATCATCTTAATCACTTACTGTATCAATAATAAGTTTCCAATAGCATAAATTTTAAACATCACACTAAAAGAAATCCTTTTTTTTTTAAATAAAAAAAAATTAATTTTTTTTATAAAAAATAATTATACTTAAGAATTAAAAATATCTAAAATATTTTTTTTAAGTTCTTTAATTAGATTTTATTTATTATTTTTCAAAAGTGAATAAATTAATTAAGAAGCGTAAAATGCATATAATTAATTCTGTTATTTTTAACCTATAACTTTGAATAAATCAATCATATATTCTTAAGTAATAGAATAAATAGTTGCAAAATCATTATTATATATATTTTAGAGTAATTCCATACTAACTTCATTTAGTATTTTATAACATAAAATACTTGTTATTTACTCATAATTAATATTTTCATTTTCACCACTTAAAAATAAAATTTAATCTTTTTAGTTTTATTTAAAAATCTTATAAATATTAGGTGAATAAGGACTTACAATTTAAAATAGATTATCGATATTATAATTTCCTATAATATCTATATTTACAAACTTATATTTAAATACTGCTATATTAGAAAGATCTAAGAGTAAACTTTTACTAATTTTAGTTAAATCTTTTTTAAAAGATTTATTATTCAATGGAGCTTTTAATGAAAACTTTAAGGTCATCATATATATACATTCCAATACCCAAACTAAACTTTCTGTATGTTTTGTATAATTGAATACTCTTTTATTTTAATTTTTTTAAATTTTTGAGAAAAATTTATTTAGATTTTAAATGAAAAAAATTACTAGAAAAATTTGATGGCTTCGTTCCATATATTAATTAAATATGTTTCGTTAATTTTTTAAGTATCCAATGGATAATTAGATATAATAACATAAAAAAAGAATAAAATATCAACTTCTTTCGTAGCAATAGAAGTATTATAAGGTAATTGATTTTTACTTAAACTCATTTTTTGTCCATAAAAATTTTTAATATTTCTTACGTTTTAAGTTTATGTTAATGTATAAATAAACTCATCTAAATTAGCTTCTAAAGAAATAATTAAATCAAACAGTTTATTTAAGTTAGAAGAATTGATTTCAGGTTGATTTTAAATCCAATTGTGGTCTGAGTATAAATTACATAATTCCAATAAAGAGTTCATAACTTCTAAATTAAATTATTTGAATAATGGTCTTATTATCTATTATATTTAATTCCTTAGTAAATTTTAGTCTTGTTCATCAATTTTAATTTAAAATTAATAATCCTTTTTATTAAATTTAATTAATATATTTAAATTTAATAAAATACTCTATTAAATATCTAAAATTATTAATAATTATATGCATTTAGACCTTTACTTGTTAATTTAATATGTTCAATAAAATATGGAGATATAGGCCAACAATGTAAATAAGCTTCTATAATACCTGTAAGATTATCAATAATATTCCTATTAATTTCTTTAAATAGAATAAACTCAGTAGCGTTTTCAAAATGTTTGTTTTCTTTAAACTTTTATAAGAAAGATGAACTTTATAATTAATTCTAATTTTCATTGCTTTTAAATTTCAAAAAATAATTCAAAAGTTAGATTAAAGCTTTAAATAATGACTTTTTTTTTTTAAAAAAAATATATAAATATATATATATATATATATATATTTTTATATATATATACAGATTAATCTTAAGTTGAATTTTTTAAAAATTATTAATTAGAATTTTTTTATTCAGTAATATTTGCATCATTTTTCTATTTGCTTTTAATAGATTAAATAATACTAGATTAATTTTTTAAATTTTAACTACTATTTAAAAGGTTTATTTTGATAGAATTTCCAAGAAAAACTATTTAAGTCTTTTTTATTTAATTAATATAATATTTAATAGTTAATGAAATAAAAGGCGCAAGTTCTTTTTCGTTTACAATTTTAGAGCAATAAAAAATAGATTTATTTATACTTTTAAGAAAAGTCTAACATACGTATTCTGTATCAGATTCTTTAAGACCATCTAAAAGTACAGGGAAAAAAAGATTAGAAGTAATTAATTCTGTGATTAATTTTGTATCATCTTCATTTATATTTTTAATATTATCCTTTGTCTTTTACAAAATAATATGTATTAAATTAAGTACTTAAGTCTACATTACATAGTTTTTATTATTAATTAAGTTTTGTAAGCAAATTAAAATTATTTAAAAAGAATAATTCATAACTTTTACAAGCACTTCATACTTATTAATTTCGTTTATAATGGATTCCAAAAAATCACAAAAATTTGCGTTTATAGTATTATTTTTTAATTCAAAATCTTTATTATTAATACATAAATTACTATTAGGCTTTCCTTAAAGAAACTTAAGAGAAATATTTAACAAAAACTCAATATATGAAGTACTTTATATATCAAACTGGGATTACAATTTACTCGATGTAATTTATTTTGAAACTTAATGAGATATAATCACCTAAGAACAATATAATAAATACTTATCTCTCATTATATTCAAAGTCGATTTCAATAATTTATATGCTTGGGTAACTTTTTCAAAATCATATTCTTTAAAATATATAATCTACCTATTTTCCATATATTAAAATTCCGACTTTGAAAACTCCTCCAACAAATCACAACATAAAGGATCTAAAATTCTAAATAAAAATCCATGATTATCCTTTAACCAGTTCCTAGAATTATATCTTATTATAGGATTATCATGAATTAAATAACTCAGCATTATATTCTAACCAACTCCTTCATTACAATAGCTATTTTCTTTCGTATAATTATTAGTTAGTTTATAAAATTTTTAATATCTTCTTGTTGCTTATTCGATTTATTGAGAATTCTATAAATCATTTTCAATGTAATTTTTGAAAATATTATGATGGTTTTTTACAAAATATACTATTATTTATAATATTTCTTACATTTAAAAAGTATTGTTTTCATCGAAAAAATTATATAAAACTCCAAAAATTTTACTCAATATGTCTTTTTTTAATAAAATAAAAGGTTGAAAAAGCGATTAGCTATTCAAAATTTCAAATAAATTTAAAACAGTATAATATCTAATAGTAAAACAATCAGAGTCTAGACAATCTAACATACTTTTGAGCCATTCAGGTATTTATTCGAAATTAGAATTCTCTTAAATATATACATAATTGTTTAAATAAATTATTATTTTGGTTGTATGATTCAGAATTCCAAAATCATCATTTTGTTCGAGAATAAAAGACACATATTATTCAAAATATTAATTAAATTAAGCTGTATATTCAGTATATGAATGTTAAAAACAAATTTAGTTTGTATAAAATTACAATTATTCAATCATAATGAGAATTAAATTTAAAGCACTTTTTTTATATTTTAATTAAACAATTTATTAAGGGCCGATTTTAATAAATGTTAATAATATTTCTTTTATTATAGGCTTTATACATTCAAATATTTTTATTACGTTATTTTTATCATCTTCATCTTATTGAGGTTACATTAAAAATGTAAATTCAATTAATTCTATGACTTCAAAAGCTTCTTCTTCATTTTTATTATCTATTATTGTTTCTCCTAATCTTTAAGCTTTTTATTAAAAAATAATAATAATAATAAATATATTAATAATTTTAAATATATATATATATATATATATATATAAAACTAACTATTAAACAATATTTATATTTTATTCGATTAAATATAAAAATTCATAGAAATACATATAAATATTATATAAATATATATTTATATATTAATATGTATATACCTAAAACATTTAAAATAGTGTCTAAATGATTAGAAATACTTTCCAGTAACCTTTCTGAAGATTTTTGAATATTTTCATCATTTTTATTTTTAAACATATACTTAATTAACGGGAAAGCAATAAAAGTGATAGTTTTAGGTATAAAATGTGCATGTTCTCTGTAAAAATTTTACAAAATTTTCAATGGTTCTGAATTAATATTTTTTTAAAGAATTTCCTCAAAAGTTTCCATTATTAATTGCAAAACATTAACTGCTTCATTTTCTTTTATATTGAACATATTTTAAGTATCAGGTGGTCCAAAAAGCCATGTATTAATTCTTCTAACAATCGCGTATTCGTTTTTAACTAATAATTATAAACAAGATTAAATTAAAAGCTTTTTATCGTTTTTGGAAAAAATAGTATCATTTTATATTGGGAAAGTATTTATTATATAATCCAATCCTTATCTTCTTATTAAATTATTTTCATCTTCCAGTGTATTTAAAAGCGCATTTATAATTAAACTACTCGCATTTGGGAATAAAACATCGTTTCCAGTTATTTGTTTACTCGTTTTTACTACATTACTTAATAATTCTTCCTATATTTTAACTATAGGGTCTTAAAAATGATTTTATTGAACAATAAAACTCTATGATTGAAATAATTTACCTTCAATCTATACGTCTTAAGAGCTAGAAGATAAATATTCATCATTTTTTTTATTCTAATCATCTTATAAATTAGATTCATTATTAATATTTTACGTACTATTTTTTTATTTAAAATCTATTTAATTCGAATATAATGAAGAACAAGATATAGTATTTTATAAAACTTAATCATTGTCCCTAAATAACCCTGAATCTTCCATATTTTATATATTCGATGTTTTTTTATTTAATAATTTATACCCAACAATTCTTATTCTTGGAACTCGTAAAATAGTGAGCCATAAAGCCGAAAAAAAATACTTATATCCTACTATAGATTATATTTTATCTAAAATATTTTAAGTTTGTTTTTTTATTTATTCATCATTGTCCTACAAACCTGGAAGAATACTAGCTATAAGTGCAGGAAGAAAGGGAATTAATTAAATTTCCAAATCTAAAAAAAAGTCATCTATAAGTTTCAAAAATTATGGTTTTATTTATAAAGAAGCGAATTAATAAAAAGGAAGAATTCCCATAGAATATAAATATATTTCTTAAGAAAATTAATTTATATATTTTTACTTTGACTCATTTTCTTTAATTAATTTTATATTTTTAAATATTTTCATATATATAATAAGGACTTATTCATGAACTTTTGCGGGTAAAGAAGGGTGAAGACATTAGGCTAATCTTTTGGACAATTAGAGTTTTTCAGGTATTTATGGCAGTTTGTTTTCGTCTAGAATTTAACCTAGTTTTATTAACCAACTATTGTAATCGGTCCATTCAGAGTTTTTTTCAAAATATTATAAATGAATTGTTATTAGTTTTTTAAATGTTTCTTGTTCTTTTGAATATTGCTTATCTAAATTTTTTTTTTTTTCCATTTTTATTTTTTATTTATTGATTATTTTATTTAATATTATGTTATATTAATTTATTTAATATTATATTATATTATTTTATTTAATATTTTATTTTATATTATTTTATTTTATATTATCCATAAATTTAGATATAACCACTAATTATTTATTATTTATGTGAATATAATTTATATTTATCAATTTCATTTATATAATATAGTTTTTCCTATAATTTTATTTTTATTTTAAAACAAGATACAAAATATCAATTAATTTTCTTATAAAAAATTAAATATAAAAATTACTTATTAAATGACGAATATTAACTAATTTATAAACTTGCGTTAATAAAGTAAATTTACGATAAAAAAAAGATACCTTTATAATCTATATGATAAAAAAAATTCATATCATTTCAAAAAAAATAAAATAAATAAAATTTGATAAACTTTAAAAATACAAGATTATTTTCTATAAAAACATTATTACTGATAATATATTTATTTAAATAAAATAACGCAACATTTAATAATAATAATATATATGGAAATAATCTAATGTCAAAAAATATATAACAATTCAACTACAAAAAGATTTTAATTTTTCAAATTATTATTTTCCTTTTGAACATTAACTAAAATGTGTTCCCTTTTTATAAATAGATTATCTTATGAAATTTCCTTTATTTCCGTATTAATAAACAATATTATGGTAAAAAATGTTTCCATTTTTATAATATACTACCCCAAATCCAAGTCTATTACTACCCACACATATCATTTATGTGTAATATGTAGTGGAATAATTAAAATTATATCCCTCAATATTACTTTGCGAAAACTTTTTAGTTTCATAAAACCACATAATTATGAATTTTTTAACATCTCGTCCTTCCCCTTAACCCAAAGCGCCATAGGTGTTATTTTTCCATAATATCTTCGTGATCTATGCCCGTAATTTCAACTCATAGACCATTATTAAGCACTATTTTAAAGACTAGAGTCCCAAATAATTTCTTCAGTATCTGAAGCTAAAATTTGGTTTGTTTATCTTCCTGCAGAAACTTTACTTTTTAAATTTATTATTGTAATCTTAAACTAGTAGTCTTTCTCGTCGGTTTAAGCCATAAAATACTTTTTCATATCAACTTTTTTTTATTTAAAATGATTTGTTAATTAATTAAATGGATTATTTTTTTTTTTTTTTGAGTTAACAAGTTTAACCTATGTTTATTAATAAGAAAATAAACTTAGTATTTTTAAATGTAAAAATTATTTGTTTTTTTGAAAAAAAGATATTAAAACAAATAGAAAAATTATGAATAATATTCTATTTTATTTAAAAACAAATTTAAACTTTATATACACTAATACTAATTATATCTAATATAATATTCATATATGTTATATAAAAGAATGTATTAGAAATGAAAAATATAAATAGTGTTTAAATTTTTTTTTTATTATAAAAATTTAAATTAGAATAGTAAAAATCATATTTTAATAATTTATAATATATAGCTATATAAAAATAATTAAAAATAATTTTTTTTTTAATATTTATCCAAATAAAATTAAATTTAATATTTTATTTTAAATTATTATTTACTTTAATTAATATAATTAATAGAATAATTTTTTTTTAATTAACTTTATATTATAAATATTTATATTTAAATAAAAATTAGTATTAGATATCGAAAAGCATTAATTTTTTTATATATAAATAATAAATCTGGATAACAAATGCTATAAATATGATAATAATATTTGATAGTTATAAATGTATTTTATACATATGATTAATATTATTTTCCTTATATATTTAATAAAAAAAACAATAATCAAAAATAAATTTTTGTATTATATGAATCATAAAATAAAATAAAAAATTATAATATGTTTAAAAATAATTTAATAGGTAAAAAAATTAACTTAATTTCTATTTACAAAATTAAAAATTTATAATCTCCTTATTTATTATTATACAATATAATTATTTTCAAAGTATTTTTTTTAAAGTTTTTTTAATTATAAGAATAATTAATAAATTATTAATAAGATAAATAATCTATGTATTTTTAATTATAATATTTATTTAGTATTTTTATATGATAATAAAATAAATATATTTTTAATTTATTATATATCTACATATTAAATTAAGGATATTTTTCATAAAAAAATTGTAAAAAAAACATTTTATTTTTTAAAGAAAAATAAAAAATTATAAGCCTAAATAAAATTTTTATAAAAAAAAAAAAAGATTAAAATGCTATCAAAAGCATCTTAAAAATATTTCTCTTAATTACTTAAATTACCCAGAGATCAAAACTAAGCCCGTCTTTTAGGAGAATACGCCCTCAACTTTTTAAAAAATGGTAACCCAAGTTAAAAAGTATACGAAAGAGTAAAGCTTTTCCACACTGACTCAGTATTTACTGGTATATCAGCTTTAGCTTTAAAAACAAACGCCCCAACTATACTAAAAGCAGAAGCTTTAGAAAATGCCTAAAAAGTCGGAACAAAAGTATAAAAAATAAAATAAACAATAAATATAAGTTTTAATTTATTAACTAAACAAAAAATATATATATATAAAGCCGAAAATAGGATTTTCAAGATGTTTTGGATCTAATTTAAATGTTCCTGTTGAAAAGGCTGTATGCGCAAATGCTGCAGCAGTTAGAGAAGTAAAGAAAAAAAAAAAACCAAAAATAAAAAAAAAAATAGTGGGATTCAAATGGAACTGTGTTTGGTTTTAATGAGACAGTCAATGTAAAAATAAATAAATAACATGATTGTAAATAAAATTTAAAAAAAAAGGCTAATAGAGCTGGTGAATTCGGACATAATGACTTTTATCCTGCAGTATTAGCTGCTGCTCATTAAAATCCTGATATAAACGGTAAGCTAGCAACAAAAGTAATTATTTTTATTAAGAAAAATATATATAAATATATATATATATACATATATATATATATATATATATATTTATGTATTTATTTATTTATGTATTCTAAATAATAACAAGGCTATGATCTTATAAGATGAAATTCGTGGTAGATTATGTGAATCATTCTCTTTAAAAACATATAAAATAGATCACGTTGTTCATGGTGCAGTTGCTACTATATGCACATATGGAGCTTTAATGAATGCAAATCCATTATAAATAGAACATGCTATCGGAATGTTTTTAGCCCATTATATTCCATTCAGAGCTATTAGAGCTGGTAAATAATTATCTGATTCCAAAGGCGCATCAGCTGCTTTATCAACAGAAGCAGCCCTTATGTGTATAAAAAGAGCTATGAACGGCTTTATTGGACCTAAGGATATTTTCAGAAACCCTGAAGCTATTTTTAGATTAAACGAGCCTACTAAAAACGGAGATTCTCCTTTTGATATCTATGTATCTAATAGTGGTGATGATTTCGCTGTTATGGTAAAAAAAAAAAAAATATAAGAATATTATAATTTATATGTATATAGGGAATGCATTTTAAATTAGGATTATATGAACACTAATCTGCTGGTGCTTTAGAAGGATTGTAAAAGTTGATTTTAGAAAATAAATTCTTAGAACATAATAATGCTAATATTATTAGTAAAATTAAAATTATTGCTTATGAACCTGCTTTTGGTATTATTGGAGATGCATCAAAAAGAAGACCAAAATCAAGATAATCTGCAGATCATTCCATGGTTTATATTGGTATATTTTTTATATTTATATATTTTTTGTTATTATATAAATTTAAATAGTATCTACTATGCTAAGAAAAGCTATTGAAGACAAAAGTTTATCAAATGTTAGTAGTTTAGATGAAGTATGGAAAAAATTGATTCTTTTACCTGAAGATTATTCTTATAAAGCTATTTAAAATCCAGTTACTTTAAATTTAATTGATAAGACTGAATTCGAACATGGAGGAAAAGAATATGATGAAAAATATCCTGAAGGAATTCCAACTTCTATTTAAATTACTTTAAAAAATGGAAAAATTCTTGATTCTAAATTTATTATGTTCCCTTCTGGACATGCAAAAAATAAGACTTGTGATTTAAGAGGTATATTAGAGAATAAATTCTAAATACTTGGTAAACTTGCTATTTCTGAGAATGAAATTTAACCGTATATTATAATTTTAAATATAAATATATATATATATATATAAATATATATTATTTTAATATTTATCTTTATTTCTAATATAATTACTATTAGAATGATTTAAAAATTAATGAATTTGGATAATTTGTCTAATGCTGATTTATAATAACTTTATAATTGCAATATAAAATATAGCGAAAAATCTATTGATGATGTCAATTATTGAAGAAAATAATTAATTTTTTTATTTTAACAAAAAAATATAAAAATATATTTATATTTACACTTTTTATTGTTTTATTTAAGAAAAATGTCATATCATATTTTATTTGATTTTTTAATATATTTTATTAAAGATATACATAAAATAAAATTTTCTTTATAATATAAATAAAAAATAAAATATATATATATATATATATATATTTTATTTCTAATATATTATGTAATTCTTTAATATGTATTAATTTAATATCTTTTTATTTTTAATGTTATATTTTATTTAATACATTTAAATAATATATAAACATTATTTTTTAATTAATAAAACTATTTAAAAAAATATTAATAAATAAAAAAATTATTTATACATAATTATTTTATTTTTAATTATCTTTTATTATTTCAAAAGATTTTTATCTAAAATAAATTAATTTAAATTAGATATTTATTTAAATCTATTATTTATAAAATTACTTTTAAATAAACGGCAAATAAAAATACGAAAAATATTTTAAAAAATAATAAAATCTTATAAAATTTTCATTTATAAGACTCTAACACTTATAAACAATTATTTGTTATTTATTATTTATAATTTCTTAGACTTCTTAACATTTTTAAAATACATATTAAACTACTATAAAAAATATTATTATTTTTCAAAAACGTGTGTAAATTCTTTATTAAGAAAAAAAATCTAATTTCGTTAGACTCTCTAAATTTTAACAATAAATATTCTTTAGAAAACAATATTATTTTATTAAAATAATTCAATTAATCAGAATTATTATGTTTTATGAATATTGAATATAAATAATTTAACTTGTTTCTAATTACTAATAATTTTAAGTATATACAAATAATAATTTATATATTAAATAAATTTATATTTAAAAAAAAATATCTTTATTAATTATTTATAACTATCATAATAAATCTTCATTATTAATTCTTTAAAAAGGATTAATTTGTAAAAATTTAAATCACCTGTTTTCCACAAATCTTATTTTTAAAGTTAAGAATAAGATCTAAAATAAAAAAATCTATTTAAAATTTAATAATACTTATAACTTTAAATTATATAAAATTTGTCAAAAATTAAAAAAATTAATGTATAATAAAATCTATATATGAGTATATTTATTAATTCTAAAAATTTACATTAACATTAAAATTCATGAGGTCTGTAATTATTATTCAAATTTACCAACATTTCTAATATCTATAATTATTTAAAAATAAATAAAAAAATTAATATTAAATTTTAAGGTTTTATGTTATTATGTATTATATTAAATTAAATGCAAAATTAAACTCTTTTATATAATTATACTAAGTACTTTAAACTTTATTTGTAAATATTTAAAATTTAATTTTAATTTAGACATTATTACATATTTCAATAGTAATTCTCTTTAAGTAAATAAATATAATAAAAAAATAGAAAAAAAATGAATAAAAAATAAAAGTATTTTTTATTATTTCATATTATTAAAAATATATAAAAGAAGTAAAATAGTAAATTTATATTGAACTATTAAGACATCATAAATAAATGAAACTATCGAAATATTCTTTGTAAAAAAGCTTAATTACATAATTAATAATATTATTATTTATAAACTAACTCAAATTTCAATATATTTTAAATAGCATTATTAAAAATTTAGTTAAAATAAATAATACATTTATCTTAAACCTTAAATATAAAGTTAATAAAATAAAAAAATTATAATATATTTATTATAAATATAAATAATAAAACAATATGTATATAAATTTAAAGATAAGAAATTGTTTAAATTATATAAAAAAAAAAATTAGATTAGTTCAATAATTTTTAAAAAATATATATATATTTATATATATCTTTTTATAAATATATTTTTTTTATATTTGTATAAATTTATTATATTTATCAATATTTTTAATTTATATATATTTTTATTAATATTTATATATATTTATTTATATTATATATTTTTAATATAACTTTCCTAAACCTTTCATTTTTTATTATTTTATATTTAAAAAGATTTTTAATAACTTAAATTATTGTCAATTTACTAAAAACTATCAAACAAACTTTCAATTTATTAATTTTTTTATTATTTTTGTTCTAAATCATAAAAAATGCTATCAATTTATACTTATTATTTAAAATCTTTATTATTTCCCTATTCATTATCAAAATTTTTCAAATTATACTATTCAAATATATCTGATTTTTCATTTTGTATAGGTTATTTTTTAACTTAATTTTAAATAAATTTAGTATTATTATTAATTAAATTTTATTGTTCTTTTTACACATTTAAATTATTTATATTTTCCTGTTTTTAAATATTCTATAATTAATTAAGTAAATTTTCATTATTATTTTAAACAAATTGACTCATATCCCAGATAATTTAATTACTCTAATTAATTTATAGTTTTTTATTTTATTAATCTTTTTTTTCTAATTATTAAATTTATTTTTAACTATTTTTCGATTCTTAATTGTTTTAAAAATTTTGGTTTGGATTTGTTCTTTTTTTTTTTTTTAAAAAAAAAATGAATAATAAAAAAATTAAAAAAAAAAAATGTTTAAAATTTATTACTTTTAAATACTTTAGAAAAATATTAATTGAGGACTTTATATATTTTTATTACAAAATCTTTTGTCTAAATATTTATATCTGACATAATCTATTTTATTTTCCAAAGGATTATCAGGACAAGGTTTAATTATATTTTACATATTAAACTCATAATATTAATTAGATATTTTATTTCCAATAATCGTAAAAATTTAAGTATCTTTTTTATTTAAAGAGTCTATTTTTATACTTCTGATTCTACTAATAGTTGGCCCTAATTTTCTATGTCCACCTTTTTATTAGTATTTCTTTATAATATATTTCTTAATTATTTTTATTTTATTTTTTAATAAAACAAACCCGAACAATCTAAACAAATAAATATCCCAATATCTAATGAACACCAAGTAGGGTTTTTCATATTGCAATCAGCACATGAAATATTACTTTAGTCCTTTTCCATTATTTAAATAAATAATTTTATTTATTCTTATTCTGACAGTTTTTCTGTATTCATTTTATTTATATATATAATATTTATTTCTTTTTTTTTTATAAAATTATAATATAAATCATTAATTTTTTTGTTTTTAATAAAAATAATAAATATTTATTATTATAAAAATTGATTAAATTGCCGAAATGTAATTATTTTAATAAAATATATTAATTCTATATGAACTAATTTTGTTTTATATAATAAAAATAATCACAAAAAACAATAAATATAAGTATATATATATGTATATTATATATTTATATACATATATATAAAATATAAAATATTTTTTTTAAAATAGTATATTTTCAAAGCTTATCATTAGGAATGTGCTTATTTCCTTAACTAGTGCCTTTTAAAATATTTCTATTAGCATTAACCTTCGTATATTTTTCATTATATTCAACTACTCCTTTAGCCTCTTCATTATCGTCAATATATTATTATTTTATTACTGGCTTTTTAACTTGTTATTAAAAAGCATTAATATTTTCTTATTTAGCAATAACATCTCCTTAAAATGGCTAAAAGTCTTTATTTGAAACTGGAATTCCATCTAATATTTTTATTTTTGTGAGTGCTTTTACAACTTATTATCTATATATATGATAATTTTCCTAATGTTAATAAAAAGGAGGACATAAAGGATTTTTAAATAGATTTAAATTAATCAAATTTGGAAATTTATTTTAACATTAAATTAAAAAATCATCCAAAACTGCAAAATTATTCTAGAAAAAAATTAATTATCAATTTTTTTTATTTTTTTATTTACTTTTGTTGCACTAAAAAATTCCAAAAATTCTAATTTTGGAAATTCATGTAATGTATATAATTCATTTTAATCCATTATAAGTGTTTATAAATTCAAAAACTTTTCTAAAGACCGTCCTGATTTTAATTCATTATCAGACAAATCTAAATGCTTTATTTTTTATGGGTCTACATTTAAAAATTCTTCATTTAATGATTTTAAGTTTTTTGAATTTAAACAAATCATTAATTGTATATTTTAATAGATTAAAAAAAAAGAACAAATAAATTTTTAATAATAAAATTATGAAAATATAAATAAAGATAAATTAAAATAAAATATATATATAAATATATAAATATATAAATATATAAATATATATATTTTTTATAAATTTTTTTTTTTTTTTTTTTTTTTTTTGGAATCCTTTTTTTTTTATTTATTTTTATTTTATTTAAAAAAAGGGTTTTTTAATTTTCTTAATATATTTAATTTTTTTATCTCTAATTTTTTTTAAAAATTTTTAATAAAATATATTCCTTATTAATTTAATTAAAAATTTTATTTTATATATTACTTTATAAATAATATTTCTTTTTTCAATTTTTTAAATAAATTTTTAGTTTTCAACAAAATTTATAATATTTTTCTAAAAAATTGTTAAATTTTATAAAATATTTTTAAGAATAGTATAAAATTTATATTATAACTTTAAAATTTTAATTTATTATTATTTTGACATATACATACATTTAAAACTAAAATTTCATTTAAATAAGCATTTGACATGTTTTTTTAATAGTTCTGCTTTAATTTTTTTTTTATGTTTTGATTTTGAATCTTTATCTACGTAATTTATGTTTTAAATGTTTAACTTATTTATATATTGATTTTATAGATAATAAAATATTTTTTTTTTTATTATTAACCTAATGTATTTAATTTTAATCTCATTAAATTTATATGTATTTAAATATTTTTTATATTTTTCTTTCAAAAATGGTCATTTTATATTCAATAAAAATAATATTCTGTAATAAACAAATTACTTTAACATATATATATATCATCATTAATTAATGATTGAATATCAAACTGAACTTATTTAATCAATATGTCTTATTTCGTAGGAACTGATATAAATGAATTTTAAAATTAATCTTTATGACAATTGAATACTTATAAAGATTAATAATTAAACATTTGTATTTTGATATGAGATGACTCATTAGTTTTTATATATAAGAATAATTCATTGTCATTAATTTTTTTAAAAAAATAAAATATAAGTATTAATTTAATTGTTTTTATAATATAGTACTTACAAGAATATAATATAATTAATTATAATTATTTATTATATTTTATATATAGGATTATAATTAAAATATGTTTTTAATTTTTTATATATAAATTGTTTTTATAAAATAATTAAAAAAAAAAAAAAAATATTAATTATTCAGTTTTTTTAACATAAATAAATAAATAAATTCTAACAGTAATAAATAAAAAAATAAAATGCAAAATCAACTAGAAATTTCAGACATAAGTCCCATAAAAGGTGATCCAATTGAAGAATTAAACTTTTCAACCCAAAAATTAAATAAATCGAAGCTCATAGAGACAAAAGTAGAACAAATTTTACGGCAAAATGCTTAACTATTGACTGAAAATGAATAATTATATAAATAATTTAGCCAAAAAAGGACTGAAAACGATATTTGGAAAACTAAATATGAATCTCAAATGAATACAATAATCTAAATAAAATAAATATATGACCAAGAAATAAAGCGTTTAAACTAAGAAATTTAACAATAGAAAGAAACACACGAATAATATATCCAAGAAGCTTAAATGGAGTTTGAAATGAATAAATAATAGGCATAAAGTGATAGTTTATTACAAATAGAGCATATAAAACGCTCTCATAAATAAAATATGTAATTATTTGAAGAATAATTGAGAAAAATGAAGTAACTAATCACAAATAAAGAACAAGAAATGGAAAATTTAAAATTTTAACTTTAAGAAAATCGAGAATATTTCGAAAAAGAGCAATAAAGACTTATTTTTGAAAAAGAAAAAATTAGAAATAAATTAAATGAATAAGAAGTCTTTTTTTTAGAAGAAAATGAAAATTAGAAAAAAAAAAATGAATTTTTTGTCAATTAACAGATTATTTCTTTAAAAAAAATACACGAAAATGAGACTTTAATACTATAAAATGAACTTGATAATTTCAGGAATTTACTCGAAGTTAAAAACTAGGAAATTTCTGATTTAATTTTTTAAATTTAAACACTAAAAATCAACTTTGAATGTGAAATATAAATACTAAAAGAAGAAAATGAAGCCTTTAATTAATAATTAATTCAAAATAATATTTTTAAAGAATAAGAAATTAACGAAATTTAAGATAAATTAGTCACTTTACATACTTAGGATGTAGAATAATTAAAAACAAATTAACTTAATATACTAGAGCATTTAAAAGAAGAAAAAAATTAACTCTAGAAGTTACTTTAAATAAGATCTGAGGAAATATAATGTGTAATTTTAGAAAAAAATTAACTCGGATAATATTTGGAGGGTGAAAGATTAATTTTAAATAGTGAAATAGATAGTCTGAAGTTAAAATTGGAAGAAACAATAGCCTAAAGAGAAAAAGAATATGAACAAAATTAAAAAATAATGAACAAAATGAACTAATAGCACTAAGAATTCTAAATAATATAAAAAAAACAAATAAAATTTTTAGAAGAAGAAAACGAGAAATTAAAAAATTTACTTATTTAGAAAAACAATGAATTAGATGTAAATATTTTTCAGTTTAAAAATTCAAGAAATTATATGGAAAATGAAAATAAAGAATTTTTAGAGAAAATATAAAAATTAGAAGTATAACTAATTGATTTAGAAGAAGAAAAAAAAAAATTTGAAAATTAATTTTTGGAAGAAATTAATTTTAAGAAAATTAAATTTGATGAGTTTTAAAAAAAAACTAATTCCTAAATATTTTCTTATGAAAATTAAATTAAAAGATTAAAAGGTTTTTTTTATTATAAATATATATATATATATATATATATATATATATATATATATATATATATATATATATATATATATATATATATATACATATAAAAAAAATAAAGAAAATCTTGATGAATAAGATGAAGAATTAAAAAACGTTTTAAAAATAAAAAATTATATTGAGAATGAAAAAAAATAATTGAATGAATAAAATCAAAATTTATATTAATAAATAGTCAATTTAGAAACTCAAAAAGCTTAAGAAATGTAAGAAATTACCTAAAAAATAACAATTTCTAATAATTATTAAATAAAAATATTAAAATAAACACACGAAAATTAATAAAACATTCTTTTATAAGAAAATTCTGCACTAAAAATATAATTAGAGAATAAAGAAAATAAACTATAAGAATATATAAATAATTTCCAAAAATTAGAATCTTTTAGAAATTATTAGAAAATGTCAAATACTGATATTGATTATACTTAAAAGTAGGCAGAAGTTAATACAAGTAGAAATTTATATGAAATATATATAAAATCTAATGAAAAATAATAATAACATTATAGAAAACGTAAATAATCTTTAGATGCTTTAAAATAAATAACTAATTATAGATGAAAAACAAAATAAAATTATTTATATAATGTAGATAAAAAATAAATATACAAAAGTAAATATATATAATATATATTTATAAATATATAATTATATAAATATATAAATATATAAATATATAAAAGTATATATATATATAAATATATTATAATAAAATAAAACCTAAATTATTTTCAATTATTAATAAAAATTAATAATTACTATCAAAAATAACAAAAAAAATACTCATTCACTATATATACGCAAATAAATTTAAATGGTTACATTAAGCCAAATCGATATCAATATATTAATAAATATTTTAAAAATTCCATTTGAAAAATTACTTCCTGGTCATATTGATTAAATAAAGTATTGTTTAGAAAAAATTCAATTTCTTAAACAATTTAAATATTAATTTGATAAAATAATTCCTGAATTAGAGTTTTAATAACATCCAAAAGACTCTTTTTTATTCTAAGAAGGAGACGAGTCTTTAAATTTTTATATATTATTATCTGGAACAATTGTATTATATCCAAAAGAAATAAAAATATAAAATCCAATAACAAAAATATTACCAGGTGAATTATTTGGAGAATTAGGTTTAATTTTAAATGAAAAAAGATCCTCAAAAGCCGAATTTTTATAATTTTCTTAAATTTTAGTTTTTCCTAAAAAAACTTATATATTATACTTATAAAATTTTCTGGAAGAAAAAATGGAAAAAGCTTAGTTATTTTATCAAAGTCTTTTTTAATTTAAAAATTTGGAATAAATATAATTAAAAAAACTTGCAATTAAAACTACTATTATAAATTGCGTTTCAAACACAGTAATTATTAAATAAAAGGAAATCCCTACGGCTGCTTTTTTTGTATGGAATGGAATTGTTAAATTGATTTCTTAAGTATTCTTTAAAATTTAAAAACTAAATAAATAAGACTTTTTTATTTAAGATGATTATTCGAACCCTTCTGATATCGAAGTTGCTTCTTAGTAATATTAACAGATACATATTGAGATAGATGAAGTTGGAAACGGAGACTATTTTGCAGGTAATGAAGCTTTGTAGAAAAAAAGCATTAATTATTCGGCTATTACTAGTACACCATGTTAAATATTATCTATTAGTATATAAGATTTATAGGCTATTTTGTCCCAGAATTTATTCGAAGAATTTATATAATAGTCTAAGTAATATCCTAATGATGTGAATGTGAAAAGATAGTATGTAGAAAATATAATATGGAACAATTATAAATAGAAAATCTTATAAAATTTCTAAAATGAATTAATTAATAAAATAAGGGCAAAAAGCTCGGTTGAAAATAGAATGAGTTTAAAGAAAAAAATAAATTTAAAAAATGTAGAATTTTACAATGAAAATAATTAAGAAAAAAAGTGAAAAAAAATTTATCTAAAAAATAAAAATATTTTTAATAAAAATTATCTTAAAATATTAAAATTTAGGAAAATAAAACTAAAAATTTAAGTAAAAAAAAAAAAATTGTAAATAAATTAGAATAAAAAAGCTTTAAATGTTAAATTTTAAAAAATCAAGTTTAAAAATAATTTAAATTATAAAAATAAATATTAACTAAAATTAATTAAAAATAAATGAATTATTTAAATAATAATATTATTTATTGAAAATTTTTAAATAAATTAATAATAAAATATAATAATTATTATAATATAAAAATATATAAATAAAATATGTATTTATAAATATAATTATATATAAATATTTATATATAATTTTATATATTTATATTATTTTTCATTTTGCTATATTATATTTTTTTTTTAATTTACTTAAACTTTTTTCTTAAAATAAATTAATAATTTTACTATTTCTATATTATTTATTTTAGATTATAAATAATAATATTTTTTTTCTTTAAAGCTACTAAATAATTAAGATTTTTTTTTATTTTCCTCTTACTTATTTATTACCAATTTTTTTTTTAATATTTACTTTAATATATTTTATAACTTCCTCTATTTTTTCGAAGTTTCTTATTTTTAAATTTTTATAAACTTTTATATTTTTATTTTTATCTTTATCATTTCCTTTATATTTTAATTTAATTCCACTTAATCTATATGATAACTATTTAAATAATAATTATCTCTAAAATTAATATTTAAATACTTTATTTAGAATCCATTTTTTTATATTTTCAATTAATTCCACATAATCTATATGATAAATATTTAAATAATATTTTTCGTATAGTAATATTTACTTACTCTTATTGAATTTATTTATATTCTTTATATCTAAATTTCTAAAATAATCAAAGTACTTTTTTGTATTTTCTTATTCTTTATAAACAAATTTACTCATATTCACTATATTTAAATACATACTAAGCTAAGCATTTTAAATTTAAAATTGATAATTATTTTCCATGAATTAGTTCTATTACTCTTACTTTTTTGTTAGGCTTTCTTAACATAAAAATTCGGAATAAACTAATTATTAAAATCTAAAACTTCTTAATTTTCATAAAATATTCCGAAAAAAAAAAAAAACTCTTTTATTAAAATATTATCATGTTTAATTATAAAAATCATATTTATTTGTTTAGTTTTTATACTTTTCTAATTTTTAATATTAAATTCTAATAAGAACTGCTATATTCATTTATAAATTTTATTATCCATATTATAATATATTTCACTAATAATATTTATTTTATTTTTTTCATAAATCATGCATATAAATGTATCTATTTTTACCAAAATTATCCTCAAATGCTTTTATTGAACATTAATTTATTATTTTTTCCCTTAAAATGCCTTAATTACTATCTAATTATGTTTAAGTTAAATATCTATACATTATTCATATGTAAATTTTATTATCTTTATATATTTATATAGATATAATATTAAAAACAATTTGTATAAGTTAATTACATATAAATGAAACATTTTATTTATTTTATATGAATATAATATATTCATTAAATAAATATATAATACATTGAAACATAAATGATATAATGCTTGAAAATATATTAATCTATAATAATATCAAAATAAATAAATTTAATATGGAATTTTATATATATTTAAAATAAAACTTAAATTTTTCCGTAGGACTTCTTGTTATATGGCTTCCGATATAATAAAGAAATTTTATATAGTGGAAAAATGGACAGATATTTTCTCTTTATGTAATATTATTAACAAAATACCCTTTTTAATACAATAATGACAATGAATTATTGATAAAAATAACTTAAATAAATTAAAAATTCCTGATTTTTTTGTTATATAAATTCTCAAACCAATCACTTTAAACAAAGACCAGCTTATTAAGTAGTATAAAAAAATTATTTGATGGCAATATATTTTTTTTGTTACAAAAAAAAGAGCATTAAAAATATAATTATTTTATTAAATAAAAAAAAAAAAGCATATCAATTTCCATCTGACTTTCCCCATTTAAATTTTAATTTTTCTAATAAAATAATAATATCATCAATGTCAATTTTATTTTTTTCCAATTCTGGTACTATATCTTTATTATAATCATATAAAAAACTCTAACATTACTCCTATATTTCCACACTAAAACTATGATATTCCAGTACATCCACTCCAGCTAAATTTCCTGCCAAAATCTAAATATAAAACATCAATTTAAGATTATTCCCAAAAGCACCTGTTCCCCAATTACCTGTATGAATAATACATTTTTTATTTTCAGAAAATTCAACAGCTTTTTTAAAGGCTATATAGGCTGTTTTTAACGTAAAACTTATCTATTAAAATGTATATTCACCACTTTTATATCCTTAGGCTGCCATTGCAATAATATTAGTCACATGTTGGCTTCCTTAGTCAAATATTTAGAGTACTTAATCAATACTTTTAGCAGTATGTATAGCACAAAAATTATTTCCATAATAAATTTAAGGATTATTGTTTTTTATAGAAAATATAGTACCCAATCTATGAGCGCCAATTATCAAAATAGGAGTCGGTTCCCCATTTTAGTGTGTTAAGGGAACTATGTTTTCTTTATGTTGGCTTTAATCTATTGCATATTCCCTTATATGGGCTAATAAAGGATGCTCAGAACATTAAATTTCGTCCTAAGCATATAAACCGCTATTATAAAATCCGAAAAGTTACTAATCTGCAAAATTAAGGTACCATTCCATATATTTGTTTTAATCATATTTTCCTTCATATTCGAAAATATCTGCCTTAATATTTATCTTTGTAGTATTTAATAATTTTTTTTCGATATTTTTTTAATAGTTTTCGTTAAAACATCTATAAAAAGTCATTTTTTTAGACTTTTGATCTTCATTTAATTAAGAAATGAATTTTTAATAGAGATATTATTTTAATGGATGTAATTATTTTATTGGCTAATTTAATAATTCTCTTATGGAAATTGTAAATTAATTTTTTTATTCAATATTTTATATATTATCCATATTTTTTTTTTTTCAATTAATATTATTTATATTTATTTAATGTTTTTATTGTTTTGTTTTTTTAAAGTTAATTTTTTTATATATAAGATATAAATATTTTAATAATAGATAAAAAATAGAAATGTATTTATATTATATAATGAACTAATTAAAAAACTATTTTTTAAAAAATATATAATAAAAATTGCTAATATATACTTCCAATATAAATTAAATATTATATATTTCGAAATTTCTATATAATTATTAAACTTAATAATATATTTTATAATATATGGAAGATATATAATTTAGTAATTAATCAAGTGATAATATTTTAATAGATTATATTTATTAATAACTATCCTAAAACGCTAATCATGATATTCAATAAAATTGTGCTTTGGAAATATTTAATCTTATAAAATAAGATAAATTCGATGATATAGAATAACATTTAGATAAAAATGGATTTTTTCCTTACGAATAAGAAATTATACTAAACAAAATAAAATGGATAAGAAAGCATATAGAAAAAACAAACATTGAAGTCGAAATCAAAAAAATATTTTAGAAATAAGAAAAACCTATTCAATGTTTTAAAAAAGATAAAAAGAATATAAAATTATATTTGAGAATATAAAATCTTAATTTAATAATAAAACCTTAGATTTGAATTAAATTCAGAAATATTTCTAAAAACAAGAATTTTCAGATTTTTAAAATGATATAAAAGACTTATTTTTAAAAAATTAATAATAAAATGTTTTTTAGTTTTAGAAATTTAAAATAATATAAGAAAATTTTTCATAAGTAAATAAAGAATAATTAAATAGATTAAATAATTTTATAAAAGAAAATCAAATAAAATATGTAAAAATAATATCAATAATTGGATAAATAGGAAATGGAAAATCCACTATATGTAATTTATTATGTAATTAATTCCTAAATACATAAAATATAATGTACTTTAATAATATTGCGAATATTAATTATGTTACATAAGGAGTTGATTTATCAATTTTTTAAGATTAAAATAAAAACTGGTTATTACTTTTAGATGTATAAGGTTTTAATTAATCATTATATAATTAATAAAAAGAAGATTAAATTTAATATGAAAAAAAACAAGAAGAAATAATCGAAAAAATATTTTAAATTACTAATTTAATATTAATTGTTGAAAAAGATATAAGAGAAAAAGACTAGAAATAATTACTAAAATAAAATCGAGTTTTTAATTAATTTAATTAGTTTTAAGATAATATAGCTTTAATTTATAATTGCTTAAATGAATAATAAATAAAATCAGATATAATATTATAAAGATAAGAAAATACTTTCAAAAACATTTTCTATGTTCCCCATTTTTAAGATATTTAAAATGAAGATTTTTCTTAAAATTAAACTTTAAATTAATTTTTTTCTCAAATTATAAAAAAAATTGATGAATATGAATATTTGGATTCTTAATGTATTTTTTAATAGTTTTCACTTTAAAAAACTATAAAAGGCTCTTTAGTAAAAATAATATAAAATGAAGATGATGGCTTTTATTATTTATAAATAAATCAAGAAATTATCCAAAATATAAAGGAATAAATCTAACCAAAATAAAGAAAAAAATTGCGAGTAATCAGTCTAATTGGATAAGCCGGAAAAGGAAAAAGTACTATAGGAAATAGTTTAATTTTTTAAATAAAAAATGGACTTTAAAATGAGTTTTTTGAGATAGGATCAGGTAAAAAACATATAACTAAAGGTTTAGATTTCTGTTTAATAGAAGGGAATAATAATATTTATTTAATTTTAGATTTAGAAGGTATTTTTAGTTGTTATTAAGTATCTGAAAATGAATAAGAATAATTAAGTTATTTAATGTGTCTTTTTAATTTATAATGTATTGCTTTTTAGTTAAGTTCTTCTACTTTTTTAATAACTGATAGTATAAGAATTAATTAAATGTTATAATAGATATTATGTTTAATAGAAAAATATATTAAAGGCATTTATGATGATTAAGGTCTTTTTTAAAAAGATTTTATTCTTTTATTTAATAAGTTAAATAATTAAGAAGTTTAAGTTTGTTAATAAAATAAAGATGAAACTTTATAATAATTTAAATGTTTTAGTAATGTTTTGCCTTTAAAAATGCTTTAAAGTTAACAAATTTCAAATAAAGAAACTTCTATTATTGGTGAATAATATTAAGAAGATTTATGTAGCAAAATAAAATAAGATATTTAATTTAGTTAATAATTAAAAGAAATATATACAAATATAAAATAAAAGGAATATGTTTTTTAAGAAAATGAAAGCAATTTAAATTATATGGAAATTTTTTTTAATAATTTTAAAAAACTAATAGAATTTTCGAATTCTAATGATTGCTTAAGTATAGGATCATTTCAAAAAAGACAACAAAAATTAGAAGAGGAAATATTAAAATTCAATAAAAAAATCAATGATAAACTTTAAATATTTATTGAGTAAAAAAAAAAGAAATAGAAACAATATATCAAGAAAATAAAATTAGTAATTCAATTTAATAAATAGCCTTTAATCAAATAAATAAATAAGCTTTCATTTTTACTGATAAATAACTTCAAAAGGAAATTCATTTTTAAGAATATTATTAAGAAGAAGAAAATGCAATATAAGAATCTTATAAAATCTAACAAGAATTATAAAATATAATAATTCCTTCTGAAAATAAACAACCAAATATATTTAAAGTAGAATCTTTTATAAAAAATATGAAAGAAAAAGCCGAATAAAACCATAAAAGAGAAGGAGGAGGAGAAGAAGCAGAAGAAACAGAAGAAGGAGAGGAGGAACATCAACAAAATGAAAAAACGAAACAAAATTAATAAAAGGATTTTCTCAAATCAACTTACTAATATGTATTAAATAAGGACAATAATAACAATTATTTTAATCAAAAAAAAATAAATCTAGAAAATCGCTAAAAAACATTCGCAGATAGAACCGATTACAATACAAAAGCATACGCAAGATAAAGGAGAAGAATAAATAGATAAAAAAGGGATATCTCCTAATAATAAAACTATCAATTAAAATTCAGAGTAAGAGTAGCTTTTGCTGGTTTAGCAGGTTCTATTATAGGAGGAGTATTAGCAAATGCTTTATAAGGAAATTATAAATAAAATAAAAAGCTTATTTTGGAAGATTTATTTTATGGAGGTTTATTTGGGAGCGCTTTTGTTGGTTTGAGTATTATTTCGACACCAGCTGTTTGGATAGCCTCCAGTATATTATTAATAGGCTAATCTATCCATTAATATAATAATAAATACTCAAATAAAGAATATAATGATTTTAAGCTTTTTGCTAATTTTGTATAGACTGGTACTTCTCTAGGAATTGGAATTGGAGGAACTTTATTGGGATAAATTCTTATTCCAATTCCGGTTTTAGGGGCAGCTTTTGGAGGACTAATTGGAGGTTTTATGGGAACATTAGGGGCTAATAAAATAGGTGAATTAGAAAGAAAAAAAAAGTTCGAAAAATTAGTCGAGTTTATTATTGAAAAAAATATGGAAGTAAATAAAGAAAATTTAGATGAGTTTTTTTAGAATTTTTTAATAAAAAAAAATGCTTTAGATGATATTTAATAATAATGTGAGATGCTTATTTAAAGAGATTGTAAATAAAATATGAATTTTGAATTCGAAATGCAACTAATATATGATGTTGATAGGTTTAAATTGTTTTCTTTGGGAGTTTTGGGAGTAATTTCTGATAAATATTTGGTTAATAATATTGAATAAATAAAAAAATACTATACAGAAATCTAAATAATTAGTTCTAAAATGCATAAATTTATAGAAATATAAGAAAATGAAGAATTTGAATATTTTAAAATTGCAAAACCTTTATTTAAAGTTTAAGAAAAATTCTCTTTTTTATAAATAGAAGATATTATAAAATTTTTAAGAAAAAATTATTTAAAAAATTTATTAAAAGAGGATGATGAATAAGAAGATTTTAATTTTTATTAAATTTTAAATGATATTATTTTATTGAAAAATTTTTAAAAAATTAATATTATAGATCAAACTATTCCATAATTTTTAAAATAAGATTTTAAAAATTAAAAAAAATTATTAGATGTATGGTCTTGTTATATTATGATGTAAATTTTACAACCTAATTATGTATTTTAAGAACTTTATATTACAAAAGTAAATTATGAATTAGAATAAAAAAAAATATTTTTGATTGATTATTAAAATGATATAATAAGAATATGGAAAGAATCATTAGGATTATATATTTGAAATCAAAAAATAAAAATAAAATATAAAAATAATATATAATAAATATAAATATATATAAAAAAAAAAATATAAATATATATATTTATATATATATATATATATATATATTATACATATATTTATATTTAAATTCTCATTCTAGCAAAATGTTTTCACTAAATGCACTCGGAATATCACCAACAAGTTTTTCATTTCCTTCTTTTTTAGCAATTTCACTCTTTGTAAATATATTTAATCCCCAAAATTTCAAAATTATTATTTCATTATAAATCAAAGTTCCAAAACTTACTACAATATATCCTACAAGCTGCCCTGCAAGGAATTTTTCCCATCCTATTGCTATAGAAGTTATCCAAATAATAAATGGATAAGTTACAATCCCCACATTTCTTGATAAGCTATTAACATATTTAGTTACAGCTAAAGAAGCTACATTAAAGAATAAAATTGTAAAAACTCCCAATATAACAGTTACCAAAAGCCACGGCTAATCTTTTCCTTCCATTATAAAAACTTGTTTAATGAAAAAAGGAACATCTTCCAAATAACCATTAGGACAATCTGAAGCAATTGAACTTGGACATTTTATAAAGCTTACACCTATTACAGTCAATCCACATATAAAAATTCCCCATAAACCTTCAATACCTACAGTTTAAAATGCGTTTAAATGATAATCACCGAAAAGCTTTTCTTCTAAAGTAATTTATGTTGAAAAAGTAAAAAACGAACATATTAAAAGTATTAAACCTAATATTAATTTATTATTATCTTATGATGAATTATTCTAGAATATTAAAACAGTTAAACCGACAATTACTAAGCCTATAATAATAAATGATAAACCTAATAAATGATGTCTATAAAGCTTTTTTTTTAAAAATTAAACTTAAAACAAAGCAGTTATTATTATTCCACCGCCTCTTACCTTTATATAAATATACAGTTTTTAAAATTATTAATATTATGTATTAATTTATTTACCATAGAATAAATTGAGAGTGGCATAAATTCTAAAGCAAAAAAAGCTAAAGTAGAAGTAATAAAATCACAAGCAGTTGGTATCAAAAGTAAAAAGAAGTTTATTTTTGTTTTTAAACCTTTTCTTATAGCTTCTTCTTTTCCTTTTTCATATTTTTATCTAAATACTTTTATATATATGAAATAAAATAGTAAACTTAAAGCTTCTCCTATATACATTGTCATTGATTACATGAACGGATGTGCGTATTTTTAACCCTAAGATATACACATGTTTTATTTTTTAAATACTAAACCTGAAATTGTGGCTATTGCCATAAAACAAATTAGAATTTAGTTCAAAAAAAGTTAGCTTTTTTTATTTGTATTTTATTTCATATTTAAAATATAATTAAACTTGGATAAATATATTTTTTTATTAAAATTACTATTTATAAATATTTTAATTTTATTTTATTTACATTATTTTTTATATGTTAATTTTTTTATATAAATAAATGAAAAGTAATAATATTAAATATTTTCTATAAATTTATATTAATTTATTAAAACTTTTTTATAAATATCAATATTTTTATTACATATGTTTATTCTATTTTTATATAAAAAAAATATTTATTAAATATATATTTTTATCTTTTAATTTGAGACTCATTTTTTTTTTTTTAAAAAAAATAAAATAAAAATGCTTTTGTAAAAAAAATAAAAAAATAATTAAATATTTTATTAAAAAAAATAAAAATAAAAAAAGTTAAATATAAACTATATTTATTATCAAATAAATAAAGAAATATGATTTAAATATATCTTATTTTTCATTTTATATTCATATAATCATTTCATTTATAAATATTAACTGGAGGCCTATTTATAATATAAAAAAATCAAATATAAAACAATACAAAATAATTTACCAAAATATGGTTTAATTTGGAACTGTTCCTCTAAACTTTTATTCTAAATAACATGGATCAATATATTCTTAAAGTTTGGTTATATTTTCTTATTTAAGCATTTAAATTTTGTCCACACTTTCCTAATCCATCATTTTACTGATAACACTCCAGGAAGTTTTAAGTCCAAAAGAAGGATTTAAAATGAAAAGTTTTTCCATACAAGCACAATAATTACAAGACATTGCTTCAATCATCATATTAAGTGCTTTTAATGGCAAATCGAATATACCCATACCACCAGTATCAATAATTAGTATCCAATTTTCAATATAATAACCTACAAACATATATTTTCTAACCATATTTAAAAATACACATAATGCTCTAATAATAGTATCTTAACCTTACTTTTTTGAAAAAAAATATTAAATATAAGCAATAAATTATATATATATATTTTAATAAAAAAAACTTTCTTTAAATCTATTTTAGTACAATCTAATATTATTACAGGTCTATATTATTTATCTCTTCCATGTACATAAATCATTCCACTTTCTAACAAAGCTTTAGATTTATCATCTAGACATTACATATTAGGATCTAATCTCCATTGTACGTGAGTTTTTGTAAGCTTTTTTTGTTATATTATAAAAAATTATAATTATTATATTTATTTTTACTTAAATGCATTTTTTTAAATCAAATCTTCCACAATAACACATTTTTAAGTAATCAATATCACTCCAACTATTTTATATTTATATTAATTTAAATATTTTTTTGTTTTGTTCAAGTACTCAGGAGTTAAAGATACTTATTCAGTATTTAAAGTTTCCTTTAGTTGCTAAATTCCTTATTATTCGAATAATGTAAATTAGACATTATGATAAATCTTTCTTCCTGCTTTTTTTCCATCTCCATGTAAAATATAATGATCTAAAAATTATTTTAAATTTAGATTAAAGTAATTTTAGATTGTATTTATATTAAATAATATTACCGATATGCTTTATATTAACATGATCACTAGGAGGTTTTAGGAATGATGGATCAAATCCTAATTAATTTTCAGATTCCATATATTTTTTTATTTTATTATACAATTATATTTTATATTTTATATACAAATTTTTTTTGTTTTTTTTTAAATTAAAAAATAAAATATATGTATATAAATAAATGTACCAAAGTGTTAAAAAGATAATCATAAAAATTTTGTTAAATAAATTATTTAAGGAAATTTTAAATAATATTACTAAAATTAAAATAAGTAAAAAAATATCTTTTGGTTATATTTTATTTTTAAAATATTAAATATTGCATATATTGATGTTTTTATATTTTTTTATAAAACTTATAAACTATTTTTTGTAATAGAAAAAAAATAAATTAAAAATATTGTATAATTGATTTTTAATTTAGTTAAATAAAAAATTTTATATCTTGTAAAGTATAAATTAATAAATAATAAGTGTTTTTATATTAATTTTATATTAGTTATTTATAAATGTATATATATATATATATATATATATATATATATATATATATATATATATATATATATATATATATATTAACGTATATATATTTTAAAAATTTCATTCATTTATTTAAAAAAAAGTAATAATCATATAAAATTTAAATAAAACATTTTTAAATAAATAATATGCATATACAAACAAATAAAAAAAACTTCAAGGTTTTTTATAATTTATAATATTTTAATATAGAAAATAATTATATAAACATAAATATTTATTAGTTAATTTAATAATTCATTTAAATAATTATTATTTCATCTTTAATTTTTTAACTTAATATTAAATACAAGTCTTAATTGTATTTAAAATTTAAAAATAATATGATAATTGATTTAAATAATTAAATTATAAATAAAATTTGAATATATTAATTAATATATAAAATAAACTTTTTAAAAAAATATATTAATTTATAATAAATTAATAATAATTTTATTTAAAAAAATTAAAGCATATTTAAAAAAATTAATTAAAAAATTGATTTAAAAAAATTATATATTAAAAAATTTTTTATATTTAAAACATAAAAAAGGCTAATATTTTTTTTAAAAAAAAGAATTATAAAAAGATAATTTTCTATAAAAAAGAAATAAAAAAAACATATATGGACTAAGAATAATTAAATATATCAACATTAAAAAATTCAATTTAAAAATAAAAAAGCAATTAAACAAATGAATTGCCTTAACTAATATTAGTTTAAAAAGAATCTATATAAAACAATTCTCCCTAAAAATCTATTTAATAATCATATTAAGAAAAAACGCCCTAAAAATAATCTCATTAAAATAACTCTCTTCTAATTAATTCTGAAGGAAAAGAAAATAATGAAAAATCGCTTTCAATAAAAGATAATATTAGTTAATAATAATAATAGTAGACTTTAATAGAAAAATCTCCTTTAAAAATCGAATAAAAATCGCCTTAAAAAAATGAAATATCTTTAATTGAAAGTTAAAATTCAATTAAAAAAATGACTTCTTCTATATAAAAGCAATAAGAATAGAATTCTTAGAAAAAAGAATATGATTCTTAAAAATATTTAGATTAAAAAAATGAATAATTTGAATAAAATATTTTAGAAAATAAATAGAACTAATAAATAGAAGATTCTTCAATAAACAAAAAAAGTAACTATGAATCTTTAAAAAATTTAGAAAATAACGAAAATTAATAAATATAACTAAATATAGTAACTTAATAAATATAATAATAGCCTATAGATTTATAATAAAATCAATATATTTAATAATCTATGAGTCTATAAGAAAATAAAGAAAACGAATGAATAGATTAATCTATAAACCTAAAATAAAATAAAAGCAAATAAATATAATAATCTCCAACTACATCTTAAGATAAAAACAAGAAAATACAGCAATCTCCTAATAGTGAATAAAATATAAAATAAGATTATATAGAAAAATCTCCAAACAACAATTAATAAAATAAAAAGGAATAAGAATAATTTCCAAATACTTAATAAAATAAAAACACTTATGAAAAGGAAGAATTCCCACCATTATAATTTTCTGAAAACAAAAAAACCGAAAAACTCTAAAATTCTTAAAATATATTATTAGATTAATAATAGTCTCCTAAAAAAAGCGAAAAATCACTAAAAAATAATAATATAGAAAAAAAAGACGAAAACATAATAGAAATCGAGAATTTCGACAAATTACCTAATTAAATAAAATAAAAAAAATTAAAAGATGCTTTAAAAAAAAAAAAGAATTTAAAAAAAAACTCGAATAATTAGAAGAAGAAATCATTTAATAATAAAAATTATCAGAAAAAACTCCTTTTAATAATAATTAAGAAGAAATCAAAAATATCAATAAAAAAAATATAGAAATTATCGATAATACAGAAGCAAGGGAAAAAGCTTTAAATTTGGTTAAAAAAATGAATAAACTTAGAAAAGAAAAGAAAATTAAATAAAAAAAAGATTAAGAAATTATCGAAAAAAACTTCGTAGAGGAAATAAAAGAAACAGCTGAAAGATAATAAAGCCTAAAATAGAAGCTTTAAGAAGAAAAGCGTATAAAAATACTCCAAAATTTAGAAAAAATAAGGATTTAGAGTGAAGAAAGGAAACTATTGAACACCAAAGCGAATGAAATTATAAAGGAAATTAAACTACGCGAAGATATTGTTGTAAACTAGAAAGTTTTAGATACAGAAATGCCAGAATTAGAGAAAAAGAAGAAATAATTAGCTTTAAAAAGAAAACTTTATAAACCTAATATGTAAGAAAATATAAACGAAATGTTATTATCAAATAATAAAGATAAATCTAAATTTATGTAAAGAGTTTTACAAGAAGAAAAAGATAGAAAAGAAAGAGAAATAAAAGAAAAAGAAAAAAAACTTGATTTTATTGAAAAAAGAAAAGAATACTCAAAATTAATAAAAGAAGTATATATTCCAGTTTAAAGAATATAAGTTTCAGATTAGAAAATATAGGAAAATAATTAAATTTCACACTAATAAAAGAATTTAATCTCATTTTCAAAAAGTCTTCCTAAATAAAATAAAAATTCTTATGAATAAAAAGAATAAAAAGGCAATATGTATTTAACAAAAGTAACCGAAATTAAAAAAAACGAAGAAAATTCTGACAAAGAAAATAATACTTAAAAAAGTTTCACTATGAATTTTTTATAATAATAATAGGTTAAAATTATCAAAAAACCTCCTAAAAAATTAGAAGCCTTAAAACATGATAATATTATACCACCTAAACCGCCCTAAAAAGATTATATTAAAGAATTGAGAAGTCAAAGGGAAGAATAAGGTAGAAAAATTAAACTTGAAGCTTGGGAAAAATATGTTTATGATCCTAAATTGTCTGAAAATGAAAAAATTAGTCACATTTTATAAAGTGCTAATAGATTAGAACATAAAGCAGAGTTATAGAAAGACATTGAGGCACAAAACAATCTTTATATTGATTCTATTAAAGCTAAATTAGCTATTTTAAATAATATTTGTTGAAAAAAAAAAAAAAAATTACATATTTTTTCTTAATATATTAATAAATATATTTCTTTTATTATACTCCCATATTATTATAAATAAATAAATAAATATTTGATATATAAAAAAAATTAATTTAAAAAAATACTCACTAAGATATAAAAAAAACATCTAAAACATGATTTAATCTCTTCTATTATGAATTTTTTCAAATTAAATATTCCCTAAAATTAATTATTATTTCAAACTAATTAAACTCAATATTCTTGAATAGTATTATTTTAAATTTAATCTAAATCATAGTTACTATCTTTAATATTATTACTATAAATTTATTTATACGAAAATATATTCAAAGAAAACACCATATAGATCACACAATTAAAATTAAAACTCTCTTTATCAATATACCTACCGGCCATAATCTAGAGAAAAGCTTCCATACAAATAATTTCTTATTAGTTAAGAATATTATAAAATAATAGGAATTAATTAAATAATAAATATAGGGGTAAAATATTAACCAAAAGAAATCTGTAACATAATTTCCATAATTTTATGATTTTATATTATTTTTATAAATCACGAATATATTATAAAATAAAAAATAGAATAAGGGATGAATTATAATATTATTTTAATATATTTTCATTTATAGTATTGATTGGATAGCTTAAATAAAAATTAGATATTAAAAAAGGAGGTATATGGTTTATATATCACATAAAAAAACTAAAATTCTACTAATGAAAGGAAAAGACAAATTATTTAGCCAATACTATTGTTTGAAGAGTGAAATTTTTGTATATTGGGTATTTATTAATTAGAAATAAATTAAAATATATAATTATATACACTTCTAGTAAATTTATGTTAACATAATATAAATTTCTAAACTAAAATCTTATATTTAAAATTCTTTATATTCTATTAAATAATTAGAATCTTATATTCGAATTGAATTGCAATAGCTATGAATTAATATATACAGTATTTTATGCAAGACTTTATTAAAAGAGTAAAATAAAATAAAATCTTCATCTAAATATATAATTTATTATTATAATAAACATAGTTATAAATGATAATAAACTTATAAAATAATATATTTAAAAAAAATTAGCAAGATGAAAATATTTTATATAATTTTTTAAATATATTTTACTTTTAGAATTTTATTTTTATTATTTTCTTAGACTATTTATAAATGTTAATATTTACATAATATAAATGTTTTTATATATTATAAAATGAAATATATAATATAATATATCATAATTTAAATATAAATTTTGTTTATAAAAGTAAAATTTAAATACATAATTTTTTTAAAAATAAATATCAAAATAAATAATATAATAATATTTGCTAGAATTAAAATTTATAGATATTTATAAAAAGAAATAGTAATATTATAAAAAATATATAATTTGAATATATTTATAAAAATAATATATATATGTATATATACATATATATAATTTTTAATTCTAATTATTATTATTTTTTTAATAAAACATACTTTTAATTATTATATTTTTAGTTCTTTTTAACCAATATTTTTATTTTTTTAAAAATTGTAGTAATATTTTATTATATAATATATAATATTTTTTAATTTTTAATTATAATAAAATTAAATTTTTATTAAAGGGTAGTAAGTTTATATATATATAAACTTTTTATATTTTTATCAAAAAATTATTATCAAACATTAATAATATCAGTTGATAAAGATTAAATTTATTTGTCAATTTAATCTAAATTTGCAGTTGTCTAAGTAGAATCTTATTAAACTTAAGTTAATTAATCATTTGTAGATTTTATTTAATTTGCTAAATCTTAAACAGCATTTTATGCCTATTAAGCTGCGGCAGTAGCAGCATCAGCAGCTATTTTAGCTGCAGTTTGAGCGTCTAAAGCTTCTTTTTAAATTGTATCATTTATTTTAGCTGCATCGATAGCTTATTTTTCAATATTTGCGGCAGCAATATCTTATTCATTAGTTTTTTTTTATTAAGCATCGGCTGTAGCTTATTCAGCTGCTAAATTTGCAGCTTCTTCGTCTGCTAATTTTTTTTCTTGAGTTGCTTTTGCTAATTCATTTGCAGATTTTTTAATTCTTTCAGCTGATTTATCTTTTCTATCTCTTAAGGATTTTAGCTTATTTGTTATTTCAGTTTTTGCTTATTAAGCTTATTATTTAGCTGCTTGTGCTTATTCTTTTAATTTTTTAGCATTATCTACTTATGTTTTAGCTTTTTATTTGACTGCATCTACATTTTTAGCTTATTTATCTGCTTAATCTTTTGCAGTTTTAACTTTTTATTCATTTTCTTTTTGCTTTTAACTGGAAGTTTCTTCTAATTTTTTTTTTATTCCTTTAAAGTTTTCAATTGATCTTCAGATTAAGTTTTTTTTTATTAAATAGCAATTCTATCTTATTTTAGTTTTTAAAATTAATTATATTTAGGACACATTTTCTCACATTTAGCTTTCAAATCTTTTTATTAATCTAATTATTTAGTGCATTCTTCTAATTTTAAAGGACTTATAGTTTTATCTGTTTAAACACAACGATTAGCTTCTGTGAGACAGAGATTTATTTAATAACAATTTTTATATTTTTATTATATTTAATCTGTAGAATTTGCGTTAGTTGCGTTAGTAGTAGTTGATTAAAGATTTCTTTTTCGTGATAAGAATTAATTTCCAAAAGTTAATATAGTTAACAAAGATATTATTAATAATTTTTTGTGCATTTATTTATTACTTTTACTTTTATTTTACTTTTTCTTTTTTAATTATTATTAATTTTTTTATTGATTAGTTATTATATATAGAGTTTTTATTAATTTTAATACTGAATTGAGTTTCGACTACATGGAATTTTTATTCATATTAAAATTTTAACTGCATCTGCATATATATAATTTTTAACTGCTCGAAATTCAAATTTTAATATAAATATTTTTTTTCTATATTTAAGCATTTTTTTTATTAATAGTTGAATTAAATAACCTAAATTTTATTAATAATCAAAAATTACTGTTTTATATTAATTATTTATTTACAATTTTTTAATTTCTATTATAATATACATGTAATATATAAAAATCTTAAATTTTATTAATTAATTTAACAAAAAAAATTTATATTCAACTTTAAATTAAGCATAAAGTATATTTTTTATATAAGAAATAATAATTAAATAATATATTTTTTAACCAATTTTATTTAAAAAAAGACCTTTATTAATAATATATGATTTTATATTATAAACAATTCTATATGTGCCATTTTTTTTTTTATCGTAAATAAATATATTTTAAATTATTAAATAATAATAATAACATATTTAAAAAAAAAAATATCATAATTTATCATATTTTTTTTAATAATAAAAAACAAACGAAAACATTATAATAAAATAATTAATATTTTTAATATATCCATAAATTTCTATTTTTTAATATAATAAGTTATTATAGATAAAAAAAACAATTTAAATTAAATTTTATTTTATTTTAAAAAAAAATTATCTATATTATATTTTTTATCATATTTTTATTTATTAATAAATATAATATTTAATTTAAATTTATTATTAATTCTAAAATAAATAATATAATTTTTTTTATATATAAATATATTGATTTTTTGGCTAAATTAATTAATTATTTTTAAAATAAAAAATAATATTTTCCTCAAAAATTATATATTTTAAAAATAAATATAAAATAACCAAATTTACATTTACAAATAAAAAAATATAATAATAACCTGTTATTAATATTATGTTTTTCAACTACAACAAAAATTAGCTGCTCACAAAGCCTAAAATAATTAATCAAGAAATCAAAAAATTTATTCATATCATAAACTTCCTGACAAACTCTTATTTTTCTTTTTTAAATTGATAGTAAGCAAGTATATCAAAATTTTTTTTAGTTATTTATTTTTTATAGAAACTTAAAGTATTTTTTTGATATCAAAATAAAGCAAAAAATTAATATAATTTTTAAACAAATAAATATAATGATATTATATTTATTATAAATAAATATATTTGTAATATATTTATTTTACTATTTTCTTAATATTAAAATAATTTTATATATATATGTATATAAATACTTAATTTTATTTTCCTTTTTTTTATTGCTTATTTTTTAAAACCAATTATTAAAATATTATGATAAATAAATAATCCTTTTTTGGAATATATATGTAAATATATTATTTACCTAAAGTTTAAAATAAGAATATTTAAATAATTAAAGTAATAATATATATATAAAAAAAAACTATAAGTTATAATATTAAATAAAATATTTTATATATTAAAGAAATTATATATTTTTTAAATAAAATATAGCAATCAACCTAAAAAAGATTTAATAATTATTAAATATTATTGTTACTATTTTTTAAAAAATTTACTTAATGAACATTCCTTTATTTAATTTGATAATTATTATGTTTATTGTATTATAAATATGAAAATTATAATAATTTTTTTACAAAAAAAATAAAAAAAAATTTTAAAATTATAAACATATAAATTATTTTATTTTAAATAAATTATATCTATATTATATTTTATATTTTTTTCTAGTATTAGTTTTATAAATATCGTATAAACTTTTATAATTTTATTAGAAATTTTACTAATTAATTATAAATATAACATAATATTCATTATATATATTTCATTATTTTAACAAATAATATTATCATTTAATATTTAATTTATTATTTTGTAAAAATAAAAATTTCAAAAAAAAAAAAAAATAACTTTTAAAAAAATAAAAAAGTAAAATTAAAGATTAAATAATAATATAAAAAAATATGAAGTAAATTTAATAATAAAACCTCTAAATTTTATTTTTTTTTAAAAAAAAAGCATAAATAATTTAACTTAATAAACTTTTAAAGATTCCTCACAATAAACGAGTAAATATCATAAAATTTTATATGTAATTAACTAATAATATTAAATATCTACAAATTAAAAAAAAAAAATTAATAAAGATTTATAATCAAATAAAAGCAAAACATTATAAAAAAAACTATCTTCATTATTTAGATAAAAAAATTTATCGCCAATCGAAAACTATGGTAAATAATATTATTTCTATTTATATATTATTTAATTAAAATAATACCATTTATATAAATAAAAGCTAAAAAATATGAATAAATAATTAACTAAAATTAAGATACAAATGATTTAAAGAATTTAAGAAAATAAAACTAATACTTAAGATTATAAATAAAAGATTTAAACGAATAAATAACTATAAAAGTTGAAAAAAGCAAGCATAAAATATTATCTAAGCTAAATAAATCTAAAAACGATATTGAATAAATTTTAGAAAAATAAATACAAATAGCTGAGAAAGAATACGAAAATAACAATTTTATAATCGAATAATAAACAAAAGAAATTTTATAATTAGAAAAAAAATAAAATGGTATAAATTAACAGACTTATTATAAACTATTAGAATAAATAGATGCTTTATAATAATAGATAAGAATAGAAAAATTAAATATAAAAGAAAACAAAAGAAAAAATTTTTTAAAAGGAAAAGAAATAGATTATTTAATAAATGATTTAGGAGCACCTTTAACAGTTTAAAATTCTTAATTTTTGGATGCCGAATTGGTTAATTTAATTAAAAAAACGATAAATAAATACGGATTTAAGCTGAATAGGAAAAGAGGGAAAATTAATGGAAATTAAAAATACAAAAAACAGAAAAAAATATTAAGAAGCAGTTATATTAGAGGAAAGAATAAAAATAGATAAATAAGAAATAAATAATAAATATTAGTAAGAATTAGATAAAATATAAATTTAAGATTAAATTTTAAAAGTAAAGATACACAATGATAAAAGGGATAGTTTTTAATATAAAAGAATGATTCAAGAATTATTAATTATGGAAGAATAAAAAAATAATCAAATTAATAAAATAGAATTAGAGTTAATAAAAATGAAATAGGACTTTTTGATTTTAGAAGATTTAGGTAAACAAGCATTTTAAGAAAAAATTAATTAAAATAAAAATTAATCTGAAATGAAATAAAAAAAAATTTTTAAGAAAAACTTGTGTAGGAAAGTTAAAAAAAATTAGAAGAAGATAATTTAGACGAATTTTAAGAAATTTAAGAATATAATAATATTTAAAAATTAAGTAAGGAAGATATTGATATTATAAAAAAATCAGTTTCAAATGTTAAGGAGAATATTTAAAAAATAGAATAGAAAAATAAATAATAATCTGATGACTATAATTAAGATGATTTAAAAGATGTAGATGAATAAATTAATTAAATTGAATAATAATAATAATAATAATAATAATAATAATAATAATAATAATAATAATAAGTATTACTATAATAATAAGATCAAGTATAACAATAATAATAAGAATAACAATAATAATAATAATAAAAAAACGAATAAAATTATTAAGAAAACCAATAAAAATAAAACAAGAAACATAATAATAATAAGTTGAACAAGAAATTACTAATTATAAGATAATTAATAATAAAAAGTATAAACAAATTAATAATAATAAGATTATTAATAGTAAGATTAATAAAATGTTGATAATTAGAAAAATGATAATTAATATTAACAAAAAAAATAGTTAAAAAAAATAGTTCATATGCTTAAACAGATAATAATTGTAACTAACTTTAAAAATAATAAAGTTAAAAATCTAAAAAATAATCCTAAACAAATATTAAAGATGACCAAAATTTATAAAAATCTATATAATGAATATTAAATATTATATAAATTATCTTTTATTCTTATATAAATATGTTTTTATAACAATATAAATTTTGATAATAATGATAATATTTCACTAAATGATATAAATGATTTTTTTTTTTTTTTTAACTAAAAATAATAATAATAATATTTTAAATTTATATTAATAATTTTTATTTTAAATTCAATTTTAAATATTATTTTTTTACACCAAATTTAAGCAACTATTAAAATATTTGATTTTTTTTTTGTTAAAAAAAAAATATAAAAAAAATAATATAAAAAAATAAATACAAAAAGTAATGAATAATATCACTACATCTGAACGCGAAGAAAATCTTAAAAAAAATCGAAAACCAAACAAAAAAGGCCAAATAAAAGTCTATTTAAGAATTCGACCTACAACTGAAAATGAATAGCCATCAATAGGCATTAATAAACAGAAAAAAATCCTCAGAGGAATATCTAATGATGAATATCTAAACGCCCGTATAAACGAATACTCAGATTTATAATTTGATGAAATATTTGATAAAGATTGCAATCAAGAAGATTTTTATTTAACTTCTATTAAACCAATTTTAGGAGATTTTTTTAATTAAAGTAATTTTTTAAAAAATTACATTTACGAAAAAAAAAAAAAAAATTAATATATAAATAAAAAAAGAAAAAAATGGACTAGTATTTGCTTATGGGATAACAAATTCTGGAAAAACGCATACAATTTTAGGAAATTTAGAAAAAAATGAGCAAGAAGGTATTTTTCCTCGAATTGTGTAGTTTTTATTAATGGCGAAATCTTATATATTAAATAAACAGGAAGAAATAATAAAAATACAAGAAGTAGAAATAGAAATGAGTTAATTTAAAAATATTACTGATATAAAAATTTTATTTGAGAATTTTGAAATTTATAATGAAGAAATTTTTGACTTATAAAATTTTAAAGGAAATAAATTAAAAATAAAAGAAAAATAAAACAAGAGTGTTTTCATTAAAGATATAAAAACTATATAAATAGACCATTTTTCACAAATAAATCAATTAATTTAAACTGCCTTATAAAATAGAGAAGTTAGAGATAATAATATAAACTAAAACTCAAGTCGATCTCAATGTTGTTTTAAAATTAATGTAGAATTTTGGACTGGAAATATTTCCTAAGTTGTAAGTTTGCTAATTATAGATTTAGCAGGAGCTGAAAGGGCTAAAAAAACTCTCAATGTGGGCTTTAAGATGGTAGAATCTTGTTATATTAATACTACTTTATTAACTTTAGGAAATTGTATAAGAGGATTAAGAAATGGAGATGATAATATTCCATATAGAGAATCAAAATTGACCAGAATTCTCAAAGAATACTTAGTTTAGAGTAATAATGTTATTATGGTTGTACATATTAATCCTTTATTTAATTGTTGTGAGGAAAATATTAATGTATTAAAATTCGCTTCTATAGGATTAGAAGCTAAGTTAAAAAATGTAAGTGCTTATACAGCAAAATAATAAATATAAAGTGATTTTAAAAATGATTAAGAATACAATTTGTTTGATTAAATAGAAAATATTTTTAATGTAAATGAAAAAAAAAATTCAGATAATAATCGATAAGAAAGCTTAAGAAAAAAATATGAAGAAAAAGAAGCATAATTATAACAAGTATTAAATAATTTTTAACTTAAAAATATAATAGAATAATCAAAAAGAGCTTTTGAAAAATTCGATTTGGAATTATAACATTTTTTATAAGAAGAGGATAATAAAATTAAACTAAGTCTTTAACTTTATGAATAATTTAAAATTCCAGATTAACTACTTTGTGAATAGATAATGGAAGAAAATAATAATACATCAAACAGTGATAATATAGATGATGATGAATCTAATTCTTAAGAATCTTAATAATAATAATAATAATAATAATAATAATAATAATAATAATAATAATAATAATAATAATAATAATAATATTAATAAACTATTTAAAATTATGAAAATGAATAAGAATTGATATCTTAGAATTTTGAAAAAGTTTACGATTGTTAAAACTAAAAAAGCGATGAATTTTTTATTAAAAATACCTTTAATAATATAGAATCTTAGAAATAAAATTTTAATAAAAATAATTTCAAAAATAATGATGATTAAATTAATTTATTATAAAATATATAATGTATAAACAGTATTTTTAAAGAAGATTAATAACATTAAAAAATTTTTGATATTGCTTAGTTAAAAAATAATTAATTTATATATGATTAAAATTCTAAAAATATAGATACCTAAAAAATAGAATATATTTAATAATAATAATTAAATTCTCAAAACAAATTAGATTAAATAAACAATTCTTCAATTAAATAAATTAATTCTTAAAATGAAAGTTAAAGAAAGTTAAATTCTTAAATTAAATAAATTAAAAATATTTAATATAATTTAATATTCGATTCTAATAATAATATATAAACTTATAATTCTTAGAATAATATATAAATTGATAACTCTTAAGATAATTTATAAATTAATAATTCTAACAATAATATTAAAGTTATGAATTCTTAAAATTAATAAAATGCATTCTTTTAAGAAAAATAATTAAATGGTAATAATTCTTAAAATAACTCAAAAAGATTTTCTGGACAATAATAATTAAATAATAATATTTAAGAAATTTAAAATTAAGAAAATTAAATATTTTCTTAAAATAAAGGATAAATCAATTACTCTAAATAAAAAGAAAACATAATAAATAGTAATTAAAAAGAAAATAATAGAATTACTTCTTCTAAAAAAAAATATTTGTTAAACAATTCATAAAATGCAAATTAATTATATGAATAATTAAATAATATTTAAGAAGAAATTAAAATTTAAGAACAAAATTAGTAATAATAAAATAATATTTAAGAATAAATGCAAGAACTAATATAACATGAATCTTAATTAAATAGCAATATTATATAGGAATTCTAATAAATAACAATATCAGAAACCGAACATTTATAAGATAGTACAGAGCATTAAGAAGAGTAAAGCTAAAAATAATAATAAAGCTAATAATAATAATAATAATAATAATAATAATAATAATAATAATAATAATAATAATAATAAATGGATATTATATAATATTTTTAATAAGATAACTCAGAATTTATTTAATAATAATAAGATTAAAATTAAAATGGATTTTCTAATTATTTAATTAGTTAAGAAAATTTAATTTCAAATTCAGAAATAATAATTCAATGTTCTGAAGATTAAATTTAAAATTCATAAAATTAAATTTAATAAGATTAAAACTAATTAAATATTTAATAATCTTAAAACGATTAGTTTATATAATAAAATAAATAATTATCAAAAGAAAAAGAAAACATTAATTAAAATATTGAAAATTAATTATTAACAAATAGTAAATAAAATGTTAAAAGTTTATAAAAAAACATAAACTTTTCATAAGAAAAAAATATGAATATTTCTTAAAAAAAAATATAAATTTTTCCTTATAAAAACACTAAAATAATACCCAAAATAAATAAGAATAAACTCACTCAGATATTAAAAAAATTTAAAAATCAAATCTAAATACAATTTAAAAATAAAAAAATATTTCTTAATAAAATTCAGTAAAAAAAGAATTAAATTAACCTTTATAATATGTTTAATTAGAAAATAATTAAGAAAATAAAAATAAAAATAAAAATGCAAAAGTAAAACAAATGCACAATAGATGTTTTGATAAAAATTAAAAACAAGAACAAGAAGCGTAAAGTTAGCAAAAACAACAAAAAAAATAAGAATAAGAATAATAATAAGAATAAGATATTATAAATTAAGAAATTGATTCGTAAGATGAAGAAAATGAAGAAGTTTAAGAAAATTATAAAAAATTCAAGGCTAGAAAAAAATAAAATAAAAACTTCGATTAAAATACAGATGAAAATTAAATTTAAACTAGAGGAAGGAAAATTAGTATTGAAAATAGAAATTAAAAAATCAATAAAAGTTAATCAGTGTATAAAAAATAAAGGAAAAGTTTAAAATCGAATAATTCAAGAAATAAAAAAAAATGAAAATATATAAATTTAATTTTCCATTTAAAAAATAGATATAATAAATAATAATAGTTTTTTTTTATTTTATTTTATAAATTATGAATTATGATTTTATTCTAATATATATTAATATTATATATATTTTTTTTTTTATATATATATATTTTGGAATTTTTTAAATTTCTAGAAAATATATAATCTAAATTTTTATTTTTTAAAATTTGTTTAATATTTAAATTAATCATATAAATAAGAAAATAGTTAAACCAAATAATATAAAATTCCTTTAAAATATGTATTACAAAAAAATTCTATATTTAAAATATTAATTAAAAAAATAGAAGGCTAATAAATTAAATTAATTTAATGTTAAAATATATTAAAAACATATAAAAAATATAAATAAATATATATAAAATACATACTTATTATGAAATAATATACATATTAATTTAAAAATAGCGATAGAGAATATTATATATAATATTCTCCTTGTTTATTCTAAAATTAAACAATGAAAAAAGTCTATACATAAAGTTCATATAGAACGTATGCATATATATTTTTTATAACAAAAATAAAAATAAAATATATAGAATTTAATAGAAGCATTTTTCATAATAAACATTAAAAAAAGAATAATAATTAAATAACAATAATAAAAAGAATATATCTGACAGATTTTATTATTAAAATAAAGAAAAACATTATATTGAATCTCTAAAAACTTAAAAAAAAAAAAAAGTATAAAGAGAAACTATACCATACGAAAAAAAAACTTTATTTATTTTCCTTTAGACAGTGATAATTAATAAAGATAATAAATACATATAAATTTAAAGTAATATTAAGATTTCATTAAAAATTAATAAATGAAAAACTTATCTTAGGAATAATAATTATTTAAAACTAAAAATAATTTTTAAGAAAATAATAAATTATCTTAAAGTTTATATTTTAGTCCAAAAAAAGAAAATGAAGTACATTGTTAGTAAAATGCAAATTTGAATATAATAAAAAATAATTCAGTAAATGACAAAAGTAAATAAATTTTTGATTAAAATTAAAATCTGAAATTATAAATCGAAGACATTTTGAAAACTTATAATTTAGGCAATTAAGCTTAAAACATTTCTGAATAAATATTTTAATAAGTGAAAAATAAATATGAAAATCCATACTAAAAATAAAAAAATAATAAGATTGTTTAAATAAATGTAAAAAATTAAACTTAAGAGGCAAAAGAAATTGAATAAAAGCCTTAATTTTAATAAAGTGAATAAAATTAAACAGATTAATAATTAATAAAAGATAATAGTTAAGTATTTGATAATATTAATAATAAATTAAAATAAACAATTTAATAATACAATATTTCATCAATAAATGAATAATTAAATAATGATATTTCGGAACAACAAATAACGAAAACCTAATAGAATGAAAATAATTAGTTAATTAATATATTTAAATAAAGCTATAAAAATAAAGTCACAAGTGAGGAATCTTAAAATATTAAACAAATAAATTATAATTAAAATAATTATTAGAAATTCCCTTTTTAACCAATAAACCATTATTATGATTACAATGATATTTTAAGATTTAAAAGAGTAAAATAAAGTAATTCAAATAATAATAAAAAAACTTTTTCATAAATTTATTTAGAAAATTCTTAGAAATAATTTAAAAGATAATAAAAAAATGAATTAGATAAAATTTATTAAACTTTAATTGCAAACAAAAAAAATTAATAGAACATTTATTTTAAAAAATGAATAATATATTATTTAAATAAATGCAAAAATTTCATTTATTTTTTATTATTTTTAATACTTTTATAAAAATTAATTAAAAACATAAAAAACAAGAAAATTTTATATATTTAAAAAAAAAAAAAAATTAATAAAATTTTATAAAAAAAAACAAAAAAATTAATTAAAAATTTATAAAAAAAAATGACATCAAAAGAATAAACCGTTCCTTTTCATGAAACATTAATTTAATTATTCCAATATTTTATAGAGCATATTTCTCGAGACTAAGAAATAGTTAAAACAAAAACATTAATAGAAGAATGGTATTTTTTCAAAACTCTTTTAAATCCTTTTAATTAAAACAAAACGCAAGCATATTTCAGTTTAAACCTATAGTCAAATAAAGAAAAGCAAGTATTTTTTTTTAAAAAATAAGCATTCAGGCCTAATTAAAATTTTTAAATTTAAAAAAAAATTCCTAAAAAAAATAAAATAAAAAGAATAAAAAAGAATAAAACTAGCAACAAAGATAAACCAATATACCATGTGAAAATTCAACTCAATAAGGCATCAATTATAGTGCAAAATAAAAAGAAAGCATAAGTATCAAAGTAGTACCTATATCATCCTTTAGACTTGATTTATTAAGACATAATCATCATTAATAAATAATAACTAAATAAGAAGAAACTGAAATAAAAATAAAAACGCCATCCTCATCAATATAAAGGTATGAAAGAAGCTCTCAAAACAAGGAAAAAATTAAAGTAATGAAAACTACATAAAGTAATTAATTTTATTAAAGTATAAAAAGTTCTTGTCAATCTCCTCCTTTTAAATAATAAAATTAAAATTTTTAGGAAGAAATTTTAACAAAATCTTAATAATTTAATTAATTTTAGTAATAACTTTCTGTAAAAAACAATAGAAACGGAAATACAATTAAACTTAATAATTAAAAAATTGCTTAATTTTTTACCACTACGAACAGCGAAAGTAATCACTATATAATATAAGTCTTAATAATATTAATATTTTTAAATAATTATATAATATTTAAAAAGGTAATAATGAAAATTTAGATTTGATTGCTAATAATAATAAGGGAAATTATAATAACATGTCTTTAGATAATAAAAATTCTTATAATTAATATACAAATATTAATAAAAATTAAGATTTATAAAATAAATAAATTGAGGAAGAAACACTTGATTAGCCATTTTTAAGTAATTCTAATCAATAATAACATCCTAATTAAGATTTTGATTTTTTAAATTTAAAAAATTAAGTCGATCAGTTTTTAAAATTAATATAAAATAATAATGAAATTTTCAAAAATATTAATATTTGAAAAAAATAATGTTTATTATTTATTGTTTATTAAATTTAAATAATTTTTAATTGTTTTAAAAAATTTAACATTTATATATATTAAAATATAATATTTAATTTTTTTTTTTAAATAAATAAATTATTAATATATCAACGTATATTAATTTTACTTATATGAAAAAATATTATAGCTCAAAAAATAAAAATAAATACAAATATAAAAATATTTAAAAGCAATAAAATAAAAAAACCATTATTAAATTTTATTTTAAGATTAGCAAAAGTAAAAAAAAAATATTAATATGACTAAAAAAAATATATAATATAAATAGGAAAAAATAAAAAAAAATATAAAAATAAAAAATAAAAAAAAATAAAAAATTAAAAAAAGATTGTATTATTTTGTAAAGAAAATCATCATATATAAAAAAGATTAAAAAAAATTGAAGATAAAGTATTATGATTTAAAATAAATTATAATAATATAAAAAAAAATACATATTAAAATTAAATAGTGGTAAAAAATAAATAAAAATAATATAAAGAAAATAATCATAAATAAAATTTTAAAAAATGAGTAAGAAAATTATAAATTAAAAATAAATAAAAATTAAAAATTATAATAATAATTTAATATATCTTAATAATTTTATTGTTATATTTATATTTATATTTATATTTATATTTATATTTATATTTATATTTTTTTATTTACTATAATAATAATATTTATCATTTAACAGCTTATAAAATATCTCCTGATATAAAAGCATTTTTAAGTGATTCATGTTTTGTAATAACTTCCATTGGTATCATATTTAGCATACCTTTTGTTCTCCATATTTTAATACTTAGACTTTTAAGATATGGTAGCCAAATAATAAAAAAAACTCCTAAAACTACAGCTATAAATACACTAAATAGAATTGTTTCAAATCTACTTCTATCATCTAGAAAAGTTTTTATATCTGATAAAAATTTTTCGTTTAATTCCATCATAGCAGGAACAATAAATAAAAGTCCATCTTCTATTGTTTTAAAATCAACACTATTTAAACTAGTTTCTTAACTATTTGCATCAGTATTTTACCAAAATTTAGATGATATATCTCTTAATGCTAATATTTTATATGATTAATATATTTATATATAAAATTATATATATATATATATATATATATATATATATATATATATATATATTATATTATTTTTATATATTTTTATATTAAATTATATTACTTTCAGTAAATGATACAACAGATGTTCTTAAACCTCTTTTTAATATTCCACTAAATATTCCTTCACATTTACTAATGTCTGTAATAGCAGTAACATTACCACAAATATTTGATGAATCAATATTCATAAATTATTTTAAATATGATTTAAAAGCTGCAGGATATTCTTTTTTAAAACTTTAATATACTTTTTTTTCATTATCATAAACTAAATCAGTATATCTATCTCTTAAATTTATACTTTAATATATAATTTTTTATTTAGAAGCTATTTCTTCTAAAGTAAAAAGCATATTATATCTAAATTAAAAATAAATATTTATAAATATTAAAATTTATATAATATATTAATAATTATTTAAATATATAAATATATATTTATATATATATATATATTTATTAAATATATAATAATTTTAAATATATATATACTTTAAATATGTTGGTCTCATAGATATCAATTATAAGTGTTCTAAAACTTATTTAACATCATCTAAAAATTATATTTGTAAAATATAATGTACAACAAAGAATGTAATAAATATAATAGCAATAAAAGAAAACTATACAATAACTATTTTTTTATTATTATCTTTTTAATTTAATAATTTTGCACTCCTTGAATTTTCATAATCTTCTTATTCTTCTTAATTTTTTAAGTTTTCTTTATTATTTTCTTCTTATTTCTTCTTCTCAATAACTTTATTTTTTTCCGTTTTTTGCAATCCCGAATTTTATCCTATACTACTCATTAAATTACCCTTAATATTTGGATTTCCTGGCGGAATTCTCAACTAATTATTACTTATAGGTTCTTATTATTAATTTTAATCTTTTTATTCAAATCCTTCTTCATTATTTAATTCATAAACTCCGTTTACTTTGTTTGCACCTTGTGTTTATTTTTTAGGCTTATCATTCGATTACGAGTTTTCATCATTTTTATCACTTTTATTCTCATTAGCTTCCTAAGAAAGAAAATCTTAAATAAACTTTTCACATCTCTATGATAATTCTCGAATCTCTTAAATTGGAATATATCCAAAAAGCGAAAGCACTCTATTGTTTGTTTTAATGACTTAAAAAACGATAGGAATTAAAATAACTTAAGAAAGTAAGAGGAAAATAATTCCAATAATCATAATTATTTTAAAAGTTAATTCCGAATTAGAAGTTAAATTATAATAAAAATCATAAAATGTCATAGCAATAACAAATGCAGCATCTCTATATACATAAAGCCCATTTTCTCTTACAAAAAAAAAAAATTTTTAAGTCGAATCTATAAATGGACTTTAAGAAGCTTTCTATATACATATATATATATAATTATTTAAATATTTATTACAAAATTATCTAAATTAGCGCTTTTTAAAGATGATGCACTTGTAATGAATTAAAAAATAGCATCAGTATATACTTTTTATTCAGTATCTGTAGCTTTATTTTATAATTAAAAAACTGTATTATATAAAGTATCATTAGCAACATAATTCATTCTAGCTTCCATTTTTATTTCTGATCTAATAACGTTAAATTAAATATCTTATAATTATTTAACATATAATTCTAAATAATATTTATAAAGATTTTCAAATTTAGTAATTTAAGCAGCATTTTAAGGTAATTTTAATGCAGGTTCTAGTAATTTGCCACTATCAAAATAATATATATAAAAATATATATTATTTTTATATATAATCTTATTTACAATCCTAATATTTATAATTTTCTTGAATAATAATTAACTTCTTCCATTAAATTAGGTCTCATATAAGCATAATTTATAGCATCAACACCTTCTTATATATCACTTTATTCTTTTAATTTATAACCTAAGTCAGTTCCTGTTAGTGCACAAACAATTATAAGTAATAAAAAGACAGTTCTTTTTAAGATTTTTATAGATTTCGGGACTGTTTTTTCTGATATAAGTGCTTTAAAATCTTTCAAATGTCTCATATCTTCATTTAAGGAAGCTCCGGAGACATTAGAACCCTCATCTTCGATATCATTTCGATGTTCATCTTGATTATTTTAAATTTTCTCTTCCTATTCTTACTCTTATTTTTCCTCTTAATTATCAATATTAGCTGATTTTTATTTATAAACATTCTCATCATTCTCATCCGCTTCAATAAACTTAATAGTAATAATTTTAAACCCTTCTCCATATTCAGCTTCTTCCTACAAATTTACCCTAATATTAGTTTTTCTGTACTTACTTTTTTTACCATCCCCCATATTTTCTCCTTATTACTACTATTACTATTACTATTACTATTACTATTACTATTACTACTACTATTAATACTACTATTAATACTACTATTACTACTAGATATCATCTTAATTTTCATAGTCTTCCTCATTACCGTATCCTGAATTTCCCTATTTATCTACATATTCATTATTATTAATATTATTAAAATCTTAATCTTCCTCATCTTCATCGATGAGGAAATTTTATTAAATAAATGTAGTATTAATCTATACAATCAACCCTTAAGGACTTTTTAATTCTTCTAAATTTTTTGGATCTATAATACCTGGAGCAATTGAATCTATAGTAAATTCTGGAGTATTAGATGCGTTTCCATACATTAATTAAGCGGGAATGCCAAAAGAAGTATGACAAGACTAAGTTACGCCTTAAATCTATAAATTATCTTCCCTATATATTAAATAATGGATTACTTCTTCTCTATCTAGTTAACTTTAATAGATATACCATCTAATTCCTTAATAAATCCTACAATTTAAATACCTTCGTCTAAATTAGGTAATACTTTTATCAATAGACTACAAGGAACTAAATAACCGAGTTTATTTTAACACATTACAGTTCTTTCCTAACCAATAACTTTTGGTTCTGACGTATTTAAATATCTATACATCAGTTTATCATGTAAATCGCCATATACTTTAGGCATAATTCTGCTAATATTTTAATCTATTATTTCATTTTTTTAATAACCTAATATCCTAAAAAACAATAAATGAAAAATAATTTAACATATATATAAAACATAAATATATATATATATATATTTATAATTTTATATACCTAGTTACTTCATTGTTAGAATTTGTTAATATACCTATCGAATTTATATTCCCAGATACTGTTATTATGCATGTGTTTGAATTTTCTCCATATTTTATTTTATCTGCGTCTACAAATTATTTATTTGCCTAATTACTTTTGGCTACATATTCTGCTTTTTCTATAACTCTGGTACCTTCTTGATCATCATTTACTATATCTTTTAGGAAATAACCATATATCTCTAAACACTTTATATGATTTGGGTTCATATCTTACAACTTCGTATATAATTCCGCTGTATGTTCTACTGTATTAGTAATTTTACTCCCTAAACTCAGCAATTTTTATATATCAGGTGAGTCTTCTAACAATTTGCTCCAAAATTCCAAATGAAATGTCACTGACTTCTCAATAGCTGCCAAAAATATGACAAATCTATTCTAAAAAGCAACAATATTATTCACTTCTACCCCCTTAGTCTCCTACCCTCTCGTATCATTCTCTATCATTTCTTCTTCTATCAAATGCTTATACCTATATATTGAAAACTCCTCCTACAAATTAGGCTTAGACTCCTCAGTAATCATTAATTCAAACAAAGACTTGAATTTATTCTATAATTTTCCCTATTAAATATAGGCATGTAATAAATGCAATCTTGCACTTTTCTGGAATTTTTCAAACCCATCCAATAAAATACTATATACAAATATATACCATTTTCTTGAAGAATTAACTGAAACTCCATTATTTCCATCTTCTTCTTTTTAATTTGCAATATTTTAACAATCACACTAATCCTGTTATTTATTACAATTTTTAATATGGAATTTTAACACCCCTTCTAATTGAATTCTCTGTTCTGCTTTTTCCCTATTCTCTATTAAATTTATCAATATATTAATATATTATTCCAATTCAGTCTCTTTTTTGAAATTTCTTACCTATTTAGTCAAAAAGGATTGATCTCGGCATTTTATTAAACTATAATATACTATGGAAATCAAAGGAATTCCTAAACCCATATAAAGTAGTCCTACTTATCCGTTATCAATTAAACCAGAAATCAAAGCACAACACGAAATCCACAAAACACTCGAATCTAGAATAATAATCACTATTTATACACCCGTATTATATACAGGAGGTGTCAAATACCCTTAGGCACATACTATCAGATTAAAAACTACTAAAAGAACAATAAAAACCTTATCTAAGGAACTTTTCCAATCAAAAGTAATATATATTGGCAAAATTAATTTTAAACCAAGTTTTATTAGGGAATACTTTGACTAAGAACATGCAAAAGGCAGGTGAGAGCATGGATTTAAATCTATATAAAGTCTAATAAAAAGGAGAGTAAAAAAAAAGAGCAAAATAAGACAAAAAACTGCTGCTGAAAAATGAATGAAAAAAAGTCCAGAATAACAATCTAAATTTTAGGTAACTTTTGATGATGAATCACAATATAAAATAATTATCATTATATTAAAAAAAGGAATTATTCCTATTGTATTTAATAATATTCCGTATCCAGATAGTAGTTTTGTACAATAAATGGAGAATGTAGATGCTTTTTTATGCTTTTAAGCACTTTAAACTAAAGCAAATATAAAAAGAAAAAGCATAAATAATTAAACAAAGCATACAAAATATAAAATAGCTAATATTAACTAATAAATAAATATAAATATAAAAAAAAAAATATAATGCATAAATATATTTAAATATATATATATTTATATATATTTATATATATTTTTTTTTATTCAATTAAAATAAATATCTCCATATTTTTATTTGTTTTTTTTTGATTATTGTGATTCATAAAAAAATATTAAAATTAAAACAAAAATTGATAAAAAGAAAAATATATATATTTTATTTTTTACTTCATTTTATCCATCTGAGATTATTCCATTTATTTAAAAATATTTAAAAGCCTATTAAACTATATTTGTTATACTTGAATCCCATAAAAAAGATAATTAAGGATGAATAGAATAATATATTATTTAAAAAGATTCAATTAAAATTAATATTTTATATAAAAACGGAGATACTACACTTGATTGTAATAAGTCGTGCATTAAGCTATATGTTGCTGTTTTTACTTTTTTCTCAAATTATTCCCATTTCGATTCATCGATTGCTAATTTTCCTCTATTTCCTAGCATAATAAACATTTTTATTATAGGTATTTATTATTATTATATATAAATTTTGTATATTTTTTTTTTTTTTTTATTAAAAAAAATATTATTTATTATTTTTATTTTTTTAAATTTTTGTTATTTTTTTTTTAATTTTTTTTTTTTTTTAATTGTTCTATATATTTAAAAGTTGTTAAAAAATAAAATTTAGGTTTAATATTTTATATAATTATAAAAATAGTCTTTAAAAATAATTATGCGCAAACATTTACTAATTAAAGTTAAGATTTTTGAAAAATTAAAAAGTAATATTAAATAAATAATAAACGAAATATAATTTTATAAATTTAAAAATATATTTATTTTACATCGTTAAGATAAATATATATATAATAATAATAAATCTTAAAAAAAATATAATATGTTATTTATTTATTTTGTATTTAATAGTAAAAATATTTTAAATTCAATAAATATTTCTAAAAGTTAAAATATTGCATATTTTAATATATTTAATATAATAATATATTATTTTTTTATAATATAGATAATAATTTTTAAATTATTTAATTCAAATAAATATACATTAATAAATATATATTCTTTATATAAATTAAATAAATAAAATACATTATTAGTTAATTATTAAATATTAAAATATATTATAAATTAAAATATATATATATGTATATTTAGTATTAAGATAACTATATTTCAAAAAAATTAGTCATTAAGTTTGAAAATTCTTTACATTATTTAAACTTTTTTTAATCAAATTTTTATTACTTAATCTTTTATTTTAATAAAATTTAGAAATAAAATTATGATTTAACAAATGCTTTCTTTTTTTAAATAAAATATGTTTTTTTTTATTGTTTGAAGGTATTTTTTAATTAATAACATCAAATATTTTATCTGCATTAAACCTTGGATAATAGAATTCGAAAATTTTTAAATTATCAAATAAAAAAACGCTAAAAAATTAATTTTTATTATCAAAAAATTAAGTATCATCAAAAGTATTTTTTTTTTCTTAAATTATATCAAATATTTACTATTATTAATTTTTTTTATTGTCGAATTTAATATTTTTTGGAATAATTGTATTATTTTTAAAAATACGGAAAGGAGTACTTATAGATCCTTCAGAAACAGGCTATAAAATATTGCCATTTTTATCATATTTAATATTATTTAATTATTTTTGTTTCTAAATGTAAGATATTTTCTTATAAGAACGTCTAGAAATATCATTTATTTTCGAATTTATTTTATTATTTTCCACCTAAACAATTTATTTTTCAATTTTTTAAAATTTTTAAAGCCTTTAAATAGAGTCTAAATTTTTATTTTATTATTAATAATTTTAAGATTAATAAATTAAAGTAAAACTTCTTTATAAATTTTTCTTTAAAGGGATTATTTATTTAAAACTTTATATATTCATAGAAATTTAATTATTCGAAAGATAAGTAGGCATTTATTTTTATGTTTTTGCATATTCACAATTATATATATTATTATTATTACTATTATTACTATTATTATTATTATTATTATTATTATTATTATTATTATATTTTTTTATTTACATTATCATTATTTATTTTACTTTTATCATTTTCTAATTTTTCATTTTTCTGTTATTGAATATTTATTCTATCACTACTCATATAATTTTAATATGAATAAAAATCATCATTATTATCTGTTTTTTATAAACTTCCTTATTCAAAACTTAAATCAACTTAACTCATTTTGATAAATATCGCTTCAGGATTAAATGATACCTATTTTTTATTATTTATTTAATTTCTATTATATTCAAAAAAGTTTTTTTATATTTAATCTGTATTTTATTATATTTTTATATCTTCAATACTAGTATTTTCTTTTTTATTCTCTTACTCATTATCTTCTAAGTTTATTTTTTCATTATAATATTCACATGACTTATTATAATCTAAAGAATCTACTCCTAAGTTTTGATTATTAGTATCTTATTTTTTAATATCATCATCATATTAAATTTAACTCCCATTTATTAAACTATCCTATTTAAATTCCTCATTTAAAAAATCTTATTTATAATTCTATTATAATTATTAATTACCTAAATTACCTAATTAAATTTATAAAATTTTATTTTCTTCATTATCTAAAAAATCTAGATGCTATAAATAACTTTAGTATTAACTTTCACTCATTGACTATTCTAAATTTTCCAAAATTTAAATATATTTTTCATCTTAAAGAATATCCACAGCTCCTTCAAAACACTCATATTTTTAAAAAAGTGTTTAAAATTTAAAATCTCTTCTTTCATATTAACTTCTATTACAAATAGCTTTTGATATCTAGTTTTTATTAATTACTATATTTTTCGATACTGTAAAGTGTATTTTAAAGCAATTTTATGGTTAATGTCCTTCTTAATTACATACTATACATGGAAAAATATATTTTTTGTATTAATTATTAAAAATAAGTGATTCTTTATACATTTAAAATATTTCCCAATCTTAAACATTTTTGTTAACTATTTCAATAAACTTCGTTCTATTTATTTTATAAACACGACAAAAATCGGAAGCTTGGGCTGTGTTTTCTCTCGATCTTCCAGTTATAAATGAGAAATTCCCAAAATGTTCCTTTTTTTATATAACTTTTAATAATTATTTCTTATTAAATTCTATTTATTATTAATAAATCTTCACTTCTCCCTTTACTAAATAATAGAACGAACAATCATCCAACCTATCTTACCCGTAAATAATTTCACCAGGTGAAAATAAAATTTCTTCCATAATTTAAATAATTTCACTTCGGGATTAAAGGCAATAAATTTAAGGAATTTATTTTAAATATTTCCCTTAAATTTCTTAAATCAAATCATATTTTAAATTTTTTGATATTTTTTCTAAAACTTAATTTTCTTTTTCTTATCTAATAGTATTAGTTTCCTGTTTTGAATAAAATATGGAGTAAAATAATATATAAATATAATATATATATATATATAAATATATATATATATATAATATATATATATATATATATTTATCTATATATTTATATAATTTTTTACCTTATATAAATATTATAAATAATTCGTAATTCTAACTCTTAGTTCTGAATTTACATTTTCATCTCTCATAAAAGTATGAATTGTTTCCATATCTTCTTTAAAATTAATATTTGATTTATTAATATTTTATATAATATTTCCAATAGAATTTAAACTATAAGCATATACCATTCCTGTAAAAATCATCGTAATAACTACAAAAGTGCATTCCATAGAATTCTAAGGTGTTACATCCCCATATCCTACAGTAATCATAGTTGCCGCAAGGAAATAAAAAGAGTAAATATATCTATCTTAGATTGAAGATTAAGTTAAGTTTTTATTATGGAGCCATGTATTATTTTATTTATTTAAGTACTTAATTTAATAAAGACCTAATCCATGCCATAGACAAGCAAAAACATGTGCTACAAAGATAATTATTAACAAAAGTTTTATTAAATCAACAATATTTTTACAATTTCTTTAAAAGCTTAAATAAAAAGCCATTTTTTCCAATATATTATTTAATTGAAGCAATTTTAGAAAAAAAAGGATACAAAAATAATCTTTTTAAATAATTTTAAAAATATTAATATTATAAATAAGATTTGCCAAAGGTAAAACTGTAATAATATCAATTAAAAAAAAAGATTTTAAATATTTTATTGAAATTTTACTTCTACTTTTTATAAGTTTTCCTTTCTCAAATTTTCCAGTATTAAAATTAACGAAAATATCAATAAGAAGCAAAAATAAAATTAACTAATAATCTATAATCTATTATTTAGCATTTTAATCAAAAAAAAGAATTAAACTTATTTCGAAATTCACTATTATTATTATCAATGCAATAAAAATGTCCCATAAATTCCTTATTAAGCCGTTTGGATTGATAACAGGGATTTCAAAAGGAATTATTTGTTAAATTTTACTTATTATAAATTATAATTAATTTTCTAAATTGTAAAAAAAAATCATATTTTATTATTTAAAATTTTTTATAAAAAAAGCAGATTTATCTCCTATTTAATCGTGTTAAAATTTCGTTAGTTTAACATATATCCGTGTATTTTTTGTAATTATTTTATAAAATTTATATAACTAAGTTATTAAGTTAAAAATAACTGTTAACTATCTATTATCCCTTTAATAATCTTTTTTTAATATATCTTAATTAGAATCACCTTTATTAATAATACAAATACTATTGTTATTTGAAGGCGAAAATACTAAATTTTCTTTATATATTATTTTTTAAAAAATTTATTCGATTTTATTTTCATTTATTCTATCCTAGCTTTTTTATAATTTAAATTTTTACTTTTTTATTTTTTTATTTATTTTTTTAGTAATAAATATAAAGTTTCAATTATTTTTTATACTTTTATTATTGGTTAGGTCACATTTTCAATCTTAGAAAATTATATTTCTTGTTTTTTCATATTTTTCTTTATTTCTATTTTTCTTTTAAATAAATTTTATAAAATATCACTTATTTAATATAAAAGTAATTTAATAATTGTTAAAATAATGATAATTTTTTTAATTATATCAAAAAAAAAAAAATACTTTATATTAGTTATTTTCTGATTTTTAAAATTATATGCAATAAGTTTATAATTTTATATAAATAAATATACATATATATAAAGCATCATATAAATATTATTATTATTTTAAATAAATTTTCTTTATATTGCTATAAATTAAGTATTATTTACAATTTATAAGTTATTAAAATATTTTTTATACATAAATTTACTAATTGTATTAATAACTATTAACTTCATTATCATTTTTATTTATTACAGTTAGATACATTAAAACATCTGATAACAAAAAATTGAGTTTTTATATTTTCCTAAATTTAAACAAAGAAATGTAATATTTAATAATTAAAACTAAAGATTAATGAATACATTTTTTAAAGATATAAGAAAAAATATTAAATTTATAAAGTAAATATAATATAAATAAATAAATATTTGAAAACTAAAAAAAAAAAACAATATAAAACTGAATAATAAACAACATTTAAAAAAGCATAGCAAAACTTCAAAACATATAAAATAAAATTATTACCTAGTATATATATCAAATAAAATTACAACCAAAAAATAAATATAATTAAAAACAATAAAAACTTTTTTACTATTTGTTGAACTATTTAGGGAAATAATATCACCGAAAAATAGTTAAAATAACTTAAAATCTTAATGTCACTACTTTATGTTAAAGAAAAGCAAAAAAGTATGAGATAACTATAAATAAGAGAAAATCATAATATATAATAAGAATATAATACTTGAAGAAGAAAAAATAGTATAAAGTTAATATTACAAATGAAACATATAAATAAAATATATTCAAAAATTTGGTATATAATTGAAGGAAGAAAATATTTAAAAATTAATAAAAAATAAAAATAAAAAATTAAAAAAGTAATTTAATAAATATATTATACACATAATTAATAAATTGTTTATTATTATAAAATAAAAGTATATTTATTAATTTTTAATTTATAAATTTTAAAATTATCTTTATAAATAATTTTATCAATTATATCATACTTATAATTAATTTGTTTATGAAAAAAAAAAATAAAATACTAAAAAAAAAAAAGAAAATAATAGTTTACATAATAAATATTTTTAAAATATAAAAATTAAATAATATTATTATTTAATATATTTTTAATAAAATAATAATATCTTTTTTTATTTATAATTTACTTTTTCAATTATTTTCTACTTATTTTATCTAATTATTATTGCTTTCAATGCTTTTTAAATTATCAAATAATCCTCCTCCTCCGTTTGCACTATTATTTTATTATATCTTATTATTACCAAATAACCCACTACTACCCTATGTGTTCAAAGCGTTTTAGAATAATCCTCCACAATTATTAGTATTTTTTTAAAACAAACCTCCATTTTTACCAAATAATCCTTCTGTATTACTATTATTATTATTTAAAAGTCCTTCTTATTTTAATTCTTAATCCTTTTTTCTAAATAAAGAAGTTCCTTATTATTATACATTACTACTAATCAAATTAGAAAGCTAATTTTCTTATTTATTAACTCCCTTATTATTTTAAGTATTCCCAAATAATCCTGTACTTTAATTTACTTATAATGTTCCTTCTTTATTTACATTACTAATATTAGAAAACAAACTTTTTGCTCCTTCTTATTTTTCAGTATTTTTTTTTGTTAATTTCTTAATTTTATTCTTTATTTTCGTTTCCTTTATTTAAATTTGCAAATAAGCCTTCTTTTTTAAATAGACTTTAATTATTATTATCTTTATTTGAATTTTGAAATAATGAAACCTTTTAATTTTATTCATTATTTGTTAAAAATAAACTATTATTTTCTTCTTTTTATTAAAAAGGAAATTTCGCTTCATTTATAATATTCGCAAACAAATTAGATTTTTCAGTTTCTTCATTATCATTTTAATTTTTATCCAATGAACTTTTTTTTATTTCTTTATTATTTTCATTCTATATTTCTTTTTTTGTTCTTAATTATTATTCACAAATATAATATTTTTTTCTTCATTATTATTACAATTCAGATTCTTTTTTTCATTATCATTAATTGCAAATAAACCTTTTTGTTCTTAATTATTATTCCCAAATAGGCTTTTTTGTTCTTAATTATTATTCCCAAATAGGCTTTTTTGTTCTTAATTATTATTCCCAAATAGGCTTTTTTGTTCTTAATTATTATTCCCAAATAGGCTTTTTTGCTCTTAATTATTATTCCCAAATAGGCTTTTTTGCTCTTAATTATTATTTCCAAATAGACTTTTTTGTTCTTAATTATTATTCCCAAATAGGCTTTTTTGTTCTTAATTATTATTTTCAAATAGACTTTTTTGTTCTTAATTATTATTTTCGAATAAGTTTTTTTATTCTTAATTATTATTTTCGAATAAGTTCTTTTATTCTTAATTATTATTTTCAAACAAATCCTTTTATTGTTAATTATTGTTTATTATATTGTTCTTTTCTTAATTATTTCCAAATAAATTTTTTTATTATTAACTATTATTTTCAAATAAGCTTTATTAATCCTAATTATTTGTAAATAATCCATATTTTTTTTCTTCTTAATTATTTTCAGAAAGGCTATTTTTCTTTTGCCCTTATTTATTTGTTTCTAATAACCCTATTTTTTTTAATCTTAAGAATTATTATCAAATAGACCTATTTTTATTTTTTCTTAAGCATTATTTTCAAATAAAACAACTTTTTTTTATTCCTAATTTTCAAACAATCCTGTTTTATTTTTTTCTTGTATATTATCAAACAATAATCCTTTATTATTTTATTCTTAACTATTATTTTCAAATAATCCTTTACTATTTTATTCTTAATTATTATTTTCAAATAATCCTGTTTTTTTTTAATCTTAAACTTTATTTTCAAATAATCCTTTATTATATTCTTAACTATTGTTTTCAAATAATCCTGTTTTATTTTATTTCTAAGCTTTATTTTCAAATAATACTATTTTATTTTGTTCCTCGCCTATATTTTCAAATAAACCAACATTTTTTTATTCCAAATTATTTTTTTCAAATAATCCTATTTTATTTTAATCAGTAGTATTGTTTTCAAATAATTCGATTTTTTTTTAATCTACGACTTTTTTTTCAAATAATCCTATTTATTTTTAATCTTAATTTTTATTTTCTAATAATACTGTTTTATTTTATTCTTGTATACCATCAAATAATCCTGTTTTTTTTTATCCTTAAATATTATTTTCAAATAATCCTGTCTTTTTTTATTCTTAAACACCATTATTTTCGTTATTTTCAAAACTTCCTATTTAATTAGAAAATAAAGGTTTTTACTCTTCTTTTTATTTAATTTAGTTTATTTTTTCTACTTATATTAAATTTAATATTTCTTTCTCATTTTTTTATTATTAAGTTAGATTTTAAAAAAGATTTTAATTTTATTTTAAAGGATTTTTATTATCTTTTTAATCGTTAATATTAACACTTATATCATTATTATTATTACTTATATCATTTTTATTGATAATTGTTACGAATATTCCATTATTAATTTAATTTTTGTTTTCTTTAATTAAATTGTTTTCATTTTAATCTTTATTTTAAAAATTTTATTATTATAAATCAACTTATTATTCTGATTATATTAATTATAATTTTAATTATTATTGATTTTTTTCTTTTTCTAATTAAATTAAAGCTTTTTATCTTTACATAGTTTCTTTTATCCTAAAAAAAAAAAAAATTACATATATTTAATATATATAAAAGTGTACTTTTTTAATGTATTTTTATCAGATACATTAGAAGAGCTATCTGAATTTTCTTCATTAAATTTATTTTATTTTATTTTTTTGTTAATTTTCTTAACAAAATCATAATTATTTATTTTCTATAATTTATAATTAACATCTTCTTACTATAATTTTTACTATTATTATTATTATTATTATTATTATTATTATGAATATTATTTTTATTATATTAAATTTTTTTTTTGTTTTTCTTTTTATCAATCCAAAATTTGTTATTTGTTATAATTTAATTTTTTTCTTCCTATTTTTTATATAATTCATTTTTTTTTCTTTATATATATTTTATTATTCATCTTTTTTATCAACCAATATATTATTTTAAATATTTTTTTAACTTTTAAATGATACTTATTCATTATTTATATATTCTGTAGCCGTTCTTTTTATCTAAACTTCTTTTAAGTTAATTTCTATTTTTTCATTTTATATTTATTATTATTTGTCATCATCTCCAAAAACATCATCTAAATTTAAATTAATTCCTGCTCTTAATTTCTTTTTATTTAAATAAAATTAAAATAAAAATTTGATTAATATTAAAAAAAAAAATCAATAATACATACCTTTTAAATTTAATTTTAATAATTTTATTTCTATACGCCTTCTTATTATTATTTTTATTATAATTATACTGTTTATTATAATTATTCTAATTTTTTCTTTTCTTTTTCTAATAATTTACTAATAATTTAAATTTAAATTTTTTTTACATTAATAATAATAAAAATATATATAAAAAAATACTTTTTCTTCTACATTTTCTTTCCTTAATATATTGAAGAAATTACTAAAAAAATGCTCCAATAAAATAAAATTTATTAAATAAATGGATTTTATATACTTAACATATAACTTTTTTTTATATTTATATTTATAATTATTACGCCTTTTTTTTTTATTAATATATATTTAATTTTATTTTATAATTAAATTAAATAAAAAAAATCAAATTTGGTTATTATTAATTTTACTTTAATAATTTTAATAGTAAAATTTATATTTAATTTCCGCTTTATTATATATTTAAAAAAAAAAAAAATGAAAGTAAGATTATTAGTAATTTAAATTAATATAATAAATTAAATTTTATTAATTATTTAATTAAAATGGATATATATTATAGATTATTATTTTTAATAATAATTTTAAAAAACTTTTTTAATTAATTATTATTATTTGTATATGTGAGTTTTTTATTTTTATATTATTTAGATTATCTTTTTGTTAAAATAAAAAAATAGAATCCATCTTTTTATTCTAATTTAGATTATCTTTAAGTCGATTTTTACATTTAAAATTTTTTTTCGCTTATTTTAAAAAAGAATAATATTTAATATTCAAAAATTAAATAAAAAAAATTGATTTTTTTTTAAAAAAGAAATTATTCCTTTTGATATAAAATATATATTTTATTTTATTTAAAATATTTTTAAAAAATAAAATAAAATAAAATAAAATCACATATAAAAAAAATAAAAAAATATAATATTTAATGTATATATATATAATATATAAAAATATATAACTTGAATCAATTTTAATTTTTATATTTAAATAAAAAAAAAATATTCATGCAAAATAATTAAAACTATTGGCAATTTCTATAATTTACTTTTTTATTTTATCTGAAAGTTCTAAATTATTAAACTTAATAATATCAATTCTATCTTTCTAATACTAAGAGATGAATTCTTTAACTTTTTCTTTAAAACCGCATTAGCATTTTTCGAATGAATAATCTCCTTCAAAGCCTCCTCAGTCCATCCATAAATCTAATCTTAAAATGCCAAAAGTAATGCCATTAAAACTTAAATCCCAATTAGTTTAATATGGTAAGATTTTTTATATTCATCCGAATGTTTATCTTTCGACAATACAATCTAAGCCATAAGTTTAAATTTTTAAAAAATGTTATTTTATTCTTCTTCAGTTGCAATTTTTAAAATATCACTCAAACAATCAATCGCAAGTAACGACACTGAATGATTTTTATCCAAAAGTGCATTTTTTAAAAGCACATTAACATCCACTAAGTTTTCTTAATATTCTTCAAAATAAAAGAAATTCTTGGCAAAAATAAGTACTTTTTATCTCGAAACCCAATTCTCACTTTAAAATTTCTCCCCTAAAATTCCTACTATATCTTTTCTTATATTTTTAGGATATTCATTTTAAGACATTACTTTTAAAATTTCTATTTCATTTACATTATCAGGCTATATATATAAAAAAATATATATAAAAAGAAAATTTATATATAATTTACTTTATTATCTAAAATATATATAAATAAAGGTCTAAAATAAGACCAAAAAAGATCATTTTATTTCTTTACTGAGAGACTATCTAACATTCTAAAAGTCATATGAGAATATAATTTTTTAGTACTTTCATCTTTAGCATTTTATAGTTTACTAAAAATCTACTCTATATACATAATGATTTTTTGATTATTTTCAAATCCTGAGTTTTAATCTTAGAGTATAATTTAATTATTATCTATATACTATTAAATTCCCCCAATAATAATATTTTCGTCTTTAATTTTTTTAATATTCATTCTTACAATTATACATGAGCATAAAATTTCCGCAAAAAGGTCTATATTTTCATCACATTCTTTAATATCTTATATTTCTGTATTTATAAGCATATCTAACCCTTCTAAGGCATATTTTCTACTCCAAGTTTAATTATATTATAAGAATATTTTCAATAATTTATGATAACGAAACCTTTTTCCCAATCCATTTATTTTCTATACTTATACAAGTAATTTAGAGAAATATTTTTCGATTAAAAAATATGAATTATTCTAGTTTGCAAGCGATAAACTTAAACACCAATCCCTGAAAACTTCCTAAGAGCATTTTTCGATACAACTTACGCTTATTTTTACAGCAAAATCTATGTATTTTTATTTCTAGTTTTCTTCCATTCTGATAAGACCTTTTAAAAGGCCAGAAATATAAATAGAAACAACCCTCTATTTCGCTATACAGTTAAATTCATTACTTAATTCTTCGATTTTTCTATATGAACTTTCAAAAAAGGCATCCCCGAAAGCCTAAAAAAGCTTCTTGAAAAGTCTACAATAGAACTCATATAGATTAAATTTCAAGTTGATGTTAAAAAGACTACTTTTTTTTTATCTTGGTCGAAAGTAAAGTTAAAAAGGACTTGAATTTGTTCAAAAATCTCTCCTTATCCGAATTCTAGCACTTAATTTTCTTCTTCTTAATCAGAACTATAAATTTCTTTCATTTCTAAAATCGACTCAATCATATTTGTACAAAAAGCTTCATTTAAAATAATTTTCCTTAAATTTTCTCCAAAATTTCCTTATTTTAATAAATAACCAGCTTTTGTATATAAAGGTTCATAATCATAAAAAAGGCCAGTTTCTTTATTTTTTACTAAAAAATTGTTCTTATCAGAATTCTTTAAAAATCTAAAAGCTAAAAAGTCTTCGAAAGATTTTTATTTATCATTTTCTTAAAAATTAATATTACTATTATTATTTTCTTATATAATATGATTATTTTCTTATATAATATTATTATTTTCTTAAATAATATCATTATTACTATTATTTTCTTATATATTAGTATTATTTTTACCTTACATAATAATATTACTACTTTCTTATATATGATTGTTATTATTTTCATCTTTTTTTTGGTAATTTTTTTTCACTTCTCTTCTTTTACGAATATTTAGAAGTCTAAATAAAATAGATCTTCCTAATTGAGATAAATGAAAATTGTTTTTTAAAGTACAAAAACTAACTACTATAGAAGTGAATTTTTGAATTTCTATACAGTTTAAATCTTATATTACATTCATAAAATAGCAGGCAAACAAACAGCATAAAACTTTTGTTTTCCAGTGTATATTTTCATCTTCTAATTTTTAATTAATTCTTTAAATAATATTTAAAAATTCTTCTTTTATTTCAAATGCTTTTTCTTTACAGATGCTATCTCTTTATATAGGAATTTCCTTTCTTAATTTTAAATATAACTCTTCATTATATTTGACAGGTAAAATTTTACATATTTCTTAATTACTTTGCCTTAAATGCACAAATAAATAACTATCTTCATATTGAATATTTAATGCTCTCATTATTTATTCAACGATTTTTATTTACCAAGCTTTTTTGTCGATTTTTTCATATATTTATAATGTATTAAATATATAGGTATATGTTTAAGGATTACTAGCACAACATGGAAATCTCTAATATAAAAAATTAAAAATATTATATATAAATATATATATATATATATATATATATATATATATATATATATATACTTACTTATAATTATTCTATTCTTAAATTACAAATTAACAATTCTTAAACTCTTTCAATAATAGCAGTAGGAGGTTATTTTAAAATATCTTTTTCAAAAATATAATAATTTTAAATTTCGAAAGCTTTCTAATGAATTTATTCGTATAAATTTTATTCAGGATTTTCAAAATTAAGATCATGATCGAATCTTATCGACATTTTGAACAAAAATAAAGGATGAAAAGAAAAAATAAAAAAGCAGTTAAAAAGTTACATTTTTTATTATCCTAAAAAAGGATTAAGGAAAAAATACATATCAATCCTTTCACTTAAATATGTAATTCCTTCTATTAAAAGTGTAAATCTAATAAATAATTTACAAAAATAAATTATAGTTAATTTATATAATACCTATTAGAATATATATTAGTTTTATGATAATCATTTAATGATAATAATCCATCTAACATTTCATTTGATCTTTTTATTTCTTCAATTAAATATGATTCACCAAAACATTCTCTTGTTAAATATTAATACATTTCAATAAGTTAAACATCTTATATTGTTTTAGTAGAATGAAATAAAGAAGGTAATTTTAAACAAAAATTCATTAAATCGTTTCGTGTATTTAAAAGTTCTTTAAACATGAATTTTTCTTGGAAATCTTTATATATTTCAATATATTTTTATTATCTTTCACTATCCATTTTTAACGGTGTATCTAAAATAAAAGGAATTCTTACATTAGAACCTGAAAATGAAGCTAAAGCCACATAAAGTAATTTATAAAAATCTTTTTATAATTTCGATGTTTATATTATATTTTCTTGAGTAGAATTATCAAATAGCATTTAATCTATAATTTCTCTATAATCCTATATATATATATAAATATTTATATAAATATATATAATATTTATACTTTTTCATAATTATAAAGTTTGAATTTCTCAGGTTTTGAGAAATAATTTTCTTCAAAATATTATAAAACAACACATAAAGTTTTTTATATCCATTCAAGTATAACCTTCTTTTCAATATCTCCTGGTTCATACCATTCTAGCTATAGTTTTTTTAAATTAGTTTTTTTTAATAAAGATAAATATTAAAATTTCTAATTTCCTTCTAAAACCTCACTTTTATTCAAATAAGAAATATCTATAGGGTACACATAGCATAAAGTAAGTATAACAGTATGGATTAAATCACAGGATTTCTCAAAAATATTCATATCATCTTAAAAAAAGCATAAAAAAGCAACTGTTTCAATTGTTTTTAAATGTTTTATTATAAATGTTCTTGAATAAGACAACGCGATTTTCTAATAAACATACATAGGAATTTTATAGTTTATTCATTCAAAATAGCGAATTCATAATCAAGAATAAAATCTTTATTTTCGCTTTTATCAAGTAAATACCACATTACATTTTTTTGCATTTTTTCAATAGTGCTTAAATCTACTCTTTTTTTCAAAAGTTTTTTTTCTAATAAACTAATTGTTAATTCTAATAAAGATTCAGGTTCTGTTAAACTAAAGCAATCTAAAAGAAAAGAAATACCTTTAAAAATAAATAATGTATTTTATGTATATATATAAATATATATATATATATATATATATATATATATATATATATATATTTTTATATATTCTTTACTTTATTGGCATTCAGATAATATATTATTTTCTAATTTTTAAAAAAATATATTCAAATATTAGATTCTTAATGAATGTGATGAATTAGTGATAAAAGTCCAAAAAATATTATTAAAATCAATAATTAAAGTACAACTTTCACTTTCTTACATTTCCAATGTTTATATATTATCAACTATAAATTTAAATAACTTTAAACTAAAATTTTCTAAAATCTTAATTATTTCAATTATATTTATATTTCCATCAACTTTTTCATTAACTAAATTATAAAAATCATCTTCAGTTTTTCCTGGATTTTCAAAAATATATTCGTCCAATAAATCTTAATATTTTATAACAGGAATATTCATAAATAATTTTGAATACGTTCTAAATATAAAAAAAAAGATAATATAAAAAAAATATATATAGAATATGTATATATATATATATATATATATATATATATATATATATATATATGTTTATAATACTCTATTAAATCTAAATTTTCTTTTAAACCTTAAACTTCAAATAATTTAAATGAATTTTTAAGAAACTCAGGTATATAATAAATACCATCATGACACATTTTTCTGTCACAAACAACAGGAATTATAAAAAGCATTATATTTTTTATTGTAATCATACTCATATCATCAATATAAGCGAAACTTTAATTTATATGTTTTAATATTTAAACTACATATCTATTTGGTTCAAAATAACATAACCACATTAAAGCTTTACATGAACTATGTGCTTAATCTTCCATATAAATTAATTTTTTTAAAAATTTATCTATCATTTAAAGAAATCTTTCTTTGCATATTTCATCCAAAAAAAATTCTTTTAAAAATAAAAAAAAAAATTAAAATAAATTAAAATAAAAAAATTTTATATTTAAAATAATTTTTTTTTAAAAATTAATTTAAATAAAAACCTTTCTCTTCAAAACTTTATTAATCATTAATTTTATCACTATTATTTTATTCTTAATCAATATTTTATGTATAATTTGCATTATTTTATCTTTTATAAATAGGAATTTAATATTCTTCTTCATTATAATCAAGATCAATAACATCAGAATCATCATCAGAGATGTCATCAGGAACATTGAATTTTTTTTTTAATCATTTTCATATCTTATTATAAATTTTCGGATTACACATTTAAAAAATTTTATTAAAGTATCACATTGTTCAGTTTTAGCATTTGGATTGAAAACTCTATCAATTAATAAAAAAATTCTTTCAACATATTACCAAACTATTTTTTTATATAAAAATATATAGATTTATATTTTAATATATTTATATATTTATTTATTTTAAAACTATTATACTTTTTTCATAATTTTTATTATTAGAAGGTAGTAATAAATGGATTAAAAAATCTGGAATTTATTTTAAAATTGATTTTATTCCTATAGGTTCTTCTGGTAATAAAGTATTTACTATATTTTCTTCTGAAACAATAGTATCTAATATTAATAAATTATTTAAATTTCTAAAAATAATTGTAAATATTTCATCATAATATTTTTCCCAATTAAGAGATTTAACTTTTCTATAAATTTGATAATTAAAAAAAATATATATAATATAATATAATATTTACCTTAAAATCTACATAATATTATATAAAATTAATGTATTTCTTGAACAAAAATAAAAGTCAATATATTTTATCAGATCATCAAGTAGTTATTAATAAATAAGTTTATTTTTCTAATCTTTATTAATTTTTAAAAACAATGTTAAAAAATTCATTGCATAATCTCCTTTTGAAGGATAAAAGTTTTTTTTGAAAATATCATATACCTAAGAAATTTTAATATTAAATATATATATATATATATATATATATATATATATATATATATAATAATTTTTAAAAATAATACTTCTAGTATAGATGAATCTTCAAAATAATGTTTTGATCTTTTACATAAATATAAAAATTCAGAAAATAATGAAATTGTTTATTATTCATTTTTGAATGGCTTATCATTATTATTATGAAATTCACTAGTAAAAAACTCATAAAAAGATTTCCAATTAAATTACAAATCCTAAAAATTATTTCTTTTTGAAAGCATTTCATTTAAAAAATTTAACAACAGTACTTTCGAGTCAGTTCTTACATTTTTACGCACAAATAACATTTCCATAATAATGCACACTAGAAATTAATATTCTTTTTTTTCTAATCCGTATATTTTTTTAAATTTTATTATTAGTTACTTTACATTACTTCCTGCTATTCCTGCTTAATTAACTATATCCTATATATCATTAATTTAATTTTATAATAAATTCTATGAATATAGATATTTTTACTTTATTTTTTAATGTATGTATAATTTCGTTCCAGAAAAATTATCTTTCTTTTTAATAATTTTCATTCAATTTCAATGGCAATTTTTAATTAAAATATAGTTATCTTGTAATTTTATTTCTCATTTATATTTTTTTATTTTTTAATTTTTTTTAGAATTATTTTTAGTTTTTATATTTTAATATTAAAGTATTAAAAATAATTTATTTATTTATTTTTTTCTCTTAATTTTTTGAATATTAATGTTTTATTAATATTAATTTTAGTAGTAATTATTTTTTTAAAATTAGCTTTTTTCAATTTATAATATATGCTAAATTAATAATAACAAAAAAAAACAACAAAAAATATTATTCATTTTAATTATTGTTGTAAATATTATATATATTAATATATATTAACGTTATATTCTTATATTAAAATTAATTTAATATTTTATATTAATTTAAATTATATAATTATAAAACATATTGATTATAAAATTATTATATTTTATTTTTACAAATAAAATTTTACTTTATTATTTACAAATTTTATAAAATAAAAAAAACTTTTTTAATATACTATATAAATTGAATACAAAAAAATAGAAAGTTAAATATAAAAGTTAAAGAATTATTAATTAAAAGATAATAGAATTTTTATAATTATATAGAGGAATAATAAATTATATTAACTTAATTTTTAATTAATTTGTTAAATATATGATTTGTTTTAATGAAAATATTAAAAAGATATAAATATCCTTAAATATAAAAATAATATAATAAATATTTTGTATTTTATGAATAACTATATTATTAATAATATATATATATATATATGATAACTAAAATATTATAAAAAAAACAACATAGTTATATGTATAGGTAATAAAGAAATTATATAAACTTTAAAAAAATAAACTAAAAGAATAAACTACTTAAAATAATATAAAACCTATTACAAAATATATTAAAAAAAAAAAATATATATATATATATAATTTATGAAAAAAAAAAATATTGCTATAAATAGAAATTAAGTATATACATATATATCTATATATATATATTTATATATTAAAATTTTATTCTTATAATTTTATTTTGATTTTGAAAAATTTACAATATTTATATAAAATAAAAAACATAAATTTTATTTCTATATAAATATATATAGTGTATCCAAAAATTAACTTATTGTTTTTTAATAAAACAAAATATTTAATAAAACAAAATAAAATAAAATAATGTTTTATTTAAATACATTAAAAGATAAAATAAGATTAAAACCTTCACTTTTGTCTCTAGATTATAAAAATAATCTTAAAAAAACAATTTATGATTTTTATTTATTTAAGGTCTTATAATAATAAAAATGAATAAAAAATTTGTTTCTAAATATTTTATAAAAAGCATATTATTTAATACTATAAAAAAATATAGGTTTTAAATCATTCTTAAATAATAGTTGCAATTAAAGATGTAATAGTATATGATGGATTTGTCGAATAAATTACAGGAGAAGTTTTATTTAATGTATTTATATTTAATTGATTTATAAAAATAAAATTATTTATTATTAATAAATTAGATTGAAATAACATATTTAATTTAAGAAATTTAAGAAAATGAAATTTATAAAGGAAAAATACAATCATAAAATTCTAAAGGAATAAATGGTTTTTTTTTTTTTTTTTCTTTATAAAAAATTAAAATTAATTTAATTTTTTAAAGTTTAATTTGGAAATTTATAAGCTTTTATAAATAATTAATTTTTGTTTTAGCCTTCAGGATAGTATAAAATATATAAATTAATTATATAAAATAAAACTTAAACTAAAAATAATTATAATAATAATAATAAAATAGCACTTAAGAATAAAATAAATGGATATGGTAAAATTTAAATGATGGTTCTTGTTTATTTTATGAAGATGGTCAAGATGTTTAATTTAAAATTATGGCTGTTAATATGAGTAAACAAAAAAATCTAATAGATTTTATTAATTATATATAAAAATATTTAATATAAATATAATAGTGCATTTAAAAGAAGATTAAGAATAAACACATTAAATTATAGTAAATTATATATCTATTTAAATATTTTTATTAAATACAGGGATGTATGAATGAATAAGGTTTAGGGCCAAATTTGTGGTGGGATTGGAAGTGATATAAAATAATTTAAAATGAAAATTTTGGTATTATATGCAAATATAATAAATTCTGTATCTATTAAAATATAGGATAATTAATTGATAAATATAAAAAAAATAACATTTATATATAAATATAAAAACAATTAATTTTTTAAAAATTTTATTAATATTTTTTTTTTTTATAAAAAAATAAAAACTTTATTTATTTTTATTTTTATAAAAAAAAGCATATTTTTAATTTAAAATTTAAAAAAAATAAAAATAATTGATATATATAATATATAGTGTGTTTATATATAAAAAAATATTTTTTTTAATAAATTAAAATTAAATTATATAATATATGTAATTTAAGTAATATACAATAGTAAAATAAATATTTAATTTAAAAATAAATATATATTATAAACATAAAATATAATTTTTATATATATGAATTTATATATATATATATATATTATTAACAACTTTTTTTTTATTGTTTTATTCAATATACATTTTAAAATATTATTTAAAAATTAATATTTAGAGAAATAAATAAGTTTTTTTAAATCATTTTATCGCTTTTTATTTGATATGCTTTGGGGATTATTTATATATTTTCACTCTCATTTAATTGTTAGGTTTTAATTAGCTTGTGCATAAATAATTTTATGAAAAAGGACATGTACTATTATTTTTTAACCAATTTTTTATACATTCTTCGCCAAATGTATGTCCACAAGGATCTATTACTGCTTATTTAATAACTCCTAGACATATAGAACAAATAAAATCTTATTAAACTAAATCTTGTTCATTTATACCAAATTCTTCTGTTTAATAACATTAATGAATTATTTTTGAAGATTTTCTTAATGAAAACATTTTATTTTAATTTTATTATTCTAAATTTATAAATATATAAATATGTAAATATATTTATTTTACACTATGAACTCATTTTAGAATTGCAAATAACTATTTGTCCCATTTTATTAACTTTTTTTTATTTTTCTTTAAAAAAATAAAAAAAAATTAAAATCAAATTTAAATAATAACTGATTCAATTTAAAAAAATTTAAAACATAAAAATAATAATAAAAATATAAATATATTTTAAGATATATAGATAATTATAATTTTTTATAACATATAATAAATATATAATAGTTTATATTTTATATAAATATAAAAATAATTATTTACGTATTATTTTTATAAGATTAAATTTATAACATTTTTATTATATTATTATTAATTAATTTAAATTATAAAATTAAGAATATTTTATAAAAATTATAATTCTTTAGATTTTTTTATTAAATAAAGATTAATATTTTATATAATAAATAATATATTAAGTATTAATTTAATTTTTTAACTAAAAAAAAAAAAAAACTTATGAAAATTAAAAATAATAATTTTGTATAATTAGGAAAAATATTTTTTAATATAATACAATATTTATATTTTTATAATAATATATATAAAATTTTTATTATATAAAAATAATAATTACATATATATATTTTGTATTTTAAAATTCCTATAAATATATATTTAAAAAAAAAATATTATGAAAATTTCTAAATTATATATTTTTTAATTTTTAATAAAATTAAAATAATAATTTATTATAAAATATATAATAATTTTTATTGTTATGTAAAATATATTATAGTTAAAAATTGATAATTGTTTAATCTGTTTTCTTGAATAGCTATATATTTAATAAAAAAATATATATTTTTTTTTTTTTTATAAAACAAAATAATAAATCTTAAAAATTAAATAAATAATTTTAATAATAATAATAATATAATTATATAAGATAAAAATTGATAATATATATATTTATATATATATATATATATATATATATATATTTATTTTAATTTTTTTTACTATTTTATATTGATATACTATCTGTTTTATAAAACTTTTAGATTTTATAATTTCTATAATAATTTTTTTTTTTTTATATATTTTAATCTTTATTTACTTTTTTTACTAATTAATAAAAATTTTATATTAATTTATATTTATATCTTTTTTAATTAAACTAATATTTTTATAATAATGCGGTTTTTTATTTATTAATTGAAATGCTTTAATATATTTTATTAAAATTTTAGTTTATTTATTTTTTAATTTATATTAATTTATTAATGTTATGTATATAATTTTTGCATTAATATATTTTTACAAATTTTTTTTTTATAAGAATTTACTTATAATCTCTTTTAGAAAAAAATATAATAATATATATATAAGCTCATAACTAATAAATTTTTTTGATATTTTATTTTTTAAATTTTTCTTTAATTAAAATAAATACAATATTTTTTATAATTTGTAATTATATACTATGTTAATATATTTTTTTTTTAAAAAAAAACAAAAATTCTAACTTATACTATGTAATCTTTTATTAATTTAATTTAAATTAAATTTTTATTTTTAATATTATAAAATTTTAATTAAAAATTTAATTAACAAATGAATTATATAAATTAATTATCTCAACTGGAAAACATATTAATTTAACTATTTTGATTTAAAAAAAAATGTTATATTATGCATAATTTTGCAACTATTTTAATTTTTTTTTATTTGTAGTATAAAGTTGTAATCAAATAGATTTTGATAAATTATTCTAATTATTAAAATATTTAATTATTATTAAATATGTTTTTTATTAAAAAATAAATTTTAAAAATTTTAAATAATTTTATTAAAACAATATTTAATTAATAATTAAATTAAATATATATTATCAAAAAAATACTTCATTCTAATTTTCATTCTATAATTTCATATTTAATTTTAAATTTTTATAATAAGGTAATATATAATTAAATAATTTATAATTAATAAATCAATTAATTTAATTTAATTTATGATATAAAAAGTTTATTATTATATAATTTTTTATTATTTATATTTTAAATATATAAAGTTAAAAACTAAAAACAAAGAATATTAAAAATATTATATATTTATATTAAGAGTGTGCAAATACTGATATATTTTTATTAGCAATTATAACTATAGTATATTTTTTTATTATACAAAATAGTATTATTATAAAAAAAGTATCAGTACACGTCTATATATATTGTATTTATATATATGTAATTAATAAAAAACATATGTAAATATATAAGTAAATAAATAGATAAATATATATATATATATATATATATATATTTATATATATTAATAATAATAATCTCAAATTTTAATTTTATATAAATATTATATATCATTTTTTTATTTATATTTTAAACGAAATTCAACTAATTTCGAAATCAATAACTAATTCATTTTATAATTAAGCACGATTTATTAATTTTAAATTTTTTTATTAACTAAATGAGCCTATTATAAAAAAATAATATCAAATACATAATTTTTTATTTTTAATAAATATAAATAACCTGGTAAATAATAAGAAGATGCTGTATCTTCAGCTAAAACTTTCATTTTTTTATATAATGAAGCAATTAATTCCGAACAAAAGAAAGTTCTATTTGAATTATGTTCACTTTCTTCATTTTATTCTTATTTTTTATGTAATAACTTTCTCAAAGTTAAACTAAACTTTTTATTTAAAGCAAACTTTTTATTTAAATTAATACATATAAATATTATAATAAAAATTATAAATAAAATAAACTTATATAAATCTTTCCAAATTAATAATATTTTCGTAAGTTTTTTAATAAATCAATTTTCTATAAACAATTTTATCAAAATATGTATTCCATTTACTTTATAAAAATAGAGCCCATCTATAAAGTACGACTTTACCCTATAATATATACATATAAATATATATTTATATATATTATATATGTATATATATATATATATATATATTTATATATATATTTATATATATATTACCACTTATCCTCCTAAAGATTCTATAATAAAAAGATCTTTATCATTATATTTTATTATCATAGCAACATGATCATATTCACTTTAAGTAAAAGTTCTTTAAATTTTTGCATGTATTTATTTTCCTTTAAAAAGTATTAAATCTCCAGTATCCGCTTAACTTTAAAAATCTTTTAAACTTATTCTTTCATTCTATTTTATTTTTTGATATTTAAAAATAATAATTATATACTCGCCAAAATTTCTTGGTATTTAAAACTAAAAATCTTCTATAACCCTCTGAATTTAGTATCATATTTTAAATCTATTAAAACCACATTTCTGTTGATTAAGATTAATCTATAGAAAAAAATTAAAATTTTTTAGGATTAAATATTAAAGAAATTCTATTTTAATATAAAATAAAATAATAATAATGAAAATTTTAACTATATTTTTGTTTTATTTGATTTTTTTCCTTTAATCAACTAAATAATAATAAAAAATTTAATATAAAAATAAAATTATTAAATATAAATTAATAAAAATAATAATTATATATATATATATATATATATATATATTAATTTAAATATATAATATTTAAATATTTATTTGATAATTTATAATATTAATATATTTTTTAAACATAGTAATAATCAAATATATAATATTTCTATTCTTTTAAATTATATTTCAAATCATATATTTAAATATTTTAAATATAATTAGATATAAAAATATAAAAAATAAAAAAAAATATCTATATATAAATATATATTTATATATATATATATATATATATAATATATATATATATATATTTTCATAGTTAAAAAGAATAAAAATGTTACTTCAACTTTACAGCTAACTTAGTTAAAACTAATGCATCCTTTACATTATAAAGATTTTTATTTTTTATAATAGTAAAATTTAAAATTTTATAAAACACACCACCTTTACTTTTATTTAATTTATTTGACTTTTAAAAAAAAATACTTAACATGCCATCCTAAAAAATTAGGATTCTTTTTATTCATAAACCCTTACATTTCATATTATTATATATTATTATCAATTTTATTTTATATATCATTTTAAATATTTTTCTTTTCTTTTTATATTTATGGTACTTATACATTATTATTTTTATTTTCTTTATTTATAAATTAATATATATTTATTATTTTTTAAAAAAAAACATTTATATTCTATTTCTTATTATTTTGGATTTCCATTGTTTAACATTCTATATTATTCAAAAATTAAATGATTATTTATTTAATCTTAAATTTCATTTTTAAATTAATTTATTTTAGGAGACAATAGATTAATAATTTGATCATGAATCATATTTTTTTTTTATTCATCAAATATTATATTATTAATTTAAAAACTATTTTCATTTTGAATTTAATTTTTTTCAGAAAAAATAAAATTTATTAAATAATCTTATTAATGTTTTTTTTTTTATTCTTCATAATTTAAAATATTAATATCATCTTAATCAACTTTAAATATATATTAAATATATAAATAAATTTTTTAATTTTTTTTCTTTAATATATATATATATATATATATATATATATATATATATGTTTTCCATTATACTTAAAATATAATATTACTACTTTTTATTTTTTCTTATTCATTATATTATATCTCCTAAATAAAATTAAAAATATTTCCTAAATATTTTTTGTGATTAATACTTTATTTTTCATTTCTTAAATTTTAATGTTTTCTAAATCATATAGAGAACATTTAGAATCGTTATTAAAAATAATAATATTATGATTCAATTCTAAATCAAAATCTTATAAATTTGTCAAATTTTATATTTATAATCCTTATTTTTAACTATTTTATATTTTTTCGCACTTTTAATTTTATATATAACAAGAACTCATAATAATCCTTTCTTATTTTTTTAATAGCTTATTATATGACTTACTTTAATGTTTTTTTTTTATAATATAATTATATAAAAATTTTACATAAAAAGAAAAAATAAAATTAATAAAAATTACTTTACAATTTATTTAAAATAGATAAAAAAAGTGTAAATATAAATTTATAATAAAATGTACTTATTTATTTATTTATTTTTTAAAAAATAACTTAAATAATATAAATAATAAACTTTTAAAATCAGAATAAATAAAATAAATTATATTATAAATATTTTATTTTTTTCCTCTCTTTCATAATTTAGGTCTATAAATTTCTCCCACATTAGGTTACGAATTAAATGTTTCATAATTTTAAGCTATAGGTGCATTTAGTAAATGCTCAGAAATTCCAAAGCTATTAACAGTATACAAAGCAATCTAATGTACTTAATATATTGCTAATTTTCTTTCGTTTCAATTGATTAGGCACCTTCAGCATTAATAATCTAATTAACCATATACCATCCTAAATTATTATAAATATTATTAAGTAAGCTTAGTTTTAAATATAAAATTAAAGGTTTTTTAATATCTTCTCTTGAATTCTAAATCATTTAAAATGCGAAATCTGCCACTATTCTATCTCCAAAAGATTTCGCTAATTCTTAAATAGAATCATTTTCTTTTTCCATCCAAATTTCATAAATATCTTTTCCATCTTACATTTAATTTTAAGTTAAATTAATTACATATTAAATATATTCATTCTTTTATAAATAAATATTAAATAAAATTATAATTTTTCCTATATTAAAAAAAAATAAAAAAATATATACTTCTTTAATTCTAATAAGATCAATTAAGATATTTAAATCATCGATTTTTTTCATTTTGAAAATATCTTCTTTACTAAATAAATTTTTCGAAAATTCATATTAATCTTTATAAACCAACCCAAGTAATTCCTTAGAAACTTTTTACATCAAAACAGAATTATCTCCTTCTGCGGTAATTCCTGAATGAGCCGAAGGCATTAATTCTGCTAATCTATTAACACTTAAATAGCCCTAACCTCCTACTCTTTCAACTTTTTTTAAAAAAATATATATATATACAATTATATATAATATAAATACTTAAGCATGTAGCTACATCTCTAGCATTCCAAGTAATTAAAGGTTTAATAACACAACATAGGCAAACTAATAAGGGTGAGGCATCTTAATTATTAAGAAGAGAATTACTATAGAGTATTTTAATTTAATTAAAAGCAATATTTAAGCCAATAGTTTTAGCTAAAAGTGGATAAACTTAATTTTAGAAAAGATTAAAATTTATAATAGGATTATCACTTAATCCCTTTTTTCCTACTGCTAATCTTTTATTTGCATATCTAAGAGCTGTTGTTAGTCCAAATTTAGTACTTCCAATAGACATTGAAGCTATACAGAGTCTTCCCGAAAGCAGTCTATCTGCCACTTTTAAAAACCTATCTCTTTTTTTTTTAATACTAGATGAGAATCTACCGTCTTTATCTATATCAGAGTATTTATTTAAAATCGCATCTTAATTAATTCTTACTTGAGTAAATCTTAAACGACCGTTATCAACTCCATTTAAGCCGAATTTGGCTCCCATGTCCTCAATTTCGACTCCTTTGCAAACTGAACCGTCTTCGTTTCTTATTTTTACAAGAAAAGTATGCACTCCTTCATTTTATTCGTTGAAAATCAACTAAGCGAATACTATAGCGTAATTACAGTGTAAAGCACCGTTAGTTATCCAATATTTTTAACTTAATTAACTTGGAGAGTTAATTATAAATTATTTATTTTAAGCATCCCAAGTACTTGTGGTTTCCATTTGAACTGCATTATTTCCATAACCTAATTCCGTTAGGGCAAAACAACCTATAGTATCTAATGTATCTACACCTTCAGCGATTTTTAAATGTCTTTAAGTGCCTAATGTAAATAATGTACCACCAAATAAATTATATTAAACTGTCAATTTTGTAGCTAAAGAACCATCAACCCAGGAAGCCATTTCATGATTTGCGAATACGTTCAGAGGGTTTTTGGAAAAATCGTAGACGGAAAACACCTTGTTTTGAGATACAATTTTTAAGCGTTCAAGTGCTAAGTCTTTTTAGGCTTTCAAAGAAAGGTTGTGACGAGGAATAAATATGGGATCTTTTGTGAATTATTTCCATTTTTCACGAGTTTCATAACTATTGTTGTCGAGGAAACGCTAGAATTCTTTGGGGCAGAATTACATTATTATTATTTTATTTAAATTTTGATGATTTAATTATATTTTAATTTTTTATTACTAAAAGATATTTTTTAAAATTTATAATTTTTAATATCTTAGTATATAAATATATATATATATATATATATATATATATATATATACATTTATATATTTTCTAATTATTTTGAAAATTGTAAATTTTATTATTTTTAAATAAAAAATATTAAATCTATTAACAAGAAGAACACCAAATTATATAAAATATTATTAAAAAATCCTTAAATAAGTACTAACCCATTTTAGGAAACTGAAAAAATAAGAATAATTTAATTATCCCATGTTAACATTAATCATATATATATATAATTTTTATGTATTAAATAATAAAAACCGTATAAATTACATTAATAATAATAAAGAATGGCTGCCCATATTTAAACTAAAGCTTAAATATTTTAGGCGAAGTTTATTTTTCATGAATTTTTAGATATAGTGTTTATATATAAATGGCTATTACAGAATACAGTAAATAAAATTATATTTTTCTAAAAAAATATATTTGAATATATATAGTTTAAATATATAAAGTAAATTAAATATAGAAATACTTAACAAATTGATTTAAAAAGTAATCCTGGATTACTTCTTTAAAAAGAGAATTTCAAAGTATATACTGGATTAAAAAATATCGTATATAACCAAACAACTACTGAGTTTTAAAATTTATTTACATCAAAAAAATACCCAGAAAAATGTATTATATTGAATTTTGGGTAGTGATTCTTTAATAGGGTTTTTAAGAAAATATTTGCATTTTATTTTTAAAATTCACAAAAAATTCGATTCATAGGTAGTTAAATTAAAATATATATATAAGCCTATAATAATAATTAAAAAAAAATAGCAAAAAAATATATCGGGACATTATAAGTCTTTTAAAAGATATTATAATAATTCCGATTTTAAAATAACTAGATATTATTTTTAATAATTTGAAAATTTATAAAGAACTAAATGAATTAAATTAGTATCAATAACAGTTTTTTTGAGTTTGGAATAATAATATATTAAATTCGATTTATAATAGAATTCATGCGAAAAAAATATAGTTTAATTAGATAGTGCGGAGTTAAAATAATACGCGAAAATTATTTTTAATAATTTAAGTTAAAAGGTAAATTAATCATTTAAAAGTTTAAAATATTAAGAGTAGAATTTTCGCATAAATAAATATAAAAGATAGTTTTTAAAATGCATATATATTAGGCTTCGATAATGATGAGAATTAAGAAAATTTATATATATATATATATATAAAAAACTTTATAGAAATTAAATATGATTTAATAAAATTATTGTGGTTATTTCATTAATTAAATATATAATTAAAGAAAAATCATTTAAACGTAGTTTATAAATTATGAATATAATATTTAGATACTAACATATAGGTTATATCATCTTATTTTATTTTTATCTAATAAAATATGTAAAACTGTTAAATAAATTTATATTTTTGTTAATTAAAAAAAAATATTACTTTTTATTATAATAATATATATGAATATAATTATAAAAAATTATATATATATAAATATTGATATAACTTTTTTTATTATCAATTATTTATATATTTTATTTAAAAATTTTTATTTTTATTTAAAGTATTGTTATAAAGAAAAAAATACGAATATAAAAATAAATAAAAAAATGGCAGAGTAAAAATAAATAATTAATATTATGATTTTTATTAAAAAAAGAACCAAAATAAAAAAATTAAATTAATAAAAAATAAAAAAGATAATAATAATACGAAAACAATAAAAAAGAATTACTTGATTCTTATTTCACTATAAGAAAATTACAAGAACGCGTTAATCGATTGTAAAAAATAAAAATTAATATAAAATTAAAAAAATAATAAAAAAAAGAGAAGAAGAAAATTAAAATCTACAAATAGAAAGAGATGACATAAAAAATTATTTTGGAATAAAAAAGGAGAAATATGTATAAGAAAATTATAAAAATATAATATATATAAATATATATATATATATTATATATATATATTTATATATATATATTATATACAAAAGGAAGATATGATCGATTTACAAAGAACAGAAATTGAATAATTAAAAAACGAAAAGCAACGCGCTGAATATGAAAATGAGAAATCTAAAAGAGAACTTATTGAATTAAAAGAAGAAGTATAAGAATAACTTGAAGATTAAAAAAAAGAATTTGAAAGAGAAAGGTCTGATTTATTAGATAGAATTTAAATTTTATAATAAAAACTGGATAATTTGGAAACTTTTGTAAGATAAAAAGCTGAATTGGAAGCAGATAGAAGAAATTTAAGGGAACAATTAGAAATTGAAAAGAGATTAAAATAAGACGAATTAGCTATTAAAGAAGAAGAGAAAATTAAAGCAACAGATAAATTAAAAAAGATATGCTTCATAAAATTTAAGAGACTAAAACATCATTATTGGCCTTAAAAAAAGAATAACTTTAAACAACCACGAGATTAACTGTTTTATAAAATCATTAATTGACAACTGAATTAGAATATTAATCTAAATAAACTGAAAAATTCTTATTTAAAAATTAAAAATTAACCGAATAGGTTTAAGCATTATAAAGAGATGCTGAAATTCATAAATAAGTTGAACATGAATTAGCAAAAAGATCTCATTTTTGTTAATAATTAATTAAAAGATTAAGTCAGAGAATTAAAGAGTTAGAAGAAGAAAATGAAGAACTGAAAAAAAATTAAGATAATAAACTACAAAATAATGGAATTAATAATAATACAAATAATAAAATTGAAGAAAATAAAAAAGACGAAATAGTAATATTATACTTATAAATATATAAAAATAAAATAAATAACAAAAATATATAGATTAATTAATTAGAAAAACACTTGCAAACAGTTGAAAAAAAACTTGCGAAAATATAAAACGATTGTGATATTTTAAAAAATGAAAATTATTACTTATAAGGAAAATTAGAAAATAATGATTTAAAATATTAAAATTTAGCATATGTAATAGCTTAAAATTTAGAAAATTTAAGAAATAATTAAAAGCCTATTTATGATGATATAATTGAATAAGATTAGGAAGAGAATTTTTTAATTGATTTAAATGAAATGTATTTATATATAAATATATAAATATATACATATATATTTATATATATTATATCTTTTTATATTTAGTCGTTAAAAATAAATACAAGATTGGACTTTTAAAGAAAAGGAAGCTGTAATGAATATACTTTTATAATAATTAAGACCATTAATGTCTAAAAAAAATATTATATAATCAATAAATACATCAAATGTTAATTAAAATATTAATATCAATGTTATTGATGATTATGTAAAAGATTAATAATTATATTTACCAAGTATATTAATTCTTATATATATTTTTATGTGTTTATATTTACATATATATTTATATAGAAATTAATATTACACATGATAATTAATAAAGTATAAGAAACAATGTTGACAATTAAGAAAATTTATTAGCTCCTGAGATAGTTTCAAAGAAATTTTAAGATGTTCCTCTTGATATTTCAACAAAAATAGTCAAAAGCAATTTAAGAGATTGGGGAAAACCCTCATCAACTTAACCTTTATCAAATATCAAAAATAAAAATAGAAGATTTTAAGTTAATTGAAATAAAAAAAATACATATAAACTAATAAAAGTATATATATTTATTTATTTTTTTAAATAAAAAAATAAAATAACATTTTTTTTTTTTTTTGAATATGTATTTTTTAAAAATTTCATTATAATTTAAATATTTTTGAGCATTCTTTAAAATTATCAATTTAAATTTAATATAGGTATTTGTAATTTAGACCTATATTGTCTCTTATTCTTGTCAAAATTTAAGCTTTTTATAAATTAGGGAATTTTCCTACACTTTCGAATATGCTTTAATTCTCAAAAACTTAAGAATTCACACTCTAATGAATTAATTAATTAAAAAATTCTAATGAATTCTATATATAAACTTCTACTTATTAAATTCCTTTTGTTAAAAATTCGTTTACAACCAAACAATAATGTTCTAAATCTTTTTATATTTACTTATGAATATTAATAATAGATTTTTTTAATTCAGATTATGATTTTTTTGTATTTTTCATAAGCTTATTTTTAAGAGCTTCCATGTTTTTTGTTAACAATTGAATGTATTTTGAATATATAGATGTAAATCTATAAAAGTTTTGAAAAAATTAAAATGGGAATAAATTTATTTAAATATTAAATCGTTCAAAATTCATTTTTATTTCTGTAAAAAATTAAATTTGATTTTAAACTTTTTTATATTAATTATTTAAATAATATAATATAATATAATATAAATATATATATATATATATATATATATATATTTTTATATATCTTATTACATATTATCTTCCATTATTATTCTATCAATTACATGTTTTCTTATGTAATTTATTATTTAGAAAACAGAATATTTTTTAAAAAATCAACAATGAGAATAATATTCTCAAACATTTTTTTTCGAATTCAAATTTCTATTTAATATCTTTTCCTTATAAATCATTTTCAAAAAACTCATATTTTTTCAAAAATTCTTCTTTATTATAAAATTAAAATTATCTCAAATCATAAACATTTTCAAATTTTAAATTATCAAAACAATCTTTCAATAAAATCATTTTTTCATAAAAGATATCTTCCTATAATTATTCTTCATTATTTTATAAATATTTCCTTAAATACAATAAAACTTCCTTTTGTAAAATATTTAATTTTATCTAATCTGGATTATTATAAAGTCCTAAAAAGCTCCAATAAAATTTACTCTAAGAAGTCGTTTTTTCATTACAGAAAATCGTTTGAATTATTTTCATGTCAAAATTCCAAACAAGTTTATTTTTATCATTTAATTATTTCAAAATAACATTATGATAATATTAAAGATTCTCACACATTTCTTAAAAACTTAGACTTTTTTAAAATATGCTCACAAGTTTAAAATAGGATTTATTTATCCAATCATCATATTTCTTAATTTCCCATATTTTCTCAAAGTTATCATTTTTAATAGAAGTTAATAAAGCCTAAAAAAGAATATATTAATAACTTTTTATTAATTTATAATTATTTTATATATATATATAAAAAAAAAATTAAATAATAATAAATATTTATAAAAATATATATATATATATATATATATATTTTGTTTTTAGAATGAATTTGTTAATTTTATCTGTAATTTTTATTTAAAAACAAAATTATAAAATTAATTAAAATAATTAATTAAGCAATTTTTATAAATTAAATATTTTAAATAAATTAAAGAAAATAAAATTTAATATAAATATATATATATATATATTATATTTATGTATATATATATACTTCTTTGCATTCAGTTTAATTCTCTAAATAATAATTTAAAGAATTATTAGTATGCATATCTACTTTAAATCCAAAATCGAAAGCACTTTTTATAAAAATAAAACCTAAAGTTTCATATTAAACTGATTTAATATCCAAATCTTCAATAAGGTCATATATTCTTTATTAGTTTCCAATTATAATATAAAAAATTAATAATCTTAGTTAAATATCATAATTATATGCTGATTTTTTATATCCACTTTCTAGAATAAATAAAGTTTAAAATATAACTTCAAAAACCTCTTTTTTTTCCAAACTCTCCTATTTATAAATAAACTCTAAAGCTACATCTGCTGCAATTATTAAAAAATCATCTACGTATAATCTTTCACCTTTTTCAACATTTTTTTATTCATAATCTTTATATATTTCTTTAAATCCTTAGACATATTGTTACAATAATTCATTCCATAGACAATAAACATCTTTTATTTGATTGATTTTTATATATCCATATATTATTTTTAACTTAAAAATATTAGTTTCTATTATGTATTTATTAATAGCATTTTTTTATCCATTTTTTTACTTATCTAAAATTTCTATAGAGTATTATTTTACACTTTCTTCACAATTCTTCAAAGCATCAAAAAGCTCTTCAGGGAAAGTCAAAATACAACAAAAATTCAACAAATAATCATCAACTAATGAAAAGAATTATTATTTAAAAAATTCATTCATTTAATTATTATTAATATTATTATTATATTATAAAATGCAATTTAATACTGCAAATTAAGCCTAAAGTACACATTTCAATGAATTTTTATAATTATAATGAGATTAATGTTAATTTATTAAAATAGTTCTTTAGTTTTATAAAGAAGAATAATATTTTTAAATAATTAATAAAGTGTCAATTGTATCAATCTCAATAGAAAATAAGATTTCGTTTTCAATTTATAATTATTTAATTGGTTAATTTTTCAAAAAATTTAATATATTTTCCCTTTTCATAATTAAATTTAAAAAATCTACATACTTATCATACACCATTTAAAATTTTTTTACATCTGTATTTTTTTTAAAAGCATTAAAATATTCTTACAAAAGCGAACTAAAAATATTTTCTTGTTAATTATATTAAGTTTAATTTAGACTTTCTAAATAAAGATTTTTATAAACGTCTAAATAATATAAATAATCTTAAAAAACAGAAGGATATTTATTCAATATATTTTTAATTTCTATATAATTTTAGGTACCTTATTTTGCCAAAAAATTCACGTTAAATTTTATTATTTAATTAGCTAAATTTATATCTTTGCATTTTTCAAGATCTTCATTTATTTCAATTTCTTTATATAGTTTTTGTAAATATAAAGTGATTAATTATTTATTTTTCTCACTATTCACTTCTTAATAAAATACTGTAGTACCAAATAAAAGCTTTACATCTTTTAATTAAATATACATTTTTGATAAAAGCTTACATGTCCCTTCTAAATTATATTCTTTTAAATAATAATTCAATAAAACTTGCATGCTTTTCGGATCTTTTTCTAATCTATTTTCCGTGATAAATTACTCGCACAATATTCTTACTTTTGAAACTTCACCTAAAGGAATACTTATTTTTTCCAAAATATGCTTTATATCATTTTCTAAAGGATTAAGTAAACATTTTTATGATAAAAATTCATTCAAAACTTACTATGCCTCCCCATAAAGGGACATTTTTATTTAACATATTGCTTTTAGGAGATTTAACCATTAGATTTCGTTTTAAGATATCTTTTTAATTTTATTTTCTTTAGATAATAAATTTTATATTGATTTTAATGATGTAAAATATTCATGTCTACTTATAGAATCTAATATTTGTTAAATTTTTATTTGATACATTTTTAAATTTATATTTTAGGTATATATTTATTTATTTATTAAATTAAAAAGATATTAAATTTTTAGGATTAATAATATTTTTAAAAATAATATAAATATATATATTTTAACTATATATTTATTTAAAAAATATTTGTATATATATATATTAATATTTTAATTATATTATAAAATTAATTTATATATATATTTTTAAAAAACAAAAATATTTGATTAATTTATTTTTGTCAATATAAAATTATATTATTTATATTTTATATATATATTTGCTTTTATATTAATTTATATTAAAAAAAATTCAAACAGAACCGTGTTCTTATTCCCACTTTTCATAAACTTGAGTTTTTATAAAAGAAGAAGGTTTAGTAGTTTATAAAGCTTCTTATATATCTTACTATGTAACAGGATCTGGTTTAACTTTTTTTTAATTTAAAAAAAAAATATTAAATAAAAAATTTAGATATTTATATTTATATTTATATTTATATAAAAATAAATAAAATATATATAAATATTATATATATATTATTTATATATATATTTGTATACATATAAATATATATTTCTTATATTTTTTAATAAAAAACCTTAATCTATATTATTAGAATTATTTGTTTTTTAATTTTTAGAATTTTTTTTTTATTAAGATTCGTCACCCATTTCAATATTATTTATTAATTTTCTTAAAGGTTTCATCGCAGCTTCTTTGCATAAAAGCTTTATATCAGAACCTGAATAATTCTTTAAAATAATAAAACTTTGATAAAAATTAAATTTATAAATATTTTAACCTCTAACTACATACTTATTTCATTATAATTTAAATTATTAGAAAATCCTTAAGGTAAAAATTATCTTATCATCTCTTCTCTGGCTTTTTCACAAGGAAGAGGAACAAGAATCTTAAAATATAAATAATTATAAAAATTTAAAAAAATATATATATATATATATATATATTTATTTAATATATATTTTTTATATATGTTTTTAAAAATTTCTTCTTTAATTTTATATATTTTTATTTCATATATTAATAATCTCTTAAGAACATATAAAGCTTAAAGAATTAATAATGTTAAATTTTTTAAGATTTATAATGAATTTAACATTTAATTCTATATTTAATAATATATCCCATTTTTAATAATTTAATAGTAATAAAAATATACATATATATTTACTAATATATTTATATACATATTAATATATGTATATATATATATATTAATTTTTATATATATATTTATTTATTTTTATATATTTTTATATATAAAATAAAACTCTTTTTTCTAATCTTCTTAACATAGCTATATCTAAATCCCAAGGTAAATTACTCGCTGCAAGTAAAAATACTCTTTCTTTATTTTTCATTAAACCATCCAATTATATAAGTAATTCAGTTTTCATTCTTGTACTACCTTCATGATCCTCTATTATAAAAATGAACTAATTTTTTAAACAAATAAAAAATTACATCCTCCTTTCCTTTATGACATAATAGAATCTAATTCATCCAAAAAAATAGTCGATGGCTAATAATGTCTAGCTAACTCAAATAAAACCCTAATAAGTTTTTCTGATTCCCCTCTCCATTTACTAACAACTGAAGAAGCTGAAATATTAAAAAAAGTGGTTCCACATTCCGTTGCAACAGCTTTCGCAAGCATAGTTTTGCCTGTTCCAGGTGGTCCATATAATAATACTCCTCTCCAAGGTTCTAAAATTCCTGTAAAAAAATGTGGGTATTTTAAAGGAATTAAGACCGCTTCTTTTAATAGTCTTTTTGCGTCTTCTAAACCTACTATATCTTTAAATTTACAGTTCGGATTTTCCACAACTATATCTCTCTATAAATAAGCTGCGAGCTCTTTTAATTCTTGGACATCACCGAAATCTGGCATACCTTTTAAAACACGAACATCAAAAAAATTTTATGTTTATTCTTCTTCTTTTGTTTTCTAAAAAGCTGATTATCCTTAAATTTCTATTTAAGGTGTTGAATTTATTTATTATTCATTTGTTATTGATGTATTTATTGTATTTCTTTTTTATATCTGCTTTGTAGATTAAATGTTATTTTCTTATTATTATATTTTTTGACTATTTGCTGATTATAAAACTTTATTATTTTATGTTATTTTAGGAAATGAAGCAGGGTTTTTTTCCGAAGTTACTTTGCGAACTAATTTTATATATTTTCCGAATTTTAATTCATAATAATGCTCAAATTCGGTTACTATTTAATATAAATCAATATTATCTGCTACATCCCTATATATGTTAAATATTTAATGTTATATAATTTTTATTATTATTTAAACTAATTTAATTTACCATTAATCTAATCCTATATGACTTTCTGTTGATATTTTAGAACATGAATCTATATAACCTATATTTGCTAAATATCGTAAAATCAATACTATTATATTTCTTTTTCTATCATGAATTTTTTTTTCTTCATTCATTCTGGACTCACTTTCGGATTTTATTTTTGCTAACATTTTTTAATTTATTATCTTAAAAAAAAATGATTAAAGTATATTTTCAATATTTTATTTATTTAAAATTACTAATGAATAAATTAAAATTAATATTTTGTTATAAATTAGTTATTTAAAATATTAAAAAATTTTAAAAATATAAAGATAATATTAAAAATAAAATAAACTTAAATAAATTAAATTAAAAAAAATATAATTTTTTATTGATATTAATTTATATTTTATTTATAAAAAAAAAAAAAAAAAAAAATATAATAAAAATATATAAATAAGAAATTAAATTATGAATATATAAAAAAAAATATAATTTGATTAATATCTAATAAATATTAATAAATCATAAATTTTTTAATATATATTAATTTAAAAAGTATATATTATAAAAGAAATATAAATATACAAATAAATAAATATATAAATATATAAATATGTATATATATATATATATTTAAATATATTTATAAATATTTATATAAATATATCATTTATTAAAATAAGGAGCAGTTAATAATTCAATTTAAGGCCCACTTTGTTTTTCATTTTCTGCAAAATAATAATTTTTATATGATTTATTTAATGAATTAGTAAGTTTTTCATGATTTAAATAATTTAAACATTCTCCTTCAACAAATACTTTTAAAAAGTCTTAATTTTTATAAATATTTTCAGTTTCAATAGAATTTGTATCATAATCATGTGATTTATGTTTTCTTTTAGTTTTTACTTACTAAAATTCTTCCATTTATATTTATATTTATATTTTTTATAATTATTATATAATTTAAATATAAAATTATATAGATATAGATATATATTATTATATATAAATAAATATATATATATATTTATTTATATATATAAAAAATATATATATTTATAAATATTATACTTTTTTTTATATAATTTTTACTATATTTATTATTTTTTAAATATTAAATTATTTTTATTTTCATTTTTATCATTAAATATATTTTAAAATTTATTTTAAAAATTTCTTTTCTATCATTAAATATATTTTATAATTTTTTTTAATTTTAATTTAAACAAAAAATTATTGTTTTTTATTTAATTATATATTTTTTTAATAAAATTTTTTAAAAAAATATTTTAAATATTTATTAAGAAAGAATTATTTATATTTATTAAAATATTTAAACATATAATACTGATATTTTTTTTATAAAAATACTATATTTATTTAATATTTAAATATAAATATAATTTTTTCATCTTTTCTTTTATTATAATGTTGATGATCATTTTTTAATATTTTTAAATATTTAATTTTTTTTTCCTTTTATTTCAATAATATAATAAATAAAGTTTTTTTTATTATAATAAAGATAAAATTGTTTTCATTGACTATATATTTACTATTATTTTTTTTATAAAATAATATTTTTAAGTTTAAGAATTTATAAAAAAACTAATTTTAAATTTTATAATTTTCAAAATAAAATTAAATATAATTTTTATTTTTATATAAAAATATAATTATTATAAAAAAATGATTAAAAAATATTTAAATAATTATACAAATTTATTTTATTTATATAAAAATGTTTTTTAAAAAATATAAGACTAAAAAAGCAAAACCCATAAAAATATATATGAATTAGTTTTTTTTATTTTAGTTTATTAAATGTTATAAAAATAATGATGATTATATTTCCGTGTTTCACATGAAACTTAATGATTTTAATCGAAATACTGAAATTTATATTAATATATTAAATTATAAAATCTTTACATTTTTTTAATTTTTATGCTAATAATTGATTTTATATATATTTTTTTTTCATTTATTATGCATTTACTAATTTAATTTCTCTAAATTCAAATATATATAAAAACATTAAACAAAAAACATATAATGTTTAAAATATTCTATAAAAAATATCTAAATAAAAAAAAGTATTTAAAAGATATTAAATATATTCACATTATATATACTATAATATTCCTTCTTAAAAATATATAAAGAACATTATTCTATGTCAAATATTTTCTATTATTAATATCTATCTATTTTTTTTTTAATTATTACAAAAATCTTCAAAAAGTTATAAAATATGTATTTTTATTTATATGTTTCAATAAAACGATAGGCAAATATATTATACATATTAACAATACTAACCATTAAACAGTAAAAATAAAATTATAAGCTGTTATACTTTAAACAGCTTAACTTAAACGAATCTTTAAAAAATAATAAAAGATAAAACTAATATAATAATGATGATAAAAATTTATATATTTTCGGAATTAAAATATATTGAAAAATCATATTAAATAAAAATAAAAAATAAATATAAAAAAGATAATAAAAAAATATTTACAAATATTATTTTTAATATATAAAAAAAAAAACAAAAAAAATATAAATAAAAACTAAAATATTAGACAGAAAATAAAATAAGAAAAAATAAAAATATAACATTAAAATATTTTAAAATATTGAATTATAATATGAAAAAATTAAAAAAGAAAAAATAAAAAATAAATATAATAAATAACAAAATTGATAATATATATATATATATATATATATATATATATTATATATATATATATATATTTATATATATATAATATTATTTTTATAATTTTTTTAATTTTTACCTATAATTAGTAAATTTTATATAAAATATGGTAATTTCTATATAAAATATGGATATATTTATCGAAATATTTTTCATATATTTATTATTTAAAATATATTTATCTAATTATTTTGTTTAATAATTATTATTTATTTTTATATTATATCAAAAATTTTTAAATATTTTATATCTGATTAATTTTTAATCCATTATTTTTTTTTATTTAAAATATATTTTTTCATAATTTCATTTTTTCTCTAAAATTTTTATTATCTATCCGTTAACATAATCAATTACTTATTTATATAATAATTATATTAAAATGGAAACATAAATATTTATTTTAAACCCTTTAAATGAAAAATAATTATTATCTAAAAATATTAATAAAGAATATAATTTGAAAACGAAATTTACAATTTTATAATTATTGATTTTTTATAAATGTATCAATAAATATAAATAAAAGAAAATTTTTTTAAAATTAAAAAGAAATAAAATAAATTTTGTTTATCTATTAATAAAAATACAACTTATATATATGTTTGTTTAATAAAAATAAATCAATTTTATGATAAATCGTTTTTTACTGTCGATTTAAAAATATTAGTAGTTAACAAAAAATGAATAACCTTATGTATAATCCAATACAAAGGAATAAAAAAATAAATATATTAAAGCCATACAAACCTTAAATTTTCCCTTAAATTAGGTAAATAAACTATCTTCTAAAACTAAGGAATTCGCATATTAATTTCCAATTCCGTATATTATTAATCTTATTATATATTTTAAAAATTAGGAATAACATGTATTTATTCAACATAAAGCGTTTCATTCCTTGACTAAATATCTTAAATAAATTAAAAAGTATCAATTTTTTAAGAATTATTATTGACAAATGGAATTGTATAATTATAAATATTTCGTGTTATTTTACTTTCTACTAAAGGATTTTTTTACATAAAAACTAATTCAGTAGAAATACTTGCTTATTTTTTTAACATAAAAGGGACTTCGAATTAAACTGGACTTTACATTTATAAATTTATTTTTCCCCTCAAACCATAATCTGCAATTAAAAAAATAGAGCAAATTTCAATATCTATTTTATAAAATTTTAAATTAAATTTGAAATAATCATTTTTTCCATCAATATTTTAATCTTATTTAAAAATCTAAAAATATTATTTATTTCATTTATTTTATAAAAAAAAAAAAATTAATAATATACTTATAAATCAAGTATACTATTTGATATTAAATTCTCATTTAAAATTTCGATGTTTGTAGAATATAATTTATCAGTTTATGTTTGACATACTATTAAATAATCTCCTCTAAAATTTACATATGGTTATTCATAATATATATTACTATATGGCCAAAATCCTATTTTTTAATTATTATTTTTTTTTTTTATAAATTTACCTTCTATTACATATCCTAAAAAAAATGGAATTAAAAATAAAAATAAGTAAAGTAGACCTATAAAAATGAAAGTCGTTGAACATTTAGAATTCACACTAAAAGACTTTTTAAAATCTCTATATATTAAAAAAGCCATTTAAGTTTTTATTTTTATATTTTAAATATATTTAAATTAGAAAATTAAGATTTAATATATAATACTATGTATTCATAAAATAATTTTTTTAAAATTTTTGTTTTGTTTTTCAATACGTTTATATTTTGTAACTAACTAACTAATAAAAAATAAAATAAAAAAAGTATTTAATATGTCTTCAAAATAAATTTAAAAAATTTCGAAATACATATTTTATTATTATGGATAAAATGTTATGTTAAAAATAAGCTATAACAATAAATATACAAAGCAGGAAATATAGCTATTATATAAATAGAAGAAAAAAATATAAAATTAATTAATAATAATTTATATATATATATTTAATAATTAAAATAAAATAAAAATAACTCACATATTATATATATAAACCCTTCCATCTGCTGTACAAAATGCAAATTAATTACTAAAGTTCGCAAAATCAACTGAATAAACACACGACTTAATATCTTTGATTCCTCCCACACATTCGAATTAATTTTTATTTCTAAAAATTTTAACTTCATTAACCCTAGTACTTCCCGCTAATATCCAATCGTTATTATTTTTACTAAACACACTCGAATAAACATAAGCCTAATAATTCAAACTATTATTTTCATACCATTAGATATTTTTAATTAATTTTAAAGTTTTAAAATCCCAAAGTTAAATCTAATGCTCATTTTTATAAGACCCTGAAAGAATCACATCATTTTTAAAATCCAAAGAATCTCCACTAATACTTGGTCCATAAATATTCCCTATATTCCTCTTTTATCTTAAATCCCATAGAATAATATTACTATCCCATCCTCCACTCATTAAAATATTATTATTTATAAATTTACACGAAAAAACTCTATTTGAATGGCCCGTTTAGTTCCAATCTGCTGCCCCAAAATCTTAAATTACACTCTTAGTATCATCATCATATATTCTTATATGAAAATCTTTCCCTCCAGTTGCAAATTGGGAACCGTCTTCATTATAATCTAAACACATTATACTGTTTTAATTCTACTCTTGCATCCTATGTAAAGGCTTTCCTGAAGGGACATGCCAATGAATTATGCTTCCGTCTGCATTTACAGATACTAATATATCTTTCGTCTTATTATGTATATTTGGACGCCATTTTAAACAAGTTATGGGCATGTTTTGGTTTACTGTAGGGCTTTTTTTTATTATTATTATTATTTTTTTTAATTTTTTTTTACAATCTCATTAAATGTAAAAGCTTTTTTTATTCAATATTATAAATTTAGACTTAACCATTTTAGGCACCTTATTTTTTTTTATATTATATATATATATATATATATATACATATATTTTTTTTAAATGTTTGTTTTTATTTACCGACTGCTAAATATTTATCATTTTAATCGAATTTTAAACAAAACATTTCTTATTATTATTCTTAATGCAACTAATTTATTTAAAGTCTGATTTCTGATGAATTTTCGAATGTGCTTAAAATATGTTTGTTTTTTTTGTTAAATATTAAATATTTAAATACACAAGTTTATTAATATTAGCATCAATTTTTTTTAAGTTTTCTTTATCTTCAACTTAATCTAATTTAGAATGTTTACTTTAATGAATTTAAATCATTTTTTTTTAAAAAAACTCTTTAATTAATTATGAAGATATTAAATATTAATTTTGAAAAAAAAAAAAAAAATTAGATTATATATATATTAATAACAAAAAAATTTAAATTTATATAAGAAAATCTTTAAGCTTAAAAAAAAATTATAAATTTTATGTTTTTTATAAAACAAATTAATAAAGTATTAATTATTTATATTTTATTTATTTTTTTAAACAAAATAAAAAATCAGATTTTTAATTCTAAAAAATCTTTAAAATAATTCTTGCATTTTTCAATAAATTATTCATCACTAAAAACCATTATTTTTTATCTAGCATTTTTAACAATATTATTTCTTATTGATTAATTGTTAATAACATAAAGTAATTTCTCAATATACTCCTCTTCATTTTCACATAAAAAACCAAAACTATTGTTTTAAATAATATCCATTTTAGGTCCTGCACTATTATGAGATAAAACAACAAGTCCAGCTGCCTTTTTTCAAACAAACAAAATAAATGATTTTATTAAAATAAATATTATATACCATCATTTCTACAACAGATATACCGAAATGCTCATCTTTCATGGTATGGAGTCCTATTGTACTTTCTTAAAGCAATTAAATTACTTAAGTATATTATGGATTTTCAATAAAATGAACATTTTAAACCAAATTAAAATCTTTAATTTAATTTTTAAGATTTTAAAGTAATTAAATATCATTTTGATTTCTTGTAGATCCAACAATTTTCTATTTTGTATATTTAATAAAAAAAAGAAAAAAAAAATTATTTACAAAAATAATATTTTTTTTTTAAAAGTCATCAAATCTTTTAAAAACTTTATTTATAATATTAATTTATAAAAGATGATTTTTTTCTGGTCTAAACTAAGCAAATGACATAATTTAAATATTTTTTTAATTTTTTTATAATAGAATCAAATCTTTGATATTACAAGGTGGATATCTATATATAAATATATTTATATATAAATATATATATATATATATTTATATATATTATATATATTTAATATGTATAAATTTTTTTTATAAATTATTTCCTTTTTTTATCTTTCGCCATTAATTTTCAATTTATATTTTTTAAAAATTGGAAATAATATAAAAAACATTATTTATATATTAAATATTTTTTATATATATATTTCTTTTTTACAATTTAATAGTTTTTTAATTTTTCCATAATTTTTTTATATGATTATCTGTCCACGAAGAATTTGTAAATATTAAATCAGCATAAGATCCCATTTTTTTATAAAATTTAACTAAAATAATATAATATATGATTTTCAAATTTTTTAAAATTCTCCAATTCGCAAATATTCCTCTATTATTAAAACTTTAATTATTTTTCAAAACATCATTTATCATATCTTAACTTATAAACGGATAATGTACATAACTTATTACTTTTGAATAACTCATTTTTTTTACTATAAAATAAGAAAAAGAAAGCCCAGTAGTATCATAAAATATATCTGGAGGATATTTAAATAGACATATATATGTGTATATTAATATCCCAATGACTTAAAAAAATAGCGTTGCGAAACTAAACGGCTCTAATAGAAATCTAAAAGGAACTTTTATGAATTTTATTTAATCTTAATATTATAATAAATCTAAATTAAATCTATCTTTTGCTTTTTAAAGAATATTATTTCCTTATTCTTATTCACCTAGTTTTAATTATATAGATATATATAAAAATACAAATATAAAAAATTTAACATGAATATATAACTATTTCGAATAAATCTTTAGATAAATTTAAATTAAATATAGACTTTATTATACAATAAAGTACTTTTTCACCACCACCTGCTGCATTACTTTTTTATTTTATTAAAAAAAAAAGAAAATATATCTGTTTTTATAATACCAATATGGATGTAAAAAAGCTATTCTTAATTTTTTATTATTTAAAGATAATTTACATTTTATTAATAATATCAATTTAAGAATCGAAAATATAAAAAATATAGGAAAAACTATAAAAAATAAAACAAGAAATATAATTGCCATTATTTTTAATATGTTTTAAAAAAAAAAAAAAAAAAAGATATTAATAATAATTATTTTATTAAGAAAAATCTATAAATAAATTTAACATATATTAAATTAATAAATTATTCTTAAATATAATAAAATAAAATAAAGTTTATAATTTTTATAGTAAAAAAATAAAAATAATTAAAATAATACTTTTAATTTTAATAATAAATAAATGAATTTTTATATTTTTTCTTTTTTAATTCTAAAAATATTTTGTTGGAAAATTAAATCATTCTTCATCTTAATAAATATAATCTTCTGGATAAATTACATCCTATTTATAATTATTTTAAATAAAAAAATTAAAATTACTTCTTTTCCATTTGCATATTTTATAGTTTTAATTCTATTAACATCAATAATTTAAATAGTTCCGTCTTCAAAATAAGTTTTTTCTTCTCCGTTTTCACATATATATTTCTCAGTACCATCATTAAATCTAATAAAAAAAAAATAAAAAAATAAAAATATAAAAATACCTTATTTATTTCTTTCCTTCAGGAAAATGAATTTCAATTTAGTCATTAGGAAAATAATATACCTTAAAAAAATACATAAATATATAAATATATAAATATATATATATATATATATATATTTACATTTATTCCTGTCGGTTCAAAAGTAATCTAAGTAGTTTATGCTTCTGCAAAATAATAAATAACAGTTACTTTATCAGGAAGAACTTATTTAATATCTCCATTAACGAAATTTACTATACTATATCCTTCACAAATACCATCATTAAATTATTATTTCTTAACTTAATTAGGGAATATTGTTTCACTTTTACGATCATCATATACTCTATAAATCTATATTCATAATAAAATAAAAAATAAATTTATAAATATTTATATATATATATATATATATATATATATATATATATATATACTTTTCCATCTTAAGTTATTTCTTATTTAATGATTTTGGAAATTTTCTTTTAATTTTAAAGATAAGCTATATAATAAATATTTTAATCAAACCAAAATTATTTTTAATCAATTTATTTATTAATCATATTTATATTAATATTATCTAATTAAGATATATTTGTAATATCATATTAGAATTTTTTTTATAAATTTGATTGTTATTTAATTAAAGTTTATGAATTTTTTAATTATGAAACAGATTGTTAATTATCTTCTTTTCTTTTCATTTCGCTCCCTTTTGTACTTTAGTTAGTCTTATTTAATAATTTTTAAGGCTCATTGTTAACAATTTTTTTGCCTATTTTTTAATTTATATTATTTATTTCCTAATAGGCATTATTTATCATATCTTTATTTCTTTATTCATCATTAAAATAGCTTTCGTAATTATTAAACTCATCTTCTTGTTAAATTTCATCATTTTATATACTCTAAATATCCTCATTATCTTATAAAGTATTTATTTTTTTAGAAATACTGGGACCTTTTTTTAAAATAGATTTTTTTTATTCTTCACATATTCTTATTTTTTCGAAATTTTTTATTTCTTCATTTAATTCAAAATTTTTTTAAGTTAAATCTTCTATTTATTTTTTTAATCTTTCTATAGCTTATTTATATTTTTATTCCTTTATTTTAAAATCTTCTTATATTTTTTTTATTTATTAATTGCATTTTTCAATTTCTTCTCGTTCTTTTCTTGTTGGTTAATTATATAATGACTTAATTGAATAAATTAAATAATAAAAAAATAAATATATATATGTTTACATTATTATTTAATATATATATATATATAAATATATATATTTATATATTATATATATATATTATTATTACTTTTTACTATCTTTCTTATACTTTTTTTTCATTTTTTATTTTTTTTATTTCTTCTCTTTTCCATTCTTCTAATTCTTCAATTTCAATTTCTTTTTATTTTGCGAATTATTCTTTTTCCTTATTAGCTTATTTAATAAGATCTTCGTATTTAATTTTCATTTTTTTTATTCTATCATTTTCCAACTTAAATTTATTAATTTCTAAATTTAATTTTTCTATTTATTCATTAGTATATTCCTAAATTATTTTTTTTTTCTCTTCTTCTGAAATAATTATAATATTTTGATTTTCTTTTTTCACTTTATTTTTATTTCCTTATTTAAAATATTTTTAAACAACTTTAGAATATTATTATTTGTCTTCATCTTCGAATTCTTCCTCATCTTAATATTCCTCAAAATTATCTTCATTTTAATCACTATTATTATTATTATCAATAGAAAAAATTTCATTTTTTTCTTTCTTTTTATTATTATTATTTTTTTAATTTACCCATTCATATTCATCATCGAATTTTATTTATCATCGACATATTTTTAAGAGTTAAATTTTTAATCTTCATCTTCATTTATAGAAATAATATCAGAATCTTCATTTTAATTATTTTTTGTTTCTTTTTTTTTAATTTATTTCTTTTCTTTTTATTTTTCTAATTTCTCTTATTATTATTTATCTTGTTATTATTATTATAAATTTTCATCTTTAAAAATATTTTTTCCTTGAATTCCTCCTCCTTTTCCTTATCCTCTTTATAAAAATTTTTTCGGTTTTTTTCTTGACTTTTTTCTTCCTAAAGTTTTTCATTATTTTTAATTTCTTTTTATTATTATTCTTTTTATTATTATTCTTTTTATTATTGTTCTTTGTTTTATTATTATTTTTTATTTTATTTTTCTACTTTTTTTTATTAAACTGAATTTGCTTTTTAAACATTACTAATAGGTCGTGTTTCTTCTATTTCATTAATACTTAATCCCTGACATTATCCGACAATTAAATTAATATGTTATTATGCAGCTTTAGATCTTTATTGGGCATTAGAAAGAAAAGTTCTAGTACCTTTTTTTAGGAAAGTTCTTTTACTTTTAATTTCTTAATTTTCATCTTACTAATTATTATTATTTACATCTTATTAATTATTATTATTATTATTTTCATTTTCTTTAAAAGCACATGAATTACTTCTTTTTTAAATTTCTTCTATGTTTTTATTATTTGATGTTTTTATGGGAACTTCATCAAAATTTTAATATTATTTATTTTATATTTTTTAAGATTTTACCTGAATTTCTTCACTTTATAATTATTTATTGCTTGTTTTTAAAGGTTTTTCTTCGAAAATGTTAGCCTGTTTTTATGTTTTAATAGGTATATCATCGAAATTATTTTATTATTTTTATGTTTTAATAAGTATATCATCGAAATTATTTTATTATTTTTAAGATTTTAATTAAACATAATCATCGAAGTTATTATTTTAATTTTAATATTTTGTAGGATATTAATCGTCAAAATTATTTAGTTAATTTTAAGATTTTGTAATAGGTTCATCAAGATTATATTGAGAATATCTGGATGGTTTTATGGATATGTTTTCAAAGTTATTATTTTGTTTATTTGATTTAATAGGAATTTCATCAAAATTATTGTTTTAATTTGCTTTGATTTTTATTTCATCAGTAGTATTTTAATTATTCGTTTAAAAAATTTAATAATCTTAAATATTATTAAATTATTTAGATTTAATAGGCATATCATCGAAATTATTATTTAATTTATTGTTTTTGGAAGGTATTTAATCTAAATTATTATTTAATTTATAATTTTTTATTGGTAAATCTTCGTAATTATCAAAATTGTTATTGAATTTATTATTTTTATTATTATAATCATCAAAATTATCATTGTTATATTTAAAATCAGCAAAATTATTATTATTTTATTTATAGTTTTTATTTTAATGAATTTCATCAAAATTATTAAAAGATATATTTTCGTTAATATTTTATAATTTAGTATTTAATTTTACATCATCTTTTTTAAAATTATTTTCATAATAATTATCATTAAATTTATTACTTTTTAAAAATTCACTATTATTATCTTCTTAATTATTTCTTTTCTTTTAATTACTTTCAACTATTTATTATTTTTAATTACTTTTTCCAAATAAAATACTTTAACTTAAAAACTCATTATCCTATTTAAAATATTCACTATTATTAATTATTTAAGAATTTCTAAATGAACTTTTTTCTTCAAAATTATTCTAATATTACTAATTATTAGTATTATTATTTAAATTTTTTATATTCTATTCCTATTTTTATTAATATTAAACAAATTCCTATTTACAAGGAAGTTATTATTCTAATTTTTCATTTTAATTGTTATAAATATATTTTTTATTATTATTTTAACTTCCTATATTCTTATTGCCTCCTACCTTGCTATAAAATTAATTTAAATCATTTTTATGGTTCAAAAATCTGTCTTCTAGTGTTTATATAGAAAAATTTTCCGTTGATTTAATATGAGGATTTTATTATTATGTATTTAATAACTAACCTTATAAAGTAGATTAACTATTCGTTTAGGGTAAAACTTATTATTAATTTATCATCATTTTCATCATATTATTAAACATATCCATTATTTATTAAGGATTATTTTATTATTATGAAGTATGATTTAATGCTTAAATGTTTGAAATACCTAATTATTTAATTTTTTTATTTTATATTTTAATTATATTAACTATTGATGCTAGAAATTGAAAGTTATTGTAAAGAATCAACATTTTTGGGAAATACTTAATTTGCTTATTATTAAAAATTGTTATCGTTCATTTTAATTTTTTTAAAAAGGCAATAAAAATTTAATATTATTTTAAAATTATATATAATTGATTTTTCTAAATTATTTATTTTTAAAAAATAGAAATTTAAATTTATATAATATAAAAAATTTTATAATAATATAATATATATTTAAAAAAAGGATATATATCAAAATGTTTAAATATATATAAGAATAAAAAAAATAATAAATATATTTATATTTATATTTATATTTATATTAATATTTATATTTATATTTATATTTATATTTATATTTATATTTATATTTATATTTATGTTTTTTTCTTATTTTTTTTTCAAACAAAAAAAGTTTAATTAATATTATTTTATAATTATTTAAAATGTATAAATATTAAACAAATGAATACAAAAATTCTTCATCATTTGATCAAGCTAGTAAATATTCTATTATAACCTCAAAATCATTATTAGAAATAGAAATAGAAACTTCTAACCGTATATAAGAAATAAAGTAAAGAATTTAGTAATCCCAATAATAAACTGAAATATTTAAATAAACAAATTCTTTAATTGATAATACATTTTCAGAAAAAACCTCTTCTTCATAATAATATTAAGATACATAATATCATTAATCCCCTTAAAAATATTAAGATAATTAATATATACCAATAAAATTTTCAGACTAATAATTTATATAATAATCTTAAAAATAATCATCTTATTTATCTTAAATAAATGAAAATAAAGCGCTTGAAATATTATAAAACTACTAAACATTTTCAAACAAAGATTTTATAAAAAACTAAAATTAAGAAAATTAATATTTAAATTAGGAACAGACTATCCAAAACGTATAAAATAAAATTTTATAACAAAAAAACATTAATATATAAAATAATACTAAATAACAAAATAAAAATTTACCAAATAACGCGCGCGAGAATGACTAATAATAATAAAAAATATATACATTTGATTCTATAATAACTACACAAGAATAAGAAGATGATTTATAAAAAAATTTCGAATAAAATAATAAAGGAGATGATTATTAATTCAAAATATAAAAGTAATAATAAATAATCATAAAAATGAGAAAATAAATCAACTAAATGACTTCTTAATAAATTCTTTTAGAAAATGAAAATTCATAATTAAAAAAAAGTATATAAGATCTTCAAAAACAAATTTAATTAAATTTATAGTAAAATCCAAATTATTTATAAACCGAACTTTTTATAAATTATAATCAATAACTTTAAGAAGAAAATGCAGAATTAATCTTAAAAATTAACAAATTATTCCAAAAATACGTTCAAATATAATAAAAATATTTAGATTTGTAAAATTAATTGTCTTAAAGTAAAAAAGATCATCAAATATTTCTATAAAATGATTAAAAATATTACATAGTGTAAAAAAATAATGATTTTTAAATTGAAATAATGACTAAATAACTTGATAAATATTAAAAAACCATAGAAAAATTACAAAATTATCTCAAAGAACCTAACATGAATTCATTTATGGAAAAAATAGATAAGATATAGTAAGAAAATGAAAAAAATAGGCAATTTTAGGCAGCTTTTAATGATGTTATTTAAACATGTTTTTAATCATAGGAAAATAAAGAATAAAATATAAATAGTTTGAAAGAAAACTGGAATTATTTCGAAAAAATGGTATAAGATTTCATTGATTTAAGAAAAAATTAAAATATAATTACTGTTTTAGAGAAAAATCTTTTAAAAATATTAAAAATATAGAATACTGATGAAATATTGCCAAAAATACTAATAAAAGTAACTGAAAATGAAACTTATTTTGAAGGTATTTCAAAAATATTCTTTTTATTTAAAATTTAGGTTGGAAAAAATATAAAAAATATTAAAAACCAAATAAACTATATAATAAAGTAAATATAAAATATGTAAATAAATAATAATAATATATGATATATATATATATTTAAAATATAATTATAAATTAAAATATGTATTTTTAAAAATAAATAATTTTGTATTTTTATATCTTATTTTTAATATAGATTTATATTTTTTAAGGATATGAATATATATATATATATATATATATATATATATATATATATATATATATATTAATTTATATATTTTTTTATCTTTTTATTTTTTTACAAATTTATTTATAATTTTAAATATTTGCAACTTATATAAATTTAAAAAAGATACATTTTTTCAATTATAAATAATTTTATATTCTTCATATATTTTATTTATATATTCAATAAAAACATTAAATTAATTTATTTCTTAAAATAAATTATTATTAATATTTTCAATTTTTTAATTTCTTTCAATTTTATTTCCTTGTTTTGTTTCTATTAATTATATTAATTAATTGGCATATTATTATCCGTTTTTAACCATCTTATTTTTTTATGTACTAAAACAATTATTTAATTTATTAAATTTTTCAGTATTTTCATCAATAACATTTTATTTTAAATTAAATTTGACATTTAATATTAAAAATTTTTATATATCAAGTAATAATTCAATAATATTTATAATTTTTAAGCCCAATTTTTTAATATTTTCGAAATGTTTTTTATTAAATATATCAATTTATATTTAAATTTAATTAAAATTTTTTTAAAGACTTTCAAATTATTATTCTTTTTTAATATTTTCTTATAAAATTTACTAATTTTCTTTTTCTTATAATAATAATAATTATTCAAAATGTATTATTTTTTAATTTTATTCATTAAAATGTTTATCCATTTGTATTTTTTCTAATTCAAATTTAGTTTATTAAATAAATATTTATTATTTTTAATTTTCAATTTATGAATTTTTTTAAATTAAATCTTAATATTATTATTCTAAGTTTAAATATTTTTATCCATTTTCTTCTATTTTTATTCTTAAAATTTAATTTTTTTATATTAAATTTTTTTATTCATTTATTAATTCTTTTATTTATTAATTTTTTTAGTTAATTATTACTTAACCAATTTATTTATTTTCATTTTATATTTTTTCAAATAATTGTTTTTTTCTTAATTTATAAAATCTTCTTTATTTTCTATTATTTATTTATCTTAAGTTTATTATTCTTATAAATTAATGCTTGTTTATTATTCTTTTATATTATTATTCTTTTATTATTCTTATATATTAATATTCGTTTTTTATTCTTATGTATTAATATTCGTTTATTATTCATATATATTAATATTTGTTTATTATTCTTATTTATTAAAATTTGTTTATTATACTTATATATTATTACCATTTTATTATTATTATATATTATTACTTGTTTATTATTCTTATATATTAATATTCGTTTATTATTCTTATATATTATTATTTGTTTATTATTTTTATATATTAATATTTTAATAGTTATTTAATTGATTTTTTAATTCTTATATTTAATTTTCTTATTCTTATTTTAAATTTTTATTTGTTTTATTTTCTTATTCTAATATTGAATTTTCTTATATTTTCTCTTTATTTATTAATGTTTCAGAATTTAAGTTATTATCATTTAATTTTTTTCATTCATTTTATTTATTATTTCATTATTTTCATATTCATTTATTTCCATGTCTTATATTTAATATTCATTTTCTTATAATATTTTATCTCCTAAATCACTTTTTTTGTTTTCATATTCTTAAATTGAATTTTCTTTTTGTTTTTCATTTATTAAAAGTTCAAATTATTTTTTTTGGATTTTTATATTTTCTTAAATATTAATTTTATTTTAATATTATTTTATTTAATTCTCATATTCATTTAATTAATTCTCATATTTTTTTATTAAATTATCTTATTAATTTATTTTATTCTCAAATCCTTTTATTTATTTTTCTATTTCTTTTATTTTATTTTCTTTTTCATTTATTAATCTTTCAAAATAACCATTTTAATTTATAAATTTTTCATTTATTTATTCTATTTATATATCTAAATTTACTTTTTCTTAATAAATTTAATTAAAATTAAAGTCAGATTATTATAATTATTTAATTAATTGTTGATTTTCTTATTAATGTTATTCTATTTTTTGTATTTATGTATAATTTAATTAATTAAAATGTTAATTTTTTTCATTTAATTATTAAATATCATATTATAGTTTTTAAATTTCATCTAGATATTTTTATTTTTCTTTTTCCAAAATTTCTGTTGTTTCTTAATTTTTTTAAAAAATAATTTTTTCATAATTTTAAATTTCTTAATTTTATTTAAAAATTTAATCTTTTAATTCTTCATATTTTTCTAAGTTTTATTTTTTAATTTATAACATTTTCTCATTTTATTCTAATATTTAATTTTATTTTAAAGTTTCCAATTCATTAATTTGCTTTAAATTTAAATTATTATTATCTATTTGCAATTATTAAATTAAATTTTTTTAATAATTATTTTCTAAAGCCAATTCATTTTAAAAAATTAGTAAATTTCTCATTTTTTCATCAATTTAAAAATTTAAAATAGAAAAATCTTCAAAAAGTACTTTACTTTATTTCTCTAAAAATTAAATTTATAAATCTTTTTAATAAATTTCTGATTAAATTTATTATATTTTCTCTAAAAATACATCCTTCTTTTCTTTTATTTTATTTATTAATAATTTATTTTCTTATGAAAGTTTTTACGACTAAATATCTTATTATTAATTCAAAATAATCAGTTAATTATTTTTTTCATTTAATTAATTATTTTTTTCATTTAATTCATTATTTTTTTCTATTAATTAAATATTTTTTTCATTTATTTCATTATTTTTTTCATTTAATTCA